TGGGTGTTTGCCTTGTTTCCATAGTCCTCCTTATGTTCTTTCTTAGTCCAACATCCCAAAAGACACTGAAAAGATCCCTGTTATGCTCTTCTGGATTATTTCCATGGGCTCTGTGTGGGGCTCAATGTGGCACTGATCCGGTGGTAAATACCCTATGTAGGTCAATTCAAGGCTGAGGATGCTTAGATTGAGTGTGAGTTTGAGTATCTGGATGAGCTTGTCTACATTCCCTCCCATCCAATCAGGTCTGTTGTGATTTAGCAGAATTCCCAATCAGGACAGATGGTCACTCCAGCTCTGTTTCCTGTACTGTCTCTCCTTAAGTTAGCCTCTTTCATTTCTCCCTCATACATTTTACATTTACATTCATATTTTAAGCATCTTGCTGGTACTCTGATCCGGAGCAATTTAGAGTGAAAAGATTTTTTAAAAATAGAAAGAAAACAAGACACGTCAAGACCTTCCGCCAGCAACATTCTCAAAAGAATATTCATGACTTCAAAAGAGATTGTATCATGTATATTTTGTATAGGAGGTGATGAAAGTGTAGTTCACATTTGGTCATTTCCCAATGAGCTGAAAGCATCCAGTTGTCAGTGAATTATCTCTCCTTCTGTGCTTGGACCTGAGCTCAGCTCAGCATATTGCTCGTGACACAGAGCCACAGTGACAGGCAGTCAGAGTCTGTGCGAGGCTCGGGGTGACATTCCAAGCTATAAAAAGCGATTACTGTTTCACGGCAACTTCCGCAAATTCAAAAGGACGCTGATGTTTTAAATAAACATACCTCTGATCAGCACACTGTGCAACACCTTTCACACCTTGCCTACAGGTCCATGAACCATTTGATCTCCATTTAGCAGCACCGCTGCTGTGGTTCTCAACTCTGCTCTTAGAACTTTGAGAAACGCTGTTTCACCGGGCCAGGTCTCGAGCCAAGTATCTGCCTTTTACGACTTGTTATTATAAGCGGATTCAGTATCTTTGAAAAATAACCAGCGCTTCTTTCAAAGTTCTGTCTCATTTTGCTCTTCTCTTATAATCACATTTCATTGCTCAGTTACATTTAATATTTTCCTTTTCAGTCTTTTGATCCGTAGACAAATTATTAATTAATTTTCATAAGCTATACTACATGTTCATTTTTTTGTGACCATATATATATACGCAGCGTGGCAGTCTTTCACCATCTCTGTTATGTAGATTTTGCGGATATATTCTGATGGTTACCTGGTTGATGGAGCAGGGGCATCACAAAACAAACTTTAGAGAGAGAGAGAGAGCGAGAGAGCGCGAACGGGTGAATATTTCAACACTACATGCCTCTTGCTGTCAGGCCGTGTTCTCTCTCTCGCTCTCTGTGCCCCATCCTCGCTCACCCCTCATCCCTCTCCCTGTCCTGTTTTGTAAGAGTACTTTAAACGCAATGCTTTCATCCGGTAGAGAGTGCAAGGAAGAGGAGGGTCGACATGAAACAAGATCAGCTCCATTTGGACTCAAAGCGTTGCCGGCGCGTTGTATGCACCTTCCACTGCGCCCGCGGACGCCACAGCGTGTCCCTCGGTTGTCCAACCCATCTTTTTGCTGAACTGAGGAGACAGCTTCCCCAAATGCGCCCTTTATATCATAGGCTTGTTTGGTCTCCGCTCATACCTGTCTCCTGTCCTGTGGACAGAGACCCGTCATAGCCTCTTTCTACGCCCCCCCCCCCATCTCTTTCCACCTCCTTCCCCTTTCACTGGCCTACTCCAAAGTCAGCCTCGAAGCTCCTTCCTCCAGACACCTCAAGGGCTCCATCAAAGACAACGACTGAACATGCATCCCTCTCTCTTTCGAGCTCTCTGCCTTTCTCTCTCCTGAGAATGGCTGATTACCGTTCGCTCCATGGGCTAAGTGGGGCAGATAGCAGGCTCAGCTGTGGGAAGACAGACATTGAGGGGAGAGGATCCTGTCTCTCAACTCAAAGGACTCAAACCTGTGCACTGACCAAGATGACCATAATGCAAAGCACACAAGTAAGTAAATAGCCACCATATGCACACACACACACACACACACACACAGTACGCCATAGGCAATGACAAGAAGGTGACTCCTCTAAAAATGCAAGTGAAAATCGGTGCTCCCGGTCCCCTGCGAGCAAAACTACAAGTTAGGTGTAAACCTGCTGGTCTTATCCAGAGCAACTTCATGGACAGGTGAGCATAGAAGGCTGCATTGAAGGACACACAATTAGCACCTGCACGTATATTTTGTCCACTCCGATGCCTGATCAACTGTTGCGCGGCTCTGCTGTGTTCTCCCTCCAGCTTTTATAATAACAATTCATTTATTTTAATTTCTTCCTCAGCAGGTAACCTAATTTAAATTAAGAACCAGTGGTGTTACACGGATGTCTGTCAAATAATAACCAATTTGCCGCATGGTAAGCCCTCTGGAGACCACAACTCAGGTTCCAGAGAGAGCAACAGGCACACACAAACACACATTCAAACGCACACCGCGAGAGACGGAAAGGAAATGTGTGGCAGGTGAATCATTCACTGGAGGATAAATATCAACAACTGCTTGTCTTTTTTTTCATGTGCATGTCTCCCCTTGTGCACTTCTCTCCTTTTCTCCTCTAAACTCCTCCTGTGTGTTGAGTTGCTCCCACCGGTGTGGGTGGAGTCCCAAAGAGACCAATCACGACTCCTGCTGGGAAACAACTTATGAACTGAAAGTACACGCGCACACGGAGGGAGAAAAAGAGAAAATGATGGGTTTTCTCTCATTAGGTGACGTGCGGATGTACTCTGGTGCGAAGCAGGGGGTGATGGGGTGCGTGCGTGCGTGCGTGTGTGTGTGTGTGTGTGTGTGTGTGTGTGTGTGTGTGTGTGTGTGTGTGTGTGTGACTGACAGTGTGCACGTGTGCCTCATCTAACACAGTAACATCAGAGGCCCAGAGGTCCCGTGAGAGTTCACAGATCCCGTGCGGTAATTAATAGAGAAATCAGCAGGACCTTGGACAGCGACCAACCGCGTCTCATCGCGAGTGAGGCTGCGCCTGTTTCAAGCTGACGGTGACCGCCTATGTTTTCAGCACACAAATACACTCACGCACGCACACACGTATGCGCCCGCGCGTGCACACGCTAATATATAGGCCTACTACAGCTGTTTGTTATGTAACGATCCAGCATTCGTGATCCAGCTTCACATTTAAATACTCCTTATGTGTCCTCCGTCACGGAACCACAGAAATGAGTAATTTGCCCGTGTTTAACGCTCCGTCTTCAGGACACGCACGTGCGCGCGTGCACGCTCAGAATTATACAGTTTTAGAAGGATGCCACTCAAAAGCTACGACGGATGGAAGACAGGCTTAATGAACGGATTAGTGCTATAGGTCGATACCGGAGGAAATGCATTAGCACAGGAGTTTTTTTTAATATAGAAAGCCCAACCTTCTGAACTGCCTGCATGCCGTACTCAAGTTGACTATTTTAGGACGGATATAAATGCAACAGATATATTCTACTCACTCGGATTTCCTTGACAGGGCCAGGGAATGACAAAGGGCCGTGGGGGTCATTGGAACCAAAGTGCGGCAGCTTTGGGAACTTCCGCCGTTTTCTGGTTCACTGTCAACTGGGGAGACCGTGGACAGGTCGGCCGGAACCAGCTGCATGTCCCCAGGGTCCATGGGTTGGGAGGGCTGCTGGACCTCCGAAGTCGCCTTTACGGGGGTTGATGCCGCGCTGTGTTCCAGGAGAGACTCCGCACTGGTCTTGAGCTGCGGGTCCTGAGGGTGGTGGTGTTGATGGAAGCAGCTGGGGTCCGGGTGATGGTGGTAGTGGTGATGGTAAGGATGCTGCTGTTGAACCCTGACGTCCCGCAGGTGCCTGTTCTCGCCAATGAGCTCGTCCACCCGCCGGTCCAGCTCCTCTATCCGGGAGCGCTGGGTCTGGATGAGGCTCTGCTGGTTCTGGACGATGGTGGTGAGCTCTCGCAGGTACAGAATCGCCTGCACCGGATTTTCCAGGAGGCTGGTGCTCATCATCATACCCGAGACAGGAGGAGGGAAGAGAAGCCGAAGAAAACAGCTGGACTGACGGATGGAGGACTGAGGAGATGCAAAATATCCGTGAACGCGGATGAGAAGATTAGGTGTCCTTGCGCTATCCTCCCCTTAATTCTGCTCGGCTCCGGATGAAGCTCCAGCGACCGAGCTAGGCTCTGCTCCTCCGGTCGCTTCCCTCCCCCCTCTCTGTCTTTCTCTTCCTCACTCTTTTTTCTCTCTCCCACTGCGCTGAGTGTTGCTGATGAGAGGAGCGAGGTCCAGATGTGACAGCAGGGAGGAGGGGAGGCGAGGCGCTGGCAGGCGGATGCGTCATTACGCACTTGCAATGAGAGAGCGAGAGAGCAAGCACGCGCCCTACAGGCCGTTCACGGAAGTTCCACATCCGAGCCATATTCCTGGTTGAAGGCTACTGCACAGAACATCGGACTATTTGTAATTACTGCTCCACGCCATCCTTATGCACAAATGAGCGTCCACGTATAACGAGGGAGAGCGAGCGAGAGAGAGACAGTGAGACAGTTTTAAGACTAAATTGTTGTTAGAAGAAAGATATGCATTGATTAATACATAAGAGGAGGAATATAAATGGCATAAAAGGCATAAAATAAACGTATTATTTAATAAGTTAAAAGAGATGTCATCATTCTGCTATACCACGTTTTGGATGCACGCTATTTGAAACCACATTATATCGTGTACCATGGCAATAACTTGTCTCTTGTTTAACACAGAAACCCTTACAAAAGTAAGTGCGTTTTAACTGCCGGCGTTTTATCTCAATCTAAAAACCCAATTATATTCACATATTTATATAAATCAGATAGGCCTCCCATAAACATTATCCAATAACTCATATGATTATTATTATTCACGTGTTTCGAGTAAGAAATGACTGATTGAGCGTGAAGGCAACACGCTATCCTCATTGCGGTCACGTGTCATATGTATGCGGAAGTAGAGAACCGTTGCTTCGCTGTCTGTTTGCTAATCATTTGGGATCGGATGCTAGCACGGATCCCCTTGCTGACGTTGATTCTTTCTGCAGCCGTCAACCAGTAAACAACACCCATGGTTATGTAAGCAGACTGCATGTTGTTTAGTCTGTCGTATTCGTAATTAATTAATTAGAGGAGAATTGTTCGGTCGAAGGCTCGCGGCAAATCTTTCTTTAACACGGACAGGGTTTCCGTTGACTGTCGATCCCCATAGTTGAGTTACATTAAAACCACGTATAACGCAGGTTATGGAATTTACACAGTAATAGTAAGGGCTTCTTTGACCATAAACCGCTAAAGAGAGCTAATAGCCAATTTACACAGTGAAACCCGAACCAGCTCTATTCCAGGACGGTCACGTGACAGTCAGATGAGGGTCAGCTACTGGGTCTCAACCTTACGAAAGCTGTGTGATGCTGGAGCTGTCAATCAGCATCACTGTGAAAGAGTTGTCCGAGTTGTCCCTTGGACTATCAATAACACACACCTGTCTCTCCAGGTCTGAGTGACCGGTGTGGTGAACTTTGCTCTTCATTTCTAAACCCGTGTTGTTGTGTATCAGGATGAGCCAGAAGCAGTGCCTGGAGGGCCAGGTGTACTCTGTGCCTCTCATCCAGTCGGACCTGAGGAGAGAGGAGGCTGTCCATCAGATAGCGGATGCATTACTCTACCTGGAGACCATTTCTACGGATATTTTCAGAAGGCAAGGCCACACACAGACACACACAGAACAAAGAGTGTGGCTTCCATAACGTATGGGAACATTTACCTGAAGACATACCCTACCTCCAAAGACTGTGTATGAGAAGCCTGACCTTTACCGCTGCCAGCCCGATTCTAACCCCTGACCTTCACCGGGTCGTCACCCTGCAATGTGATGTTTTACAGTAGGGAAAAGGCCGTTTTGTCCCCCCGTATAAACAAACAAGACCGCACACACAAGAGCTGGAGGTTTGAAGGGACACAAGACAACCAATTCCCGAGTACTACTTGTGTGATTTAATATCATTTTATAATCACAAGATGCATCTTGCTCTAGTTGTGTAAAAGCGATTTGCTGATTAATTAATTTGTCATAAGAAATTAAACAAATGATCAATTGTAGCGATAACGGTTATTCAAATATTCAGCAGTTTTGCCTGCATTGCCTTGATTATAACGTAACTTCTAATAGACTAAATACTATTATTATTATTTTTGATATTTTACTAAAATAGATACCTGTTTTATGGTTAAGAGATAAAATAATTCTGAAATGAATAGTGGCGGTACAACTATTTTAGCATTCATAGTTCTAATTCTTTTTAGATTGATTCTTTCATTTTCTCGTTCAATAAAGTAAAAAGTGCCGCGTCAGCATTGTCACTACCAGGATAAAGCAGACAAAAGCACGTAACAAATAAAAGTTTAACTTCAATCACAAAGGTTGTTGAAGACAAAGCATCTGTTCAAGTATAATTGGGCATTAAATACCATCTTATTCAATGGATTGAGCAGTCAAATCCATATTCTAAGGCACGTTTGATGCCACAGCATCTGTTTCCAAGCAGATGGTCCTGTCTGGAACGCTGAAGATAGAGGAAGCCTCTACTGTAACTATAAAATGAAATAAGTGACATTTAATTTAAACAGAATTATTTTGCTGTGTTCGTAATTGGATGATACATATGAAATGATTACTTGATTTCAGAAACAGCTGTGTTATACTTTTATCTTTATTCCTGATTTTAAGAGCCCCGCAATGTGCATATGAAGAAAGAAATTTGGAATCGGGCCTCTTAGGTTATTAAGAAGTTGCCCACTCATCCCAATTGAATTGTATGACATGGTCTCAGAAATATCGTGAACTGTGAGTAGACGTCCATATTGATGTCAGAGTGTGTGTGTGTTGCGTCCAGGGTGTCCGACAGTGTGGAGAAGAACCGGCGCCAGCTGCAGAGTGTTACTGACAGGATCAGACTGGCTCAGGCCCGCGTCGACAAGATCAAAGGCAGTAAGAAGGCCACCAAGGTAACACGGCACCTCCAATTTGGCAGGATGCTTTTTGTACTTTGCACTTAAGGTCCATCAAACAAGATCATCGAAAGCATAATTAGCCCAGTGTCTGTCATTTATATCAGCACTTTTCTGTGTGCACAGGTTTTCTCCAGCGCAAAGTACCCGGCTCCAGATCGCCTTCGGGATTACTCGTCTATTTTTATTGAGGCTACAGACCCCTCCTCACAAACTCGCCCCCGACAAAGGATACAGAATAAACTTCGACCCTTTGATGAGACGGCTTTGCAGGTGAGATAAACACACAACAATTTTTCTCACATAAATATGGACTCGTTAAGAGAGCCATGGTTTCCCAAAGTGTCCTGAGTCTTAAAGCCTTGGAGCCACAGTACTGTAACTAATGTAAAAGAGCTGGATACATTTGGGGCGTCTCTATACGGCTAAAACTGTGGTTTGAAAAAAAAGGCTAGAAAGAAGCACGATTAATTGCCATTTTACGTGGCTTTTATCCTCCTGAGAATCACGACGCAGTTGTCACTCCAGACATACGAGGACAGTAGTACCTGGAGTTGGTTTCTACTCCTCTGTATTTAAGGAGACTGTGGGGGGAAACCCCTCCGTGACCTCCTCAGTATTTATGCAGGAGTGGAGAGCTTGTTCTCTGCCCCGTGGCCATCTGGCTCCTCCAGAATCCGTCTCCCAGCTTCCTCTCTGCACCCCGGCATGTATTTCGCATATTTTCCTGTGAGCGGTGAGCATCGTGGTTCCTCGCGCTTCCATCCGCGTCACTGTCGATTTTTCACACATTCTATCTCACACGATTTAAATAACCAGCTGACATCCATTTAATGAAATTACATTGATCTACAGAATGACAGAGGAGAACAAATCAAAAAAAATGGTATGATAGTTCCTGAGTGGTTTGGTGTCCCTCTGTCTGCGTTCACGTTTGTGTGCTTAGCTCAGCAGAGCGTCCTGCATTATTTATTGTGAACACCAAGTTCTGCCATTACCACTTTAGGGAACTTTACTAAAAACAGCGTATTTTCTGCAGTGTCGGCTTGGTATCGAGAATCTCTTCCTTTTTTTGTGTTGTCAGAGAGGGATAACATGGAGAAATGAAAACACTGACTGCGACTACTTTTCTTTCTTTGGTGCAGAAATGCATTATTTAACCCCCCCCCAGAAGCAATGGCCCGTTCATGCATTTGCACGTGGGAGCACTTTGGTGGCATTTGTGATTTGTGTTATCCGAGATTTAGTTGACATTTTACAGATCTGCCTTTCGCTCCGTGCGCGTGTCTTCCTTTCAGGAGAAATTGATGTATTTCCCAGTGTGTGTGAGCAAAAAGAAGAAGTCTGAGGATGAGACAGAGGAGGGACTTGGCAGTCTGCCACGCAACATCTCGTCTGTCAGCTCGCTGTTGCTCTTTAATACTACAGAGAACCTGTGAGTCCACACAAACACTCTCAACCAAAGAGGCAGACAGAGATGATTAGTGTTCACACAAATGATCTTAATCTCTTCTTCATATTCGGGTGCTTTTGAAGATATAAGAAATATGTGTTCCTCGATCCTCTGGCCGGAGCCGTGACAAAAACACACAGAACACTAGAGACTGAGAAAGAAGAGAAGCCGTTTGATGCGCCGCTGTCCATCACGAAGAGGGAACAGTTGGATAGACAGGTACGTCAAACACCCCCCTCCAACCAAAACGCATCTTTAATTTGATCATTCTTTTTGAAGCATTGCTAGTAAACCACTGACAGTCTCTGATCTAATCTTTTTCTCTCCATCAGACGGCAGAGTCTTATTTCTATGTGCCAGACCTGGGTCAGGTGCCCGAAATAGATGTGCCATCTTACCTGCCTGACCTTCCAGGCATCGCAGACGACCTCTCCTACAGCGCAGACCTCGGACCCGGCTTCGCCCCATCAGGACCCACACACATTATCCCTGATCTGCCCACTTTCGCTGAGGAGAGCGATGCACATGGTACAAACACACACAATTTGGGTTAATACTGTGTTTAAAAAGCTCATGTTGACTTTTCATCTCCTTGTCTTTCAGCCTCTCAGCTCCAACCCATGGTTCCACCTCCTCCACCACCTCCCCCCCCTCCTCCCGAGCCTGCCCTCGCTCCTGCCATTCCTGCAGGACCACCTCCTCCTCCTCCCCCTCCGCCTCCCCCACCTCCCCTTGACAGCCCCACGCGGGTCCCTCAGGCGTCAAACTCAGGTTTGTGGCAGCCGCGAACTGTGTTCTGTCTGCATGCTAAAGACTTGGTGGAATGTGATGGAGGTTTAAAGTGTATTAAAGCCGGTGTAACTCATAACACAGAGGAACCCTGTTCACTCTTATTGAGAGCTATGGCGCTTAAATCAACCCCGTGACCCCGTGCCGTCTCTCTGCAGGCCCCGTGTCTGGTGCTCCCAGCCGGGTGGTTGAGCCGTCGGACGGCCGTGCCAATCTCCTGGAGTCCATCCGCAACGCCGGCGGCATCGGCAAGGCCCAGTTACGCAACGTCAAAGAGCGCAAGATGGAGAAGAAGAAACAGAAGGAGCAAGAGCAAGGTGTCCGATCGTTTGAAATGTGCTTCTGCTAGTCTTTCATTAACCGTGAGCTTTAGCAAAGGGTGAGACGTACACGCAGTCACCAGGTCCTAGTTCGCTTTCACGTTTATTCAATGTGTTTCACTGCATGTCAGTATGTGAGCGTTTGTGTTTATGCCTCATGGTTATCATCCCGGTCCACGTCTTTGTCCCCTTCACTTAATAAATGGCAACTTACACTGAAAGGTGGACACGGTTAAAGTAGTATTTTAAATTGTCTTGAGATCGAATATATCAGAAAGCTCATCTTGTAAGGTGACAACCTAACGTTTGCTATTTAGAGCTGCTGATACCGACTAAGCAGACCAAACAGTCGTATTTATGGGCTCCGAAGCGCAGCTCTGGTGAATGATGGAAAGCCTTTCACGGCTCCCTGTGTCATGTAGTGACGGCCTGTCTTTGTCTCACAGCAGTGGGCGCTGCATCTAGTAGTGGAGACTTTATGTCTGATCTCTTCAACAAACTCTCCATGCGGAGGAAAGGTAAGGATTTCTCTTGCGTTAAATGAAATGAGGTTGGAACCGCGTGCACTGAATAATGCCTCCTGTTCCCTCTGCAGGCATTTCTGGGAAGGGTCCAGCTGCTGGCGAGCCGGGCAAAACGCCAGCTGGTACTGGCGGTGCATTTGCCAGGATGTCTGATGTCATCCCACCGCTTCCTTCTCCTCATGTGACAACGGACGACGACGACTGGGAGGCATAACGTGAAGGACGATGAAGACTTACTGTAGGACTTAGCGGCTCCCAGCATTAAGGTCTCCGATTTATTGGGAAATTCTCCGGTGTGCCAAGCGCGTATGAGAACAATGGCGGCCAACACGTGATGGCGTCATCTGAAGCCAGTGTTTTGGTTTGTCCACCCTGGGCTTCCGTAGGAATGATATGATGATGCTAACGAGCGCAATGAAGAGGATGTAAAGAGCTCATTCCACGGTAATGAAAATAGGTTCCTCTTTTCAGGGGATCATTCAACAGTGATAACATACGTGTGAACATGTTACACACTGGCCCTTACTCAGTGAACAAACATTCGTTATAAGTCCTTTGGTTTGTCCCACCTGTTCAACAAAACATCCCTAAAAATCCAATAATCATTTTTATTGATAATGATTTATTGTACAATATTAAATTATACAAGTGTTAAGACTGAATGCACTGAAACCATTTTACTAACATCTTGCATAGTCCTTTTTTTTGCATTACATAACAGAATAAAATGCATTAAATATTTAACATATTCTTCAAGGCTAAATTAGTTACAGGGATGTCATCGCTGTGTCTGATGTCTTTGGAGAAGCTGCTTCAGTTATTCATTTACAAATATCTGTTCCAGACTAAATTCTAAGACATTGCAGAACTGATGTATTGTTTCAATCTGATAAATAACCTTTTGCCATCAGTGGGACTTTGTGTCTCGTTTCTGTTAACAAGTCAAGGTAGAACGTACAAAGTAGAAAACATATGCAAACTACAGCCAGGAGCACTAAGAGGTCCAACAGCTTCCAAATGTTAAAGAACGTGAAGACGAATGAGAGGGGCTGAAGCAGACTACATTTGCACATAACCTCAGTGCCACTCGCCTTTCCTCAAAGTTCTCCAGAACCTCTGCCTTTGGAAATGTCGGTGGAGTACAGTGTAAGTGACGCTACACTTGCTTGTGCTTCTTCTCCAGGAAGAACTAGGAATGAAGAACATACAGACAACACATGAGTACATCGTGTCATGACGCAGTAGTTTGACCGCGGATTTGCTCCTCACCTTCCGCAAGGCAGCAAAAGCAGGGCCAAAGGTGGTATGCGTGCTCGTGCGATTTTTGATCCACGTTGGGAGTTTAGCCAGCGTAGCGGGTCGAGCGTAGCGTCGGTCACACATCACGATGCAGGAATAGTCTCCACGGTGACGAATAGCTCGTCCTTCGGAGAGATCGAGTAAACGATTACAAATCAAGTCCGCACTTATTAACAGCGGCGCATGAATATCGCAACACTACCTATGGATTGATTGACGGCCTTCATGCAGAGGTTCTCTATGAGTGCTTGTCCAGGCCTCCTCCCTCCGCTGTGAGGCTGAAAAGCAAACACACGCGCCTTCAACCTCAAACTTGTTTCGGCAGGTCTGTGGACAGCAAAAGCCTATTGGAACAGTCAGCGGTCTCACCAGGTGTTTGTCCAGATAGGACATCTTTTCCTGCAACTCCGGGGATTTGATGTTGGGATACGGCATTCCCACCATCACCACACACCTGCGAAGACACGCGCGCGGAGAAAAGCATTTCACGTACACGTAACGTGCAACTACCAGCTGTCGACGTGCTGACGAAAAAAAAAAAAAACACACACCTGCCCAGGTCGTCTGAGAAATTGATGCCCTCGCTCATCTTTCCTCCAACAACAGAGAACAGCAAAGCTCCCGTGAGCCCTCCGGCATCCACAGCGCACCGCTAATCGAATGGAAAGAAGAGACAAGAACATAGCAACACTCGGGCAAAACGCTGTTGACCGACCGATCATCAATGCTGCTAGAGGCAGTGACATTTTACCTGGATACAGCGGGAGAACTCGTTCAGCACCTGCTCCACCTGGTTTGATTTCTTGGGCTCCTGGAAGATCTGAGGAAGTGATTATGACGGCTTGAAGACAGTTTGGGAAGTTGAACATTTCCCTTTCCACGGGAAGGCGAAGGTTGATGCGCAAGTACCTTCTTCTTGTTGGCCAAACGAGTCAGAGCACCGCTGGCCTCCCAGTGAGAAACGATGCGCCTCGAGTACTCGTAGGAAGGGAAGAAGCACACGACTCCGCCCGGCACCACGTTACAGATGTTGGCGAGGATGCGCCCCGTCTCGTCCATCTGTGACCGGGCACAACATTTGCAGGGCGCTCGCGTAAACTACGCACCCACATTCAACGATATTAAACAACTTTATAAAGTAGTGAGTGTGTGTCAGTTACCATGCATGGGGAGTCTCTGTTTTGGAAAGTAAAGTCCAGCTCCTGACCAGAGGGGCCGCTGCACAAGACGAGAGGAAGAATGTTCTCGGGAGGAATGACGTGACCTACAGGCAAAGGGAATTTAACAACACAAACATTCAATTATTTTACATAATCAAAGAACAATATTTCATGTACTATAACCTCACAATGCAACTCTGACAGCACACGAAAGCTGTGTGCGTCATAACTAAGAATTAGGACTTTATTGTTGCGTATAAATACTCACCACAGGAAAACTCGGTGATGCGCTCTTCCTCCACTCCAGCAGAAAGCAGCAACTCTTGTTTGAAGTCTGAAACCTACATATGCCGTCTTTCAGAATGACACAACGTACACAGCAACGGCTTCATTTGTTTTTAGTGGATTAAAATCGACTTACAGGCTGCATGGTTCCTCCCGCGATGACGACGGCTCTGCACTGCTTCAGCACCTGGGCAAAGTGGACCGCTGGGTTCAACAGCAGGAACTTGATGCTGCTCTCTGACAAAGTACCTGCACGTGATACAGCGAGGGGATTTTTTAATTGTTTTTTTTTTACAAATCTTTATTGGGATTTCTGTTTTTACTGTTTTACTTTACCTTGCTTGTGCACCAACACTCTGCCATCGGCGTTGCTGTTGGTGAGAGCCATGAAGAAACCCTCCACCTGCATCATGGGAGACGTGGCCAGTGCTTTCTCCGCCTCTGACCCCTGCTGGTCCGCTGAAGAAACTACACACATGGGAGGTTAAAAAAAAAATTTTTTAGAGGGAAATACATTTCTCCCATCACAAGGTTTCCAGAAATTAAGCTGCGTTTTATTTGCTATTTGGACTTCATGTTGCAACCACAACGCAACATGTCTGCGGTGCACATGACACAATCCTCCCTCTGACCTGGCGCGTTGATTTGGGTGCTCTGCAGTGTTTGAAGGTAGCGGTTCAGTCCCTCTGTGCGGCGGTTCTCCTTGTTGGTGCGGCTCTGCGTGTGCACACTCACGCCCGATCCTGCGTACTTCTCCACGAAGCCTCCTAGCTGGAGACACAGGAGACTCTTGTGGGATTTGTTTGATCCTACGGGAGAATCTCTCAATACATTTGAGGCGGAAATCAATACATATAAATGTGAATATGAAACGCTTACTTTTCTGCTTATCGTGCTCTTCTCAAAGTATCTCTGTAACTGAAGTGACATTGAAGAAATCAGAGTTTGCCTTTTGGAGACATGATTTCAATTTTACCGACATAACACTTCATAATACCTTAAACAAGTTTATATTGTCAATCTGTGCCTTGAAGAGGAAGTTGTTGATGGTGTGCAGTTCAGTTCCTAAAAGACAAAGATGCACGAAGGGTTTGTCAGTTCTTGTTGGAGGTGCATTGTGTGTGTGTGTGTGTGTATGCGCGTATTATTCACTAACCTGTTAGTGTAGTCTGGCTCTGTGGATTCTGCCCCACTTTACCTGCCGGGATCACATTTACATAAATGGCTAAAACGCAACACAATCTGTGGTGCAGACTGGCAGTAATCCGTAATCAAAGAAGTCATTTGAACTCAAAACGCACTCACCTCCCAGCGCCCGGACAAGCCCCTCGATCGCAAACAGAATCTGTTTGATGTACATCACGTTCTTGGCCTTCAGTCTGCTCCTGGTGTTGTGGAAAAAAAAAAGAAGCATCAGGAATCAGGAGTCTGTATTCACAAATATTCTTTTGGATTTCCTCGACATCCAAACTGCACAATTACAATATTGAATTGGGGTGTGGGGGTGCATCTGGAGTCGGTGTGAAAAACTCACTTGTAGCGATCGCCGTACTGGGCGAGCTGCGAGTAGGCGCGGCAAAGCTGTAGCAGATTCACAGGTCAGTGTAATGCAGAGACCATGAGGGGTATACGAGGTGTATGATATGATACATATGTTCTTAACCTGCGCTCCAGTTAGCTCTGCGCTGTGTATACAGGACAGTGTGTCACTAAGATTGTGAGCTTCATCTATGATCACTACCTGTGAAAAAATAAAAATATATATATTCAAACATTTCTGCTGCTATTTCCATGGCGATACAAAGAACTGATTAAAACAGATAATCCTACCTGTCCCTTCAGCTTGACCCCCGCTGCCCTCCTTGTGGCTTCGTGAAGCAACATCTGATAGGGCAACACCACCAACTATGCAGACGCCACAAACACACAGGTTAGAAATCAACGCTCCAATCTGCTCACCAAAAAATTAAAAAAAACCATTGTGAAGTTTTGGAACAAGGGCAATATCGGCAGCGCGGCGAGCAAGTCGCCTCCAACGACGGCAGGCACGGGGCTTCAGTGAGCCAGTAGGGAGAGGACAGCGTCACCTGTGCAGGGGGAACGGCCAGGCGTGCGGCGTAGTAGGGACACGAATGTGTCTCTCTGCCCAGCTTCAGCATCTGCTCGATATCGTGGACTGTCCCCAGGACGTTGTCCCTCATGTGCTGCAGTGCTGAAGCTTTGTTGTAGGGACACACGCTCTTGGCTGGGCCTCGCTTGCGTTTGACACGCTCTTCATCGTGTGGCTTCTCTCCTAAATGGTACAACAGGCAGCATTTGGTCTCATTTATTTTGTACGGTTTAACACAGCTATTGGGTTCTGGATGCATAATTCAACAAGGGCATTCCTGTTTCGTTCTGATTTGTGGCATGTTTTTTGTTGTCCGTCTAGTGCTGCTGTTGTTGTTTGACTGTAACTCGTTGTTATTCCTGTCTCTCTTATTATTATTCCTGACCAGCACACTCTTGAAAAAGAAAGCTTGTCTGGTTCAAACAAAGATGGTCAGTGGTTCTGCAGCTTGTGTGTGAAGGGCTCCCACCATGTTTGTTTTTCTGCATCTCCATGCAGCGGTCGTTGATGCGCTGGCTGCTGCCCAGGCGACGCACCTCTTCGTTGATGCACAGATTCTGGAGAGTATACGGTTTTATGTTCACTGTAAACATCTGATGTCAGACACATATAGATCATTTTAGGACCTTAACTATAAAATATGGATGCGGTTCAACCGGATGTACCTAAACGTAACATTTCACTGAGTTCTTGCTGCGTGTGCACACATACCTGGCGTGAGCCCAGTGTGACCAGACTGATGTCCTTGCTGAAGGGGCTCTTTTGAACCTCGTGGACAAACTGGGCCAGCTGGGAGTGAGTGCGGCTGCAGTAGTAAATCTGAGAACATAAGAGTGTGCCCCGGCCTCACCATTATGGTTTATATCAATGGGACACTCGTCCTCACAGTTGTTAAAGCGTCTCGATCACACACCTTATTAACGTGTTCTTCAACCAGCTCGTCGTCCGTGTCCTCGTCAGCGCCGCAGAATCTGAGCGTGAGAGCAAACACCCGCCGCTGTCATTCGCTGTCACAACATTTGATGATCGCTTACCGTTCAGTAGTCAATGGCTCAGCTCACCCGGTCCTGGTCTTTGACTCGTCGTCACTCTCATATTCTGCAACGACAAGCTCCTCGTCCTCTTGATCGCCTTGTGTCTCGGTGTCTTCCTCCTTACTGAGCTTAAGCAATTTGAATGCCTCTTCATCGTCAGAGCTCTAGAGATGCATACAAATAAAGTTGGAGGGACTTGACTTACTTTGATTGGAAATGTCACCGTTCAGGATCCCTTACTTTTCTTTTCATTGCATACTTGAGCTGAACGTTGTTTCGGATCATTTCCAAGCGTTCCTCCCTCTTCTTTCTTTTCAATTCGTCTTCCTGGACTCACAAAACAAACAAACAACGAAGGTGAGATGCCAAAGTTCCCGAGGATCCACCTGGCTCGCGTTGATCGACCTCACCTTCAACTTTGACACTAAGTCTCGTTCTGCCTTTTTTTGAACGAACTCCGTGATCCAGTCGGGCTCCGCCGAGCCGCTGGCGGCGGAGGACGCGGCGGTAGAAGTGGAAAGGACCAATTGTCCTTCGTGCAGCAGGGCGGCTGCCTTCTGTCGGCTCTGCTCCTCGTGGTCTGTGAGCCAGCTCAGCGCTCCACAGATCAGACTCAGAGACTTGCCCTGTGTTGAAGAACACACACACACACACATATTAAAAATACAAAATGCATCAATAAACCCAATCTCTCTTATAGACGTGGAAACATACACACCGTTCCAGTTGGGCTTTCAAAGATTCCCACTTTGCCCTGTTGAAGCACACCGTACAGAGCCTGCATGAACTGCTCCTGGATGTCGTAGGGCTGGTAGGGAAATGGAAATTGTTCCCTGCCGTTCTCCATGTTCGTGATCGTCCCCGGGAGACGACCTAAGGGTTAACAGAGGAGCTCCTTGTTCAGCTCCACCGGCACACACGGCGTGTTTAGACTGGACGGTATTACACTACAACCCTCTGATAGTGGTGTTGTGTCTAGCGCGCAAACTCAGACAGGCGCCAAATTTCTGCGTTTGCACATGACGTTATCAATCGCATGTTATACTAGCAAAGTCCTGACAGTGTAACTCATTTGACTAAAGCAAAGTGACCCACCGCGTAAATAAGGAGCTTCCCAAGCCCTGTAAAGAGACGTAGCGTGTTGTGTCAAGCTACTAAAGGTTGTCACTGCGTTGAGAATGAATCGTTTAGTTGATGCTGAGCCGAATTCACAACTAGCTAACTTATAATCAACCCCCCCATTGGCTGGAATCAAACGGTTGCCTTATTAAAGATACTTACGCGCAGATATTCTTCGGAAAACAAATGTGACTTGTGACGACGTTAAACTCCCGCGCCTACAGGCAGCAGCAGTGGCGGTTTCTGACCAATAGGGAGCGAGATAAGCCAAAGAGTGAACGTTTTACTTTACTTCGTGCTCGCGCGTTCGGTGCTATCTGCACGTACGGCCCACATCTGCCCTTTAGCGTAGAGGCATTGCGCTACCACACACCATTTAAGCACTTTACGCAGTAAAGATATACGTGGCGGCCCAATATATCGCCATATTTTGCATTTTTCTCAAGCGCTTTATAAGTGCACCGCCTTTTCGGGAGATGCGTACGTTATGCGAGAAACGCCCCCGACGCGAGTCCAGCCCCCTGAGATCCTCCTAGAGTGTCTGGAAAATTCTCTGCCCTTCTATTAGCGGTTGTCAGTCGCCACACTGCACGTAAAGCGTGGACTGAAAGTAACCTACCCCCCCCCCAAAAAAAGCTCTTACTCCACTCCGATTAAAGAGTGACCGGTGCACGACGGATAGCACGTTCTTCTCGCAGCTCGCCGGGAGCTGTAACGTGTGTAGAGATTTGTTTTACTCCCAATAGCATTCACAAGTAAGTACGGCTAGCACCTACGGACGTTAGCTAGCTAGCGCGACGTTAGTTGCCGTCTCGCTGCAGAAGTTTGCCGTCAACGTCCGCGCCCGCCGAAGCCAGCGTTCATTTGTTTTTTATTTATATTTTTTATTTTTGTTGGTCGGTGCAGGAGTAACGTTATTAGGAGGAGGGGTGAAATCTTCGCTCCGCGACGATGACTGCAGAGGAGCAGACGAGTGAAGGACAGCACGCCATCCCGATGGAGGGGGAGGACATCACGCCGAAGAAGGACGGCGGCGTGTTAAAGGTGAGCGGTCTCCGCGGCTCGCGGTCAGCCGGGCGGCTCGAACCCGCTTTAATTGCCGTTCGCTGAGGGCGGCGGCGGCGTTCGGAAGGCCGGTGGTTGACACCCGTCGCGGCGCTGCGCATCTCGCTTCCTTCCGTTGTTCACGTAGCTTAACGGCCTCTAGTTATGGATAATTAGCCGCGTCTAGAAGCTTCTGGAGCTCCTTTCTGTATTCCTAACACACACACACACAAAAAAAATATGCATGCTAATGAAATATTAATATGAATATATCAGGAAACATTTATTGCCAAAAACATCGCCCGTTCATTCACAAAAATGTTTAGAAGGCTTCGCTGAATGACAAATACCAGGACTTGTTTTTTTTTTAATCATCTATTCCTCTCGCTTCTGCAGCTGGTGAAAAGGGAAGGAACAGGCGCGGATCTGCCCATGACCGGCGACAAGGTCTTCGTGCATTACGTGGGCACGCTTCTGGATGGCTCTCCGTTTGACTCGAGCAGAGACCGGGGAGAGAAGTTCTCCTTTGAGTTGGGCAAAGGTGCGTCTGGCATCTAACGGAGAGGTTCACCCCCCCCCCCTCCCCTCTTATCTGACTTGCACGGCGTCTTTTTGGGTAATCCGTCGTCTTTTGTTGTTGTTTTTTTAGGTCAAGTGATAAAGGCATGGGACATCGGCGTAGCCTCCATGAAAGTGGGGGAGCTGAGTCAACTCATCTGTAAGCCTGAGTACGCTTATGGATCTGCAGGCAGTCCCCCCAAAATACCCCCCCATGCCACACTAGTTTTTGAGGTCAGTGTCTGGGATATCGGGTGACATTGACTGGCCGTCCTATGCCGAAGCGAGTTCCCTGCTGTCATGATACCTTATGGGTGTGTCAAATAATCGTTTATCCTCCTGCACACTTGTAGGTGGAACTGTATGAATTTCGAGGCGAGGACATAACGGAGGATGAGGACGGTGGGATCGTCCGTCGCATGATCACTAAAGGGCAGGGATATTCCAAGCCTAATGAAGGCGCTTCTGTTGACGGTAATGCGCACGACTGTTTCTTTGCCAAAGTTGAAAACGTGAGATTTTACTGTTTGTAATAATGCATCTGATGTTAATCGGTGTCATTTATTTAGAAATGGAGATGGTGGTCTACTTTCCTAAGCGTCAACCAACGAGTCAATATGTTTTTGTTTGTGATCAGATTAAGTCATACATTTATTTTAAAAAATTGGTTACGTTAAGGCCGGTAGGCAATGGTAGATCATGGTAAGCTGATACATGCGGTTGACCTGTTTGATGCCCATGTGATGAACCCAAAATGTATCTTCCGAGTTTGAAACATTCACCTAGTGTAGGCTCTAAAAGTGGATCTACACATTTACTTTCATCCTTCCTGCAGAGGCCAGAGTCGCCATGTATTTTTTATTACCATTAAAAAGTTATGGTAATATACGTGGTAGCTGGGATGATGCATCATTGCCACGTTTTCTGTTCACCTCACAAGCACCGAGACAAAGAGCAAATTGTACTCCAGACATCAACATTCACAATCTACAAAAATCCATACTGAAATTAGCATAAACTGGACTTTCTGGTTTGAAATGAACCGCCTGTGTATCCCTGCGGTACGTGCTGCAACACGCCAAACAATGCACGCTTCTGCTCGCAAAGTGCGGACCGATAAGTCACGTTTGGCAGGAATTTGTGTTTCTAACACATGAGCATATAAATTACTATTTGAAGAATTTAGCCTATTTTTACACTACCGTGAACGCTGGCACTTACTGCAGTCCATTGTAACAACGGGCAACAAATTCAGTCTACGTCCATATCAGAAAGAAATGCGCATGTGTTGATTTCTAAAATCCTCTGAAGTTCAAATGGGATTTCTTTGCTGTATTAAAATAATTCTGTTTTTTTTTTAATTTAACAAAACAATATTTAGATTTAAATGTTTTTAAATATCACTTATCCTCTTTTGCAATCAACCCCCGAAACTGAATCCACTGCATTGCACAAGTTACGTTGCAGGTCATTTAGCTGACGCTTTTATCCAAAGCGACTTGCATTACATTTTTAACCCATGGCGTTTTACATTTTTTCCCGGGGAGCAATTAGGGGTTAGGTGTCTTGCTCAGGGACACTTCGACATGGAGGAGCCGGGGTTCGAACCGCCAACCTTGCGGTTCCCGGCGTACCCTCTCTACTCCTGCGCCACGTCGGCCCAAGTCCCACATATCTGAATTATATATATATATTTTTTTTTAACCCCGTTCAGTAACTGTTGTGGGTTCCTGCGAGGGACGAGTGTTTGATGAGAGAGAGCTGAAGTTTGAGCTCGGCGATGGCGAGGGCCTGGGCTTCCCGGTCGGCGTTGAGAAGGCGATCATGGCTATGGAGCAGGAAGAGGAGGCCCTCTTCTATATGAAGCCCAAGTATGATCCAATATACAGTGTTTGAATGCATTTTCTTCTTATCGGTTTGTTTTACTTAGCTCAAACTGAATTGTTACATTTTATTGGGCTTGCGTTTAGCAAAATGTATAACCGGATTTCTAAGTAAAAGAATTATGCAACTTGAGGGCAATAAGACTATTGTAGTGTTAATAGTGCGTAGTATGTTGGTAGCATCAAAGTATTCTATCTTTTGCAATGCTGTCTTTCTTTAGAGCGCACTCTCATACCAAGAGTAATAATTCTGTTTTGTTTTTTTCCTGATTTGTAGATATGGCTTTGGGAATGAAGGCAGTGCCAAGTACAACATTCCTGGCGGAGCAACACTCCAATACAAAATCAAGCTGACGGCTTTTGAGAAGGTAAACTGATCCGATGAACACAACTAGGCTTTAGTTTTCTGACTGCGTGTCACTTGTGTGTTGCACCTTTTTTTTTGCGATTCATTTTTTTTGAATTTGTTAGGCTAAGGAATCGTGGGAGATGAACACTGCCGAGAAGCTGGAGCAGAGCCGCATTGTCAAAGACAAGGGAACCCAGTATTTTAAGGTGAGCGGTAAGGCCCCTTAAAAAGCCCACGGCTCTGAAGATTCTTCTCAAGTCGTGGCACCTTTTCGTGTTCTCTGAACTTCTTCCACGTGCTCCAGGAGGGAAAGTACAAGCAGGCGTCGGTGCAGTACAAAAGGATCGTGTCGTGGCTGGAACACGAATCTGGGTTGTCCGAGGAAGACCAAGAGAAGGCAACCGCCTTGCAATTGGCCGCACACCTGAATTTGGCCATGTGCTTCCTTAAACTACACGAGCCGAATCAAGTCCTAGAAAATTGTGACAAGGTATTTAATGTCTAACACAATTGAACAGTTTGTGAACTATTATTCAGTATTTGGGAGCGTTAAAGACTCGCTGGGTAAATTCTTTTCCAGTTTAGTATAATACTTTAAACGTATGTTTATATGGTGCTCTGCTTTACGACGTTAAATGCGGTAACATTTCTCTGTGCTCTGTTGGTAATTGTAGGCTCTGGGGTTGCAAGCATCTAATGAGAAGGCTTTGTTCCGAAGGGGAGAGGCACTGTTTGGTATGAAGGAGTACGACAGAGCGAGAGATGACTTCCAGCAGGTGGTTCAACTCTATCCTGCCAACAAGGCTGCCAAGAGTCAGGTATAATGCCGTGGGTCTTGAAGGGTGATTCCTTTCACATCGGGCCTTATTTTACACATTTTGGTTTGTTTCTAAATACAAATAAACAGTTTTTTTGTTGAGAAATCCAGCTATACTTTTTGTTAGTACAACATGCATAGCGAGATGAGTATTTAAGGTGTGTGCTCATTTGCATTGATAAGCAGGTTGTGAAATTACCGGTCTTAATTACCTCCTGGTTGCAGAACTTCCCTTTTTACTGTGACAACTATGCTAACAGGTTAGAGCAGCCGCACCGCCTGTGAAGATTCAACAGGTTGCTTATTGACTTCCTACTGTAAACGTAACACTTTTAACTACACGGTCTTTGTGTCACAAACCTAAAACTAAATTGCTATTTATTTATTTTTTTCGCAAATGTTTTTTTAACTTTTTTTTTTATTTCCAAAATTAATGTTAAATTTAATTTTGGCAAATCAAACTTAATTTAGGAAGATGGGCTGGCGGAACGTAACGGGCCAGTTTGAAAGTATTCATATATACCGTTTAACTCGAGTCAAAGTGGTCTTCGATTAGTGATGTCTGGCCAGTGCAGGGAAAATCTGAAGACTGTTGTCCCTGAAATACAGTTGTGACCTTGTACATTATGTTCTGTCAGGTGAGTCTCTGTCAGAAACGTATCAAGGAGCAGCATGAGAAGGACAAACGCATCTATGCCAACATGTTCCAGAAGTTCGCAGATAGGGATTCAAAGGTAACGCCTTGTGTTTTTTCTAAAACAACCACTAGGGGGTGGGACACGCATGTTTTTTTGTTTTTTTTAAATCCCTGTGTTATATTTTCTTTTTTCCTCTTTGTGAACAGAAAGAAGCAGACAATGTGAAGAGCGATGGCAAGACGAGCGGCGATGACGGCATGGAAGTTGAGAACGGAGAAAAGGAAGTTGCCAGTGACTCAAAGGCGTAGATAGACACGACCAGACGGTTCATCTGCTTCAGACTTTTGTAACTTCAGCTATTTGTGTTTTTGTGCGTGTGTTTACGTGCGTGTGCGTGCGTGCGTGCGTACCAGCCCATCAATAGATTGCACCGGCTTAGGCAGCTCCTGCGCTGTCTTTCGGTGTCCCCCGGGTTTTCTTTGCCTCGGGGGGGGAGGGCTACAACAAGGGGATGGGAAGGGTTCAAGTGTGGTTTTATATAAACGGAAAGGGTGCCACGCCGTCCCCCCGTGTGCCCCTTCACCCAAAATAGCTTGGAGCAGTGTATGCGTTTTATCGGTAGGATAAAAAGTGCTTCCAAGTGTTAATGCAGAATTTCTCCCGTAAAGGGTGAAACCATTAATCTCGCTCAACCCCCCCCCCCCCGCCCTTCATGTTTTCTGCCATCCATCGAACACTCCTCACGGGGATACTGATCATGATGATGGTTGTGTGTATTTGTTTTGTGTCTGAATGTGAGCGCGACTGAGTCCTAAAGTACGTATGTAGCACCACTGTGGATAGGTGGAGTAATACGAAGTTAGCCTGGAATAGCTGTTGAACTTTGAACTTTCCTCTCGATCTAAAGATGGCACTCCTCCGTAGCCCCCGGGTTCCATGACCGTTTACCTTTTACCTTGGAAATATTGACTTTGTACTTTTTCCCGGTGTTGTGCTTCTGACTTTTGTTCTAAAAATTATAAACCATGACTTTAACTGGAATATGTGGATTTTAAAGCAGCTACAAATGGAATGAATTACCCTGTCCTGGACACACTTAAGTAATAAAACAGTTGGTCTTAATGTACTGTCAAAGAAGTAGATGAATGCATGTGTGCTTGTACAGCCAATCGAAATCAGGCTGTGGAAGACTGTATGCCACAACACGAATACGAGCCCTGTGAGCCCCTGTAGGACAACTGGTCTGTGGGTGTTCTGTGTTGAGCTTATCTTTGTCTTTTGGAAGGTTTGAAAGAAAGATGTAATAAATACCTACAATTTGATACTGTATGACATTTTTTGACTTTTCTTTTACAATTTCCTGCACATAAAATCTGGGAACTCTTCTCCACAGAAGCAATTAATTCAGCCAAGCCGTTTACACACACACTCCAATTTTAGCTCCGGGTGTGAATTCATTGGATAGACTTACATCCCAATTTTGAAGCCGCACCAAATTGCTTTCTACTTGAGCAGAAGATGGCTTAAAAATAATTCTGTTCACAAAATGTGATTTAAATTGTCTCTGCATTTCTATTATGGAGGAGCATGTGTATTGTGAAAAAGACCTCCAATGTGATGTGTTTTTGCAGTTTTAAGATCACACCCAGTGTTTACCTGCAGCTGTCCGGACGTCTGAGTCATATTTTCCAAGGTCAAAACGGATCTGATCTGATCCTTCAGCCCTCACACAGGGACACAGGTGTCGGTTTACGGATGTGCATTCTCTTCTGTGTGATAAGCGCTCAGCACTGTTTATCGGTTCATTTTAGGTGGGACATTTTCTTTGTTGTGAGGGTGTCGCCTCTTGGTGTGCCTTTGCTTTGTGACGAAAAGTATTATCCCAGATTCGTCTTCTGGACTGTGGGTGAGTGCAGAGCGCAGTCGTCAAATCGGAGGATTGGCAGTTTGATCCCAGATCCTGCTAAACCCGTGTGTCGATGTGTCCTTGGCCAAGACAAACAACCCCAACACTGCTCTTGTAGCTGTGACTACAGTGTGAATGCTAGTTACTGATGGGCAGGTGGTGCTGTGTGGTAGCTGCGGTCACCAGTGTGTGAATGACGTGAAATGTTAATGTGCTTTGAACGGTCGAAAGTCTAGGAAACCATTTACCATTGTCTCTGCCCTCCCATTCATTTTCAGTGGAGCAGCTCCAAAATTGATGACATCCAAGGCTTGACACTGCTTGAACTTTGCATGGCCGTGGAAATAATTCATTGTCTTTCTTTATTTGGGTGGTGGTGCCCTTTAGTAAAAGCTATTTTGAGTGAGAATTGGGAGATCACATGGTTTACACTCAGATGGATGTCTTACCTCTCAGTAATCAAACGTCCTTATCCTATTTACTCAGGTGGAAAAAAAAATAATATATATATATATATATATACTTTTTTTAAATATACTCTTTTTATTAGTACATTTCATTTACCAAAGGCGATTTTTTGTATATATTTCTCACACTGTATTATGCGGGATTATTATTATTATTATTATTGCATGCAGCGTGGCGGGCTGCAGCCAGGCTCAATGAGCCGGAAACATGACTACTACCAGCAACAGGTACACATCCAGGTAAATAATGGCGGGTGATGCTCATGTATTCATACATGTCAAGCTAGTTGTAAACAAGTTGGTGCTTCCGATATTTTATTTCAATACAAAGCATTCAGTGGCTAAAATGTTTGAGCAAACACACAGATTGTGCGTAGACAGCAAAAGTATATATCAGTTATAACATTTTCCTTTAACATACAGTCAAATGAAGATATTCAGTCACGGATTAATTTTTCAAAACAAATTTAAATGACGCTTTTAATCTGAAGGCAAACACGTTTCACTTCCGCTCTTTTTCCCCTGCATCTTCTGTCTCCTCCACGTCCTTATAAGAGTGGTCTTGAGGTAAAACCGGTGTCAGATCCCGTCGCTCGTCCCTTCTCCGTGTGCCGTGCCGTGCCGTGCCGGACTGCCGGTTGCTCCGGAGGATTTAGTTGGATGACCTCGGGTGCTCGGTTGAGAGGGTGCTCGGTTGACACCAGCGGCTCCCCGGGGTCATGGAGGGACCAGAGACCCCCCGGGAACACACGCAGCGCGCCCGGTAGCGCTCAGCGGCTGAGGAGCAGCGGACGACAAAGACGGGGGAGGGGGCGACCCGACGGATCACACGGGCCGGGGACAAGTGTTCACTATGATCGCGGCATTTTTTCCCACGAAGATTTTGGTGCGCAATCGCAAACATCTCGCGTTCGCCGCTCTCCTGACGCTCGGGGCCGTGGCCGTCTACCAGCAGATGGTCGCTGCGAAAGCGTGGAGCAACAATGCGAGTAAGTGTGCGGTCGCCGGCCAGAAACTGTCACCATAAGTTTCCTCAAAGCGTGTAATCGTGTAATGCACCATTTAGACTGAGCTTGGATCTAAAAAAAAGACACCTGTATTAAGACACCTGTACTAAGCATTATGTAAAGCAATGTGTCGCTTAATACGGAGTAGCACCAATCTCGGGAAAAAAAACGTGCGGTTCATTGTCAAACTCACATAAGCGCAGTTCAATATAAATGTATTTCACATCTTTTGGTTTCCCTGAATGAAGAACTGAGTGCTCAGGTATGGGTCTCCTAGAGACCGAACAACACACCTTTCTACATGAAATAAAAGACTCTGGAAATGAAAAGTGGCATTAATAAATAAAAGTACCATGAAATAATTAAATGTATTTAATATTTATTTATTTATTGCCTCATTTATTTATTTCATGATGTATTTCAAATGCATATTTCACATTATTCATTTATTTAATTTTGACTAAAACGGCATTCCATATCTACGGACACTCGGCAGGTAAACAGCACGTGCATTGCTTGCTGCCTGCAGAGAATACACAGACTAATATTGTACTTTTTAATGCAAGTTCGTCGTTGATGCTTCATTTTGTGGAAAAAAAACCCCTATATTTTAATTACAAGGCTGCAGGTCTCGTGCTTTTCCTTCATGTGGAAATTACTTCACAATGGGCGGTTTTATTACTGGTCAAGGAATGTAAACAATTCACTTTGTTTTGCTCGCTGTCTCTTTTTCTACCCAGCTCTGACAGCTGACTGTCCCTGTCACACTCGAGAGTGCTTTTTGTTCATTTTCTTCCCAATAGTTGTGCAAAACAAAATAAGCATTGACAAGAAAAGAAAAGTCCTCAGTTTCAGTCCGTTAGTTAATCAGTTAATAAGCCTTGATGTTACTGGTGTTTTGAATTTATGTTACAAAAACTAAACGTCTCTGGTACAAAGTACAAAGGAAGGACAGGAGGTGTTCTTTATTCTTTATAAACTTCACTCTGAAATGATATAAACATTTTATAAACCAATTTATTTTCAGGGACGGATATTAATGACTTGAAATTGTGGAAAAATAACGGAACAAATTGTCTGTGCTCTGAGCAATATTGTGACAAATAGGAAACAAACGAGGGGTAAGTAGGAAAACTATGTCTGTCCCGACCGGATACAAATGTTCCTTCTCTTCCTTTTCTTAACTGCAACGCTAGAATTCTCCGTGTTGCCAACATGGGCGCATGTCTGAAGAGTGTGTGCTTGGAGAGCTCCACCCTGGTGATAATGACAGCCTCTGCTGGCTCTGTCATCCCAATCCACTCGCTGACACCACGAGCTCACAAAAAACAACAACCCAGGACCTACTTTTACAAAATGCACTCTATAATTTGAAAGATGGCTGAAGAGGTTAGAAGGAAAGCATTTTTCTTCATCTGCTAAGCTAGAGATTTTTGCCTGAAACGCGAGTGCCACATAATAGCATTGCAGCCCGGGAGTAAGAGGAGTTACTTTCAGTGGTCATAAAGGTTGAAGTGGAACAGCCGGTGGTGGGTAGGACCATTTGAGACACTCGGCTTCATTGTTTGCCCGGTACAAGAGATAATCATTTGTTTTTTTTGAAGGAGTGGTTGATTTTATCACTAGTTGGTCATTCATACACATGGGCTACATGTGTGCTTCCTCTTACAAATCCCCACTTCAAATGTGCAATGCCACTAGCCTCATGAAGCAAATCGAGACAATAGAACACATTTTGGTTTGAATGCAGTCAGGAAAAAAACACAACCCATTTCCCCATGTTGGGAATTAACACATTTCTTTCTTTCAGACCATCAGAAGCGACGTTGTGACCCAGTTTGTTCATCTGTGCACAGTAAAAGCATATTTGCCTGATCGCCTTACCTTTCCTCCCACTTGCTCACAGGTATGAATCCCAGCGGGAGCAGCTGGAGGGGAGCCGTGTTTAACCAAACGGTAAGGGCGGTTTGTGGAAAAATAAGTCATGGCGGAAAATATGGTGATGCTTTCGTGCAGAAACGGGTAAAACGTGTCTGTGTGTGTGTGTGTGTGTGTGTGTTTCAGGTCAGAAGTCACCCTGGACCAGACTCCGAGGAGAACTCAGCGGTTGGGAGGTCCGGCTACACTCCACATCCCTGGAAACCAGAGGTGTGTGTTTGTGTCCACACATGAAAACACTGTGTTTTCCCTCTTTTGAACTACGAATAACCCGCCCGGGCTTGCCCAATTTCCTCCCACCTCAGTGCGCGTGCCTCTGCACACAGTGTGTTTCCTGCAGCGGGGTCGGCTTCAGTAGCCTCTGTCATCAGCGCTGTGCTTTGTTCCATTTCCTGCACCTTATGTTTCGCTTTTGGGGGAAGCCCTTGTTGTATCTGGCAATCTTGCATTATAATATTTTAATAGTTCCACAAAGCGCTCACCCAAAAAGGATTGGGTGTTATGAAAGTAACATTTCTGTCTGTTACTTGAAACTGTGCAAGATGCGGTCACAAAACTGCACGTGTGTAGCTGAGATCAAAATAAATGTTACGTTAAAAGAAGGTCGCTTGAATTAAGCTGGTGAGAAATGGGGAAGGGGTCATTACGCAAGATGGTTTTTAGTATTTTATACTGTTTATTATAGTGTCATCTCTGTAATGTCTCTCATTAGATTTGACTTTTTTATGTTATAAAACACTTCAAGTTGTAGTGTATAATTAATTTAATCAGCTAAAACTATTGATTCAATCGTTTATGCCACCTATTATTTTTTTGCTATTTTATTTCTTTACAAAGTCAGAAAGTAGTGAAACGTACTCTCACAGTTTTCCATGAAGTCCATGGGGTTGTAACAATGACCCTTTAGAAGTCCCTTAAATGTTAAGGCTTTCACAGATTAAGCACTCTTGCCAATTGGAGGGGATGGAATGAGAAAACGGTGCAGCAGAGCCGTAGTTGAATAAACATATTAAGCTTGACAGTAATTTAGCTTCCATAAGTCAAGTGGCCTTTGATCACAGCCAACAAAGATAAAGAATCAAACGATTACGAGCATGTGAAGCGCATTGGGTCATGAACCTCAGAAACCAGGGTCATGACAACGTTTTACTGACCTTATGCTGACATTTTGTGAACTACTTCAATGGAATCACCGAGGCTTTGGCGCTTCCATGCATCACTCAATTCAGCATCCACCGCACACGCGTCAGACAGCGGGGCAACCTGCGCCTCACTGTTTCCCACCGACTTAGATTCAATCAATTGATGATCAATTGGACAGTGGTTTCTACTGTCACCCATTTCCTGTGCGACAGGAGAAGAAAGGTTTCCTTCTTCTGCCTGCGTGTGAATATGTATTAAGTTGAATGGGATCCCCATCAACTACAGCATTGCAGCAGCTATTCTTCCCGGGGTTCACGAAGCAGACGTAGTGAGTGTGCATGGATTACCGGGGTGCCACAAGAGCACAGGCGAGAAAAGCTCCCAAAATACAGATCGGCGTTGTGTTCCAAACTTCAAACCGTTTACCTAAATAAAGAAAGTAAATGACCTCCATTTGTTTCAAAGTACAAATTTGTCAATTATTTCAGATGAATTGGTTTCTATGAAGTTAAATAGTTGTTTGTAGTGTAGTTTAAATGATGTTCTGAGCTCTACAACTCTCCTCAACTAAGCCAATAAACTAAACCCAAACTCTGTGCAGCTTCATTGTCCCACTGCCGACTAACCGCAGCACAAACGGACGTCACTCTCTGTTTACCTTCTGCAGTACACGGGACGGGCTAATCTGCACGTCTTTGAGGACTGGTGTGGCAGTTCTACAGCTGACCTCCGCAAGAACCCGCACTACCCTCTGTATCCTCATGTGAGTCACCATTAATTACCATTCATTATACCCAACTGATGATTTAGGCTGGTGGCACTGTAGCTGAAGGCATGGAATCGTTGGCCAGTGTACTACTTTGATCCCAGAAGGAAACGTCTTTGCAACTATTGGAAGGATTGCCATTCAAATTTTGTACAGGAGTGCATTCGTCGTGCAAAAAGACATCCCTGCACACAAGCCTTATCCCACACACACACACACACACACACGGTTGTTTTCACTCGGAGCTACATTCTACATCTGCACGCTAGATCCTTGTGTCCCTGGACTCGAGATGTAGCCTCACATTGAGTAAACATCATGTCTTATTCTCAAAGTCCAGGACTACGGTGCAGAAGTTGGCCATCTTTCCTCAGTGGACCGACTACGGAATCCGGATATTTGGTTATCTGCATCCATATACTGATGGTTCAACATTTACTTTTTCATCTTTTTTTCCAGTCGTGCATGCATGCTGTATGCTTCCCTTAGTCCGTCTCTTCTAACCTCCCATTTCCTCTCCGTTTCTCAGGAGAGTTTCTGTTTGCTTTGAGCTCTGATGACAACTCTGAGTTTTGGCTCAGCACAGATGACTATCCGCTGAACTTGCAGCTGTTGGTATGGGTTGGGAAAGTACGTATTGTCGACTGTTATCTTCTCAATCGGCAGTGAGCATTTTCTTCATACCTCAAACTGTAATATTTGTTGGACTTTGTTCTTCTAGACCGGCACAGAATGGTCAGCCCCGGGCGAGTTTGAGAAGTATGCCAGTCAGACCTCCAAACCGGTTCGGTAAATTCCCACTAGCCTAAATTGTACTGATGAATCAACAGTTAATAACCGCACTGTGAATAGATGAACGGACAGTATTGTTTGTTTTGTGTAATTAACCCGAGGATCAGGATCAGAATCAGAGGCATCACAAAGTGTAGCGACACTATTGTTGTCGGGCACAGCGGTGTTTGTCGACTATATGATAACTCGCACAGCCAATCATAATCCAGGACCTGAAACAACTGACAGTGGTATCTACCTCGGACAACATATCACAATTCAACTTCAAACCACTGCAACATATCAAACAATAAAACAACAAAAAACGCCCCAATTTTATAATATCTTATTTGTCAGATCTTTTTCCGCCCAATCTGTCCCTTGCAAATTCCCTCCTTTTTTTCTGTGCAAGACTAAATTGCAATAGTATCGCTTGAATTAAAACCCAAAGGATTTATGTTTGAAAATGAAAACAATGCCCTTCTGGGAATCCAAACTTGCGCTGTCACTTGCTGGAAATTATTAGATAAGCATTGGTTGCTATTGCAAAGAAATACTGTTCACATGCTGGAAAGATTCGTCACACTGTGTGGGTGTAGATTACCGTAACGTAAAGATATTTTCTGACCTACATGATGTAGAATATAGAATGTGGTGACTTGACAGCAGCGAGAGAAAATTATCAGCAGGTATCAGCAATTATCGTCAACACACTGTTTATGTGTAGCCTGGTGGCCTTATTCGTGCAGATGATTTAGATTAAAAAAAGATTTCCTCAAATATCTATACATGTTTTGACACTTTTATCAGTGAATAAATAACATTACTTTTCATTACATGCGATTTAGCTGAGGCTTTTATCCAAAGCGACTCACAATAAGTGCATTTCAACCATACGAATAAATTAAAGAGCAGCTAAGCCAGAAACCAGAACCTTCCCAGACTCTTAATGTAACATGGTTGTATTTATTTGTAGAACAAAGCAGTTTTGGTTGTGTCAGATGAGACTTATTGTAGTTCTGAATGTAAACTTGCTTGACAGGCTGTCTGCTCAGAAGAAGTACTTTTTTGAAGTTATCCACAAGCAAAACGGGAAAGGGACCGATCACGTGGAAGTGGCAGTAAGTATTTAAACTCTGCAGATGGAAAATGTCCTCCTCTTCTTTCTTTGTCGCTTTTCACTTTGTCCAAGTTTCATATTATGCATGTGCTCCTTTTCGTATGGAGAATGAGAGACAATGCAGTTCTTTGTGTTCACACAGTGGCAGCTCTTGGACCAAGGCCTTAGGTACAAGGTTATTGGATCCAATGACATCTCCCTCTATGTTGGTAAGAACAGAAACCCACTTAATTCTCGTTATTACCTGTTATTATAATACACCGTTCAGTGAATTCACTGAGGTCAGGTCAAATCTCTATCCCGTGTCCCATAATGCCAAACTGGTATTATTTTACAAACCTACATCTCAAGTCAAGTGGTTTTGGTTTCCAATAAAAGCACACTTGACTTATTCTGGTACGTTGTGGCTTCGTCCGTCAGACGAGTCTGCCTTGCTGATGAGTGACGTGGCCCACATACCACAGACGGCTGCAAGTCTCCAGCACATCCCCTCAAAACAGCCGACCGGTGCTGCAGACATGCTGAGGGAAGACCCGCGAGACACTCTGTACCAAGGTGAGAGACATCGCTCTCTTCTTCACCCCGCAGCATTGGAAATCCCCTTGTCATAGATTTCCCACGACAGTTTGCAAGTGTTTTGCAACCTTTTTTCTCACGCTGAATGCACAAGTTAATTGTAACTCAAATCTGTGTGTTGTGTTTGTCTGCAGTGCCTTTGTTAAACAGCGCGTTTGTAGAAGATGTCCTTCCTAACTGCTTTTACAAACCCAGCTACACATTCAAAGACTTTCCTCTCCTGCGGTACCAAGGACTGCAGAGTGTATGTATTTATATCGATCTGTTTCTCACTGTTGGAAAGACTAATTACAGGCAGGGTTGTGTAAATTGTATGTAAAAAATGCTGCGAGTGTGACCCCACATGTTTTGACCATGCCTTTTGTACAGATTAAACCAAAACAGATAGACAGTTAGTGATATTTAGAAGATAATTGGAATATCTTTTACATCTTCTTGCAGCCATGCAAGATATTTCTCCGTTTCCTATATTCATGTTGAGCAACGCTAGTCAGCTGTTGCTTCATATGTGTGGACAGATGCGAGAGTGGTGTCTTCTCAACCAAAAACACTCTTAGTTTAAAAAGGATTGGATTATCCACCTTATTTTGCCTCAATTCCCAAATCTGCCATCTATCCAAAAGAAGGCGGTATGTCCTGTTCTTACCTCGACACTTGTTTGATATATTACAGTCAGGTCCATAAATATTTGGACATGGACACATTTTTCATTATTTTGGCTCTGTACACCACAACAATGGAGTTAAAATGAAAAAATGATGATGATGCTTTAAAAAGATGTGCTTTAAGTGCAGACCTTCAGCTTTAATTTGAGGCTATTTACATCCAAATCGGGTGAAGGGTGTAGGAACTACAACAAATTCAAATGTGGCCACCCTCTTTTTAAGGGACCAAAAGTAATTGGACAATTGGCTGCTCAGCTGTTCCAAGGTCAGGTGTGTGTAATTCCCTCATTATATTCCATTTACAAGGAGTAGATAAAAGGTCTAGAGTTCATTTCAGGTGTGGTATTGGTGTTTGGAATCCGTTGTGGTCAACTCTCAATATGAAGTCCAAAGAGCTGTCGCCATGAGTGAATTAGAAAAATCGGGAAAACAAAACCGTCAGAGAGATAGCAAACACATCAGCTGTGGCCAAATCAACGGTTTGGTACATTCTTAAGAAGAAAGAACGCACCGGTGAGCTCAGCAACACCAAAAGACCCAGAAGAACAAAAGAACACTCTCCAGGAAGGAGGTGCATCTGTGTCAAAGTCGACAATCAAGGGAAGACTTCACCAGAGTAAATACAGAGGCTTCGCCACAACATGTAAACCATTGGTGAGCCTCAAAAACAGGAAGACCAGATTAGAGTTTGCCAAAAAACATCTAAAACAGCCTGTACAGTTCTGGAAGAACATCCTATGGGCAGATGAGACACAGATAAACTTGTACCAGAATGATGGAAAGAGAAGAGTATGGAGAAGGAGAGGAACTGCTCATGATCCAAAGCACACCAGCTCATCAGTGAAGCACGGTGGAGGTGGTGTTATGGCGTGGCCGTGTATGGCTGCCAATGGAACTGGTGCCCTTGTATTTATTGATGATGTGACTGCTGACAAAAGCAGCAGGATGAATTCGGAAGTGTTTCGGCCAATATTCATATTCAGCCAAATGCTTCACAAGTCATTGGACGGAGCTTCACAGTCCAGGTGGACAATGACCCGAAGCGTACTGCGAAAGCAACCAAGGAGTTGTTTAAGGCAAAGAAGTGGAATGTTCTGCAATGGCCAAGTCAAATCACCTGACCTGAATCCAATTGAGCATGCATTTCACTTTCTGAAGACAAAACTGAAGGGAAAATGCCCGAGAACCAGCAGGAACTGAAGGCGGTGAGGCCTGGCAGAGCATCACCAGCGACGAAACCCAGCGTCTGATGATGTCTATGGGATCTAGACTTCAGGCTGTCATTGACTGCAAAAGGATTTTCAACAAAGTATTAAAAGTGACAATTAGATTTATGATCATATTCATTTGTCCAATTACTTTTGGTCCCTTAAAAACGGGGTGGCCACTCATGGATTTGTTGTAGTTTACAACACCGTTCACCTGATTTGGATGTAAATGCCCTCAAATTAAAATGAAATTTGTGATGAAAAATCACAATGTCCAAATATTTAAGGACCTGACTGTATATCATACAAGGTGTCATGAGTCATCTGCGAGCTGCCATGAATGCTTTAACAGCATGTCATTTCATTACATCGCCGTAGGTGCACTTGTCCTACGTCTACCCCAGCGACTACACCAGACTCTCACACGTTGAGACAGAAGACAGCTGCTTCTACCCCAAGAATCTGCAGTACACCAAGAGGTGGGACACAAATACCTATTTGTGCGCAGGCAGGAGTATGAGAACAACATCTATGTTAAGGAAATTAAAATAAAAACACAATAACGAGACAGTAAACATTCATTATATGACAACCACATAAGCTGCAGCACAGCGACAGCATTCAGGAAGCACAATAATAACGGCAGGATGATTAACTTTACATAATTGTGTGTTTTGTCCTCTTGTCTTCAGGTTCAGATTTTCTAGATACATGAGACTAGACCTTCCCAATGTGCAGGACATATCCAACAAAAGACAAAAAGTAAAAAATAAATTGGACAGGGAGCAGCATAAAGTAAATGAATCGCCAGCAGTCACGTCAGAGCAGCTCGATAAACAACATCATCTGCAGATGGATCCTAAAGTGAGACTGAAAGACTCAAGGCTTAAACCCTTAGAGAGTGATTCTCCTCGGCCTGAAAACAACACCGTGGCCAAAGGGGAGAGGGTTGTATCTAAGGAAATGGGCCTCCAGCCAACCACCGCCATGCATTTTACCCCTCCCAAGAGAGCCGTCGGCCGCCCTTTATCAAGGCGAAATCAGGGGGGCACATATAACAGTAAAGTGAGAAATAGGGCGAAAGTGAGAAAAAAAAGGTCTCCAGTTGTAGAAAAGAGAATCCACAGAACTGGCACTGATGTCAACTGGAACCAGACCTTCCAGATCAGCTACCTGAAGCACCAGGCGCATCGATCGGACCGGATCGACCTGCGCTGCAACGTCACAGGGAACCTGCTTCTCCAGTCCAGTGGTGCTCTGACCGTGGTCAAAGCTTTCATGCGACAGCTGAACAACAAGCACCACGGGTAAGAATGTGGAGCATCCCCACACAACACTGGTACCTGTTTTCCCCAAATTCCTTTCCCTTTTCTTGCATTCTTGCAACCGCTCGGATGTCTCATTGGACTAGGGGGGGGGGGGGGTTTGACACATTTCATCATGTTTTCTTTTATTCTCTCTTTCCTCCTAGACAATTTACGTTGGTGCGCGTTGTTAACGTGATGAAGCGCGTGGACGTGGTCCAGGGAGGCCGCTACCTTCTGGAGCTGGTGCTGAAGGACGTGAACGGCCAGCTGCGCCGCCTGTCGCGCTACGTCTACTATCCGATTAGCCACGGCAGGCAAAACGGCCAGGACGCACGTATCCAACGACCGGAAACTCAGCCCAAGCTTTGTAACCCGGTGGGCTTCCGGTGGAATCCCCACGCCACCGTTCACTTCGTAGTACCCGGTACGTCCACCTTAAGCTTAATACCGCTGCCAATACCGACTCCTTGGGTTCCTCGGTGCTGTGATGGGATCCTCTTTGCGTGGTGGCATCTCTTTTACTTTGCTATTCACAAAAGCCTTCATCATCATGGTACTCGGGTGATTCATTTTATTGTAAAATCTTTGGGGGGAGAGCATCGATCTATCTGCGTCCCTTTTTGGTGATTTATGCATGACCTGAACAACTTTGCTTGTCTCTACAATTCCCAGTAAAAAACCAGGCTCGCTGGGTGCAGCAGCTGATTGTGGACATGGAGCAATTGTCCAGAGAAACCGGTGACTCCAACTTCAATCTCATCATCAGTGATTACAGCAGCACGGACATGGACGTGAAGCAGGCTCTGCAGAAATCCTCACTCGTCAGGTGTGTGGTTGTGTACGCATGTTCTTTGAAGTGAATCGAGCCAGTCCAAACTTTCTAAAGCTCGTCATATAATAATATATGTATGTGGAATCGTTCAGGTACCAGTATGTGAGGCTGAGTGGAAACTTTGAGCGTGCGGCTGGTCTCCAAGCAGGTGTTGACCTTATAAATGTGAGTATTGCAACGTCACTCTGCAATTAAGCTTTAAGAGCAAGAGATTTATGTGTGCATAGACTGTTATAATACACCCCTATATATATATATATATATATAAATGTCCCTCATCATCATCTCTCAGGATGACCACAGCATTGTGTTTCTTTGCGACCTCCACGTCAACTTCCCTCCCTTCATCATCGACACCATCAGGAAACACTGCATTGAGGGATACATGGCCTTTGCTCCAATAGTCCTGAGACTGGGATGCGGGGTTACGCGATTAGAAGCCAAAGGTAGACGCAGATACACTATTAACAAATGCAAAAATTGAAACTTTATGGGTTTGGTTTAAAGACATTAGACGCAATTTCAAGCACTTTGTGTCATTTTTGCCTGTACGTTGCCTTTTAAGTATTTATGATTAGACCGTGTATGAGCCTTACAGCATGGTAAATGTGACAGACTGTATTTGTAAGCCGCTTCTTCCAAGCACTCAATGTGCTTTAACACTAAATGTCATTGCTCACCCATTCACACCCATTCATCCACTAATAGCAAGGTCGACCATGCGAGGTACGACCTGCCCAACTAACATGCATACAACATTCATACGGCACAGCCAGAGGAGCTACCTGGGGTAAAACCTCCTGCTCATGGGCACATTGACACGGACTAACGAATCGCCCTTCCTCCGGTTGAAGGACAACCCCGGCTCCCTTTTGCTGTGTGTTACCATGGATACTGTCTCCACCCTGCTCTTCCACTGCTTCTTCGTAGATGTGGGGATTCAGTCTTAAGACGAGTGACCTGTCGGTAGGATGCAAGCAACATTAAACAATGAAAATGTTCCCATCTGTGTTTCAGGTTTTTGGGAGGTCAATGGCTTCGGCCTGCTGGGGATTTATAAGTCAGATTTGGATGCTGTTGGAGGAATGAACACAGAGGAATTCAGAGACCGCTGGGGCGGAGAAGACTGGGAGCTCCTCGACAGGTCGAGCCTCACTCTCTCAATTAGACTTTGTTTGTCTGAAATTGTTTTTCAGTCTATTTTCTGTTTTCATTCAACTTTTAAATCAACAATTTTAAATAGCTATAGTTACCCACTATGTTGCTCTTACTGGCAGTTATAATGGACTCTTGACTTGCACTCACTAGGCTGATTACAACAAGGTCATGCATGTTCTTGGTAAACATGTTTAATATGAATATGCTATGACAATGATTGTCAGAATCATTTATGGAAGGCACATGACAGAGATTATGCATAACAGCTGGATAATACACTTACCTAGAGCAGTCAATTCCAAAGTGTGCACCTAAAGTGGGTCTAAAGTATGACGCTGCAAGATCTAATAGCATGCCTTTTTCTTTTACAGTACATTTAAGTGACTGACAATTTTTATTGATGTTTCACTACATAAAATACAAGGTGACGTTTAGGTCACCTGGAGTTGTGTGTTGATCTCTTCTAAATCAAACAACAAGCATACTTACTTTTGTAATTTATTGGTTTAGGTTGAATATAAATTAGTTCTTTCTCTTTATATTGATATTGTGGAAACACAAATATGAATTGTAACTAAATAAACTCTCCTCTGCTCTGCTGCAGGATCGTGAACGGCGGGTTGGAGGTGGAGAGGTTCTACTTGAGGAACTTTTTCCATCACTTTCACTCCAAACGTGGCATGTGGAGGCAAACGTCGCCCAGCCACATGTGACCTTGTCACCTGCTCACTGCACCATGACCACGGTTGCCGAGGTTACAATCACGGCAACCAGAGAACGTTAAGGCCGGAGCCTGTTTTCTACTATATGACAGTGATACCTGCTGACCGACAGAATAGAGTTGGATACAGTCTCGGCTTTCTGCAAAAAGATGATCGTCGATAACAAATTACTACTGATTTATATATAGTTCATTTTACTGGCTGTACAGTTGACTGGTGCCAGAGTAATGGTTGATGCAAGCCTTTGACATTGTGATATTGGGAATAAAGGTACAGCCATGTATCATGTCCCAGAGGGACACCATGGTGAGCTGCATTGTTTGCATAAAGGGACAGAACGGATCCAAAGAAAAGTCTTAAATGACGCTCCCAAAGATGTATTCACACAAGTGTCCTATATCATAAAGATCACCACTTTTGCACATGAGTTTTAACTGGGGCGAAAAATCTTTTACGTTGTTTTGTTAAATACACTCCAGATTGGGTACAAGGTAAACACGGCATTATTTGTCAGGTTGTAAATTATGGGAATCTAGTTATTTATTTTATTAATATCTGTAGGATTTTATTTTCATTTGAGTTTAATATTATTTCCAGGAAGGGAAATCAGAAAAGTGTCGCTCAGCTCACTTGTTGAGTGTCCTCCCCCTATTGCCTTCTCTTGTGATGGTTATCCAGTTCTAGTACCTGGATAAGCATGGAGAGCTGTTTTTACACGGTCAGGAAAACCCTTAAGCTGGATAGAATAGTGAGAAACTGAAGGGATTTCCATTATTATGTCATTTAGTATTTTCTCAGAAAGACCGTCGATCATGTTATGTTTGTGTTGCCCGGTGCATTGCAGACAGTTTGGGAATTTGAATCAGTAATGAAATGTCTGAAAACTGAAGAAATGCAATATTGTGAGAATTTCTATCTGTTCTCCCTACATGTACCAAAGATAAATGAATCTTTACATTATTCCTCTTCAGAAGCTATTAAACGTTACAATGTGAATATAACATGAAGGGTTATCTCAATCAATAGTTTCATATTTGTCTGCGCAGTCAGCTTATGTTGATCTACCTGCTGAATCAAATATTTTTCAAAGGAAAAAATTGATACAGTGCAAAATATTGTTTTTACAGTCAACTTTGTTAATACAGATGTTATAGGAAATACATTAAATGCAAGAGGATTTGTGTATTTGCCATATTGTTTTTTATGACTAAAAACATTTTCTGAAAGTTCAGATACCGGTTTAACAAACTTGTTAAAAAAATAGTATATTTTTGAGGCAGGTTCACTTGGAAATAAGGGCAATAAAAATACCACTTTGGTCTACGTTGCTCTGCTGGTGGTTTTGGTTTGTAATACTGAGTTGTTCGTCCACTGCATTAAAGCTTTTGTGTTGGTGTTCGGCCAGAATGCTTTTGTTTTTTTACTACTCCTCAATGTTACTTTTGAATGGTTTTAGATGTACAGTAGCCCCCCCCTCTCTGTGCTGAAAGGTCACCTGGGCCTTATTGTACGTTATTGATCTGAAGTGTTAAGTTGTAGGATTGCACCTTGCCTGGTCCACATCCAGGGCGACATATACACACATGACAAAGTTCTCAACACGGTTTTTGGTAGTTTTCTCCACATTAGTTAGTCTCCACATTTCACCCTAATTACACACACTCACACAAGTTGTGAACAACACGGGGCAAATGCTTTATAATGGTCTCTACATATTTAAAACAAAGGTGTGCCATTACTATTGGACCTTTGGGAGACATTCTGCTGCTTTTGAAAGGTGCGTTGCGAATGAATAACCTAACACACCTTCAGTACACACACAAGAACCACGGTTCATTTAGCAGCGTCGGGACACACACTCAACCAGCCAATAGCAAAGAAACGAACACATGCATTACCTCACTTGAAAAAAAACACAACAGCTGTCGTGCAGGAGAGTCACGTTTAGCTTTTACAAACGCGCTACACAGTAGGAATAACAGTCTGGCTTCACACTTGCCTCCAACAACAAGCACACATATTGTATTTTCACAGATGCTCATGTGCGCTCTTAAATTCCCCAGAGGCTTCCAACTCCATCCCGCCGCCCTTTCCGTTTTTACAACTTTCATCTTACTGTTTGTCGGCCCAAGGACGGCCAGCAGCATGTGTGACAGAGGAATTCGTTCCAGGCAGGGGGAAAGGCTAAGTATATCCTGTCCCTGTGAGTCAACGCCATGGCTAAGCAGAGGCTCTGTTTATTAAAAACGTCCTCAGTACCCTTTTCATGCCAGAAGACGGTGTCGAGAGCGTTCCAGGTCAAATCTGATATTTTACCTATGCTAGTTATTTCTGTGCTGCGACTTTCGAGTAGATTTATTTACATATTTTCCTTAATGTTCTTAATATGCTGAATTTAGGCGAAATAAAGGGAGAGGAAATATGTACAAATATATTGTATTATTTTGCAGTAATAAACTATTTCATAAGTGGTCTACTTGAGAACTGAATAAACGCCACAGTGACTTGAAAATATTGTGTGTGATTTTACTTCTGTCAAAATTGACGGCAGCGCTTGGTCGACACTTATCAGTTTGTTTATTCATTCATTTTTCATATTACAAATTACGATCAGTTCTTAACCCCGAACATCATGCATCAAACATCTTCTTCCTGCCCTCCATACCAGACATGGCCTCCACATTCTTGCGCCAGTCACCCACCTCCAACGTCAGCTCCTGGTATCAAAACACACAAACAGACCATTAAGCTTTTTGTGTTTCTCTTCTCTTTTTTTGGCTATCTCTTTCTGTTTGAGTAAGCGTACCTTCTCTTGTTTGATGTCTTCTTTCTTTACAGACTTGAGGTTTGCCCTGAGGTCCATGGAGGCCTTGTTTTTGGATCCAAACAGAGCTTTCAGCATCTCATCTGCTGACACTCTCACCTTCCTCAGAGCTGGCTTCTTGAACTTCCCTCCGAGGTCCTGAACCTTCAGATTCAATTGGTGGATCTGAAGATGGTGAAAAGCTTTGCTGGTGACTCTTTGATCATTTCAGTGTTTTTTTTTAAGTAAATCAGTTTGTGTCACGGTGGGTGACATACATCTCTGCTGTTCTTGAAGACTTTGTGCTCATAGTCGTACCGCTCCTCATCCGCATTATCTATCTTTTCATGGATTTCAGTACAGACTTTCTAGAAAGGGATGGAAAAACAAATATGCCCTCTGAATTTAAGTACACAAACGACACACATGCTTATTATAAATCAATCTCAGGGCGAGAGCCCTTCTCACCTGCAGGTCATCCCTGTTCAGACCAAGGAGCTGCAGTGGTGGAAGCTTCTCGGCCAGGTAGCGGACCTTCTCTTCCTCTCTAGCAGCCTTCTCTGCCTCCAGCTGTTCTGTTGCACGAGTCAGCAAGAGGATCTGGAGTAGTCAAAGTCGACACGGAGAGGCATATGGGAAATTTTGATGTGTGACCACTGCTTATCATTTTCTTATTGGTAGTTAAAATCCCCAAAATTAGTCGTTGTTAAGAACACATGCATAGTTTACCTTGAGGGAGAGCTTGCGGGAGGCTGAAATCTTAGATTTCGGCTGAAAATAGTAAAGAAATATGACATGTTACAACTAGATCTTTTAGCTATCATGACATTTAGAGCTTTTTAAATTCCTACCTGCAAAAGTTAAAATAGGTTTACAGTTTGGAACAATTACTGGTACATCCTTTTGATATAGCTGCTCAAGCCCTGATGTGATTGCCAATATGACTTTATATGTACCTTTCATCTCACTAGGCAGCAGCTGCTTATAATGCCCACTATTTAGCGTTAAAAATAGTTATCATTTTCTGTCCAATTGTATGCTCGCTCTATTTAATCATATCTCCAAATCTGTCCTTGGAAGCTGTTAAACAAAGTGATAAGATTCAAAGAAGATAATTAATAAACATATTATCAGTTTAAATAAGTAGTTCTACCTTTGCAACTGTCTTTTGGGATGAGGGAGGTGGTGTGTACTGAGGAGGAAGGAATAAAGACAAAGAATTGGAACCACATTGAATATCAAATTTGAGCAAGTTTCCCTCCTTATTAAGGTTGGATATAAAGAGTGAAACAAGCCGTCTGTAACTTACATCACTGCGATGGCCGTGGGGAATTTGTCATCATAGAAATCAGGGAAACAAAGCAAACAAGAGGCAACGTTAATAATCTGAGACAATCCTGCTTTATGACAGGACTATAAACAAATAAGCTCTTAACGGTGTGATGAAAGAACTTACTCATTCAACATTGTCAACAAAATGAGGACGCCGGTCGATTTGAAAAAGACGAAAACAAGAGTCCAGTTAAATGCAGAAGACGATTCACCCTCAGAGTCAGATGGAGAATCAGTGTGAGGCTTTAGAGGGGGGGGGTCTCAGCAGTGGGTTTATACATGAGGGTGCGCACTGAAGATCTTCTCTGAGAAGGTGCATCACTCCACGAAATATTTTGTTTTGAAAGAAAATCCGAAAGATCTTCGTCTTTATGCAGCAGAATATAGATTTTTGTATGATCTGAGATTCTATCCTCACATTGGGTTTTACCAAATCACCAAAACTTTCACAACGGTGATGTCAGTCGCAAAAAAGTTTTAAAAAATGTGAAACTTTTTACTCTGAATATAAATGTTTTATTATCGCACAAGTTTTTATCACATTTTACATTTCATTCTAGTGTCTGTCAGCAGCGTATTACGCATTTAAACGTGTGGTACCTTGAAGTAAAGTACTAGTGAGACATCTTCTCTTTTTCTAACTTCTCAAATAGCTGGGTTTGTGACACCGCCTACAACTCTGTCACAAATTATTGGTCGATCATCGGGATTGACGAGAGATCTGCTTGTTAACTAGACAACTCTATACTGGCTCACATGTTTGTTATCGCCTCTGTGTGAAAGTAAAGTAGTTTTCTTTCCTACTGGTCATTCAAGTCCTGTGAAAAACAGAAAATAGGTTTCCTATTAGGTTTGCGCTCATTGTACAACACATGGACTATATTTTGTTAAAACAAAAACAAACGAACAAGGTGATTTATGTTTATCTTCCTCATAAAGTAGTGCACCCACTCACTCAGTTTAGACACGTGGGGGCAACTGTAAACATGTTAGTTAAAATGAGTTTGCACCACAGAGCACACGGCAAATACTAAAGACACATTACATTTTTAATATGCACAAGATCACAATTAACCAAATGGCAGTGAGGCTGTACTTTCTTCTACGGCACTTTACAACTTCAACGCTTTGAGCTTAATGACAACTTTGGAGCGCTAATGTTCTTAAATTAAGCAGGCGTTTCATTCCCATGTACACTTGGCTGATGGGAATGTCTTTAGTTCCTCAGGCAGTTGGTCATCATTTACAAGAACTATGTTGACCGGACGATGACACTAAAGGAAAAGTCCGGAGACTCACCAAAGTTACTATAAATTTATCCGGACGAGCAACTTTAATGTGTCTAGCCTACTAAATTTAATTGTAGTGCATCAAATCCACACAAAGGCCCACCTTGTGTTGTTAAGGCAGCAAAATCACTAATCACAAAGTCCTTTTCAAATTGTGTGTCAATCCATCCAGTAGATATTGAGAGGGTTGAGATATTGTGAAATACAGTATATATTTAAATTTGAAATATTTCAATATTTAATATTTGTGTATCTGAAATCCATCTTTCGGATATTTTGGCTAAGAAAAGCGAGAGACCACAAGTGATTGCTGTGAGCAGCACCTTTTCAGTTTAATCCATGTGAATTATTACTAGGAGTGTATAGTGAACATTACAATGACTTGAACAACAACATCAAAGGTTCACACCGTAGCGTTTCCTCATTCTTCACACCCGTGTATTGTGTCTCTGGGTCACAGACCTGCAGGGAAAGAGGAAGGCAGGCCTTGCTTCATGTACCCTGACTCATTTATGTCTTTGGACTGTCGCAGCAAACACAAACAACCCAGCTGAGATTCAGACTTCTTTGATGTCATGTGACGGTGCTGAATCATAAACCGATACTTCTCTTGTACATAACAGGATGTTTACAGGTTCATGTTAGATGCCAGGAAAGCACGTTATGAATGCACTGCCCTGTCATCATTTTTGAAAGATGGACACTTTTTACACCCTTTTATCTTTTTTCCCCCCATTGGGTTTGCATTGATACAGAATAACGTCACATTGATCTAAATCAGTTGGGGTCATCGCATGTGTGTGCTTTGTGACGTGATTAAAAAAAGTGTTTGTGATGCAGAAAGAACATATTGGTTGTTTCATTTCGTGGAATATAGCAGTCGCCACCTTCTAAAGTTCGGAAAGTGTTGACCTTGATTGCGTCGAACTCCTTCGGCATGCATGCTTCATTCCTGTGGGAGTGGTGATATGTTTTGTGAGCCTACCAGAACAAAAGCATGTTGTGTGTTTTAAATAGAGGCAGATTCAGTTTAGTCCTCCACCACACAAGACAGCATGCAACACATAGTCAGTATACTATATTTATTTTGGGATAAACAACTCCCTGGTCATCCTCTTGTCCACCTGCCCAAACTTTTTGTGTTGTAGTCAAAAATCCTGAACAGCTTGGTAAGGGAAATTGGTGACCTTTAAAATTGGCCCAGATAAAATAAGAAGAGATTCTATAGATTGCCATGCATGACGTAATCTCGAGAGATGACTCCCTCTTCATACTTTCAAGGATGACACAGACGTCTTCCTTCTTAGATACACACAGACCAAAAATACCAACCTATCGTCTCACTTCCCCCTGTGGACTGAGGTGACAAGCTGTTGACTTTGTGTTTTGATCCAGACAAATCCACCATACACACGTCTCAGCGTTTGAAGTCTTTCATATGGAATACAACTTTGCATTTGCATTGAAACAGTAAAGAAAATGCCTCGCGTCATTTCATTGGCGCATTGAAAAATGCTTAAGAATAATATGGCCGATCAATATCGCAACACATTACATAATATTTATATCAAAAGTAACGTTACTTCACCAAGATGAACAGGTTGTTATTGACCCACACTGCTAACTTTAAATAATTTAAATACTATATATTAATGTTTTAGTAAGCTACGTTAAGAATGGGGAAACATAACGATATGCATATTATAGGTATACATATTTTATATATTTCTAATTTTATTGTATTATTATTATTTTTACCTCAGTTACACAAGTGTGGCGCTTTGAAAAGTAAAGTTCAGATTTACGAGGCAACTTGAAGCCGGCATCCACTGACCCGTGAAAACTCATTCATCACCAAGTGTAGCCTCATCAAGCTAGCAGTTAGCCTCACGCACTAACCACCGGCACGGCTATGAACTCATCGGCCGGTGGCAACGTCAGTCCAATAGCCGTCATCTAGTTATCCATATTACCAGCGTTTCTAAATCGAACCAGACGTTCCTTCCTTTGGGGCTTTCGGGAACTAACGTTAGCGCGTGACGTTTTCGGGAGATCCGCGGGGGTCACACGAGCGGTGCGCTGTCAACAGTAATGTCCGAGAAAGCGGCCCCTCGTTTGTTGATACTACAGCACCGGTAAGGATAATACCGGCGTGCTCGGGAATCGACCGTCAGCAGTCCGGTGTTTTTAGTTGCGTAAGGTGTCTGCTTCGCGGCGCGGTTGTAAAAACATGGCCGATCAGGTAGCGCCGAGGGGATTGACTGCAATGCAGTTCGACCTTATAACTTAACGTCAGCGTGGCTTCAGTCGCTAGCCTCGCTTTGCTAACACAGGCTAGCTAGAGGTAACGAGTCGGCCGCCCGCGGTAGTTCACCAGACGCCTGTGAACCAAGTGGAGGACTATTTGGAGCCCAGCGAAACGGTTTAAATTCTAGCGTTAGTGGACCGAAGCTAGCGCGTTAGCTGCCCATGCAGGGAACCCGCACTGTCAACAGCATGTGACGTTGGATGAGCGGCTCTCTCCTCCGTCACAGCCGGTGTTAGTGGCCGCGGCGTTGAAAAGGCATTTATGTTGTGTACGACCCTTTTGTTTATTCACAAGATTTGTGGACAGATCGACTTCAGAGTAAGTCATGCCTGGGAAACTGAAGGCCAAAATAGTGGCTGGTCGCCACTTGCCGGTGATGGACCGAGCCAGTGACCTCACGGATGCATTTGTGGAGGTGAGTGTGTTTGAGGTGTAACATATCTGTTTCTTTTAATGGAACTCAAACTTTTCACGTCTGTAAAAACATGTATTCCACATTTAGCCTCAGTGGCATTTCAAAGATGTGGCTTGTTTGCCTTTTTTTTTTTTATTTCCCAGGTCAAGTTTGGAAACACGACTTTCAAAACAGACGTGTGTCACAAGTCCCTCAACCCACAATGGAATTCAGAATGGTTCAAATTTGAGGTAAAAGGCCAGTGAGTTTTTTCTTTAGACCTGGCAGGCACTGGCACTATTATATTAAAGCATTACACGATGCAGGTGACCTCTCTTACTCTGCTCCTTCCTTCCCCCCCACCCTGGGTAGGTGGATGATGAGGACTTGCAGGACGAGCCATTGCAGGTCACAGTTTTGGACCATGACACGTACAGCGCTAACGACGCCATAGGGAAGGTTTATATTGACATTGACCCGCTGCTGTGCAGTGAGGCGGCCTCTGTCATCTCCGGCTGGTTTCCCATCTATGACACGATCCATGGTACAAGACTAAACTAATACGGCCATGATGCATGCACCTTCCCCCTTATGTATTTTACCCTTTTTGTGATGCATTGCTCCGTACTATTTGTTATTAGGGATCCGAGGGGAGATCAATGTCCTTGTCAAAGTGGAGCTTTTCAACGATTTGAACCGCTTCAGACAGTCGTCGTGCGGGGTCAAGTTCTTCTGCAGTATGTCTAACTTAACTTCCTGGTTCATGATTGTTTGTTTACATACTACAGATTCAGCATATGACACTATTTATGTGAATGAAATGTAGATTGACAGTATGTAGTGCAGATCCATATGAAGCGATGCACAACGGACAATATTAGAGGTTTGGAGTTATTGACAAAAAGTGTAATTTATGAGATCAACAAAATGACACGGGGCAAGTGGGAAGGTGTCAATTGCAAACAAGGAATTGCCACTGAAGAATATGTGCTCAATGTGCAAGCTGAAGAATGAAGCGCTTTCCATTTAATCTAAAATCCTTACACTCTGTGTGCATTTCTTACATGGCAGCCGCATCCATTCCACGGTGCTACAGAGCAGTATTGGTGCACGGGTTTGTGGAGGAACTTGTTGTGAATGAAGATCCAGAGTACCAGTGGATCGACCGCATAAGAACTCCTCGGGCCTCCAATGAGGCCCGGCAGAGGCTCATCTCTCTTATGTCAGGTAAGGCAATGTATGGTGATCGTCTTTTAATGTTTGTGTTGAGGCAGAATAGTTTTGTCCTCTCTTATGAACCCCCCTTTAACAGTGTGGCTTTGTGTCACCCCCTATTCAGGGGAGCTGCAGAGAAAAATCGGGCTAAAGGTACTGGAGATGGGTGGGAACGCAGTGGTGGGCTACTTGCAGTGTTTCGACCTGGAGGGAGAATCGGGTCTGGTGGTCAGGGCCATAGGCACGGCCTGCACGCTGGACAAACTCAGCTCTGGGAGTGCCCCCAACACCAACACACACATGCACCCGAGCACAGCCCCTGCTTCCAATGCCTGCAATTCCCCTTCCAAGGATGGAAAGGAGTGAGTATGAACCCACAACACCAGCATGGACCTGACTCTTGTGCAAGTTTCACTGCAAAAGTAGTTTGTGAGAATGGGAAAACGTTATTGCTGTGTGCATGAAAGGGAGATTGTGTATGTGTGTGTGTGTGTGTGTGTGTGTGTGTGCGTGCGCGCGCGCAATGTACTGAATGTTGGTCTTGTCTAGTCTCTCAGTATCTCCTGTGTGTGTCTCAGAATCTTTGATTCCGTATTGTACTTTGTTTCCATTGGGTCACATGTATTGCCTCATGAGACTAACAGCACACAACATATCCTGAGACACACACATGTATAGTACACACACCGCCATCCTAAACCCCGCCCCCCTCCTTGTCTGCTCTTTTAGACGGCTCTTGCATGTCTTTTAGTTAGGATCTAGCACACGTGTTCTGCTCAGCCTTTAGCTTTGACGTCGCTTTGGAGCTTGTGACTTCATCCAATTACTGTAAACATTTACGGTTGACTGCACGTGTGCCTCTTTTTTTTTGCATATATACAGCGTATCTGTGCATGAGTTTTTGCATACCAGGTATGTATATATGTTTGTAGGTTATTATTGCATTGGATCCACTTACTTAACGTTACTTAACATTGTTCCATTTGACTTCAAACTAAAAGTTAGTTTATCTGCGCGTTTGTTTGGGACCTGTTGTCTGTTGTGTTTGCATCCCCAGTGTGCATGTTGGTGTGGTACTGAGATCTTCAGCTTCAGGTGCGAAGCTTTCAGCTGAAACTCAGAGCTGCTGATTGGCGTAGCTTTTAATTTACAGGGGCTTAGATGGGGAGGAAAAAAAAAAAAAAAACTTTTCCCACTTTGTCTCCTTTTGCACTCTATTGCAATGTTGTGTTGTTGGTTCTTGTGTGAGTCTCTTTCTCCCCCTTTGGCTTTCTGGCTTCATTCGGATTGGGACGTCTCTCACTACTTGTGTCCAAATCGGTCGCCTGTCTTCCTCCCGCTGCGCGCTGATTGGCCCAGGTCACCCCTTGCCCACGGATGCCGCTCCACCCACAACAGCCCAGTCCATTCGGCCTGCAGCTCCCAGAGACTGTCCCAGAACTTCTCTGTCTCTGTTCCCACACTCATCTTCACTGGTACGCAGAAGCAGGCGAGGAAATAGATACAAAGGAAAGAGAAGACGTTAGAAAGACAAAGAGAGGTACATGGTGAGGTTTAAATGAGGGAGACTGAGGCATCAAGACAAAGACGCGAGGCAGACCCGTATACCTTTTGTCAGCTTTGACAGTAGACTCATCATCCCTCCATCTGTCCCTTTTTTTTAGAAGGGTGGGCAGTCAGATTCCCAGTCCATATCCTCCTGCGAGGGCTTGTGATGTCTCGACTGTACCTTCGCTCTACTGGGACACATGCTTCAGCTCCTCCTCCTCTGTTGAATGTGACCTTCTTGTGTTTTGCCGCGTTGCTTTCTTTAGCTTATTGTGTTTGGTTTGTGTGTGTTTTCTATGTGCTTTTAATTTGTGTTCATCTCCGTTTGGGTTTCCATGCTTGCTTTTATGTTTGTTTTTTTTAAACCATCAGTAGCACCTCAAACGCACCTCACCCAATGCCAACAAATCACACATGAAAACCTTTCAATTTTAATATCAACATTGACCCACTTACACACATACACACACACACACTCACTCAGAGGGTGGTGACTGATTTTGGGTGGGTGTGTGTTTGTGTCTGTGTGTCATGTTCTCCTGGCAGGCCGGTTTTTGGTGAGGACATGACCTCGACCTCCGGCCCGCCAACCCCTTTCAGAGCCCTTCCCACCACCTCCTCCTCTCTTCCCCCCTTCTCTCCCTCCAAGCCTTGCAGCCGCCAGTCCTCATCATCAGACACAGACCTCAGTTTGACGCCCAAGACGGGTAAGAATACATGGGTGCCCCCCCACTGCCCCTCCTGACCCATTCCCCACCCTCACCTCATTGTGGTGCTACTCTGGTGGTGGTTTTTGAATTGCTGTTTATTAATTATTAATTCATTTTTTTAACATTTTCGTTGGTTGAGTTGAAGGTTATTTTATTGTAAACCGTGTTGTAAATGTTTTTTTTTGCTGTGACCCTTCCTAAATCCGCCCCCTCCCACTCCCCCCCTCCCCCCCGTTGTTGTGGTCTTTAATAGAAGCACTGTGTCCCATGAAGGGCAGATATTTATCTAAGGTCGCTTATTTCACACCAACTGTTATTGTTGATAGCAGCTATAAACACTGCATAGTACCGTCCTACCAGAGCCGCTCACATGACTCATTGGGCGGGGACCAGCAGTCCCCAGGCCGTCCTCACTTGTCCTTGTCCCCACTCCTTTTTCCTTTCACTCATATTTCCTCCTCGCCTGTCAATTTTTTCATAACCTTTCCGTTTCTATTTTTCCCCCAACATTTTGTTCCATGACTGATGTCATGATTAATGTCAACTTGCCTAATCTGATCCTTTGCATACCACATCCTTTATGAATATTAGTTCCAGACCTTTGCATTACCTCACACATCTCTGTTTGATCTACATTGAAATGAGTCTATCGTTGTGCAATTTGGAGAAACATTAAACCCGTCAGATCTTTGCATGAATGCTCGTCTTGCATAGTTTCTATACAGATCCATGAGCAATGGTGGTGGGCCTTAAAGAAGCAATGGCTCCTAACTTAAATTCACATTGTACACCGTGTACTTGTATCAGCGGCCTCAACCACAGTCTCCATGCCAACCAAACGGTTGGTTGATATGTCACTTTGTCCAAAAGAGACAATTGGATGAGTGACGGGTTAATGCAAAATATAACAGCCATCGACATGCCAATGGCTAATATGAACACAGTATTGTGCTCAGTAAATGAATTAAACCAAATTGCAATTCAATCTGATTTATCAGGCTATTCTATCTCTGTCCCCTTTCTGCCCGCCTCATCCTTCTCCCTCTCCTCATTGCTCTGCCTGTCCATTCTCCGTATATCTTTGTTTCTCTGTGAACCCTTCATGTGTTGTGTTTTTCTGCTGGATAGTGGAGCCAGTGAGACGCAGGCTGGGGATCTTCCTCTGCCCCAGTTCCCCCACCCTCTCCACAGACACACTGTCCCTTCTTGGTTCTGGCTTAGTGGGCTGTGGTAACACCTCTGATCCCAGAGCCACCACCCTGCCCCCTCCCTCCACCGTCCACTCAGACAGTGTCTTGCTGAGAAAGAGCGTGTCCTTCACGGAGGACCTGCTGCTGGCAGCCTCCGGTATAGTAGGACTGTTGCGTGTCATCAAGTAGCAGAACTTTACAGCATTTTAGTGTCTGCGACTGTTCAGATTGACTTGACTTGACGTTAACTGAAACAACAACAAAAAACCTCCAGAGCTCATTGTGAAATTACACCTGTGACTGAGTCCCATTCAGGATTCTCCTATCCCAACATATGGTTAGATGTGCTAATCAGGAGTACCCAAACTACTAGGGCTAGTATTTATGCCTGAATGAGGGAAAGCGTTATGAGTAGGGTTTGCTTAGCATGAGGAAGAAGCAGGTTTATTCACTGCTCTCAATGTACGTTTTTTGTGTGCAATTCCATCTGCTGCTTCCACTTAGTTTGTGATAATAACATTAATACTGCGATGTAACAATCACGTTTTTGATAGACCGATTGACTGGCTCTTCAGCCCGTCGACCTGTGTGTTGAATGTGACAAAACTGAAGCCGAACTCTCCTTTGTGATCAGGAATGGGGAGTGGGGGCAGCGTCGGGAAGGAGGCGGGGCCTCTGAAGACCCTGCTCAGGCAGCAGACGCAGACGGCTCTCGAGCAGAGGGTACAATGACTCAAACACTCGCATATTCACCGCTCACGTGTGTATACCGACTTGTTCTATATGCAGACATTTGAAACTGACATGCAGTTTCGTTGTGTTTATTTTCGGGGTTCGCTAGGCGTCGCATTTTGTGCAGTTAACACATGGGCAGCCAGTTTGCGTTGTGCGTCAGCCTCAGATGTCTGGATGTAGGACACATAATTAAGTGCACGCTCTGTGTCGCTCACTAATTTTTTTTCGCACAGCTGCACTGTTAATTATCACTAACTTTTTCACCTCCGTGTTTAATTAATGGGTGAGTGGGTCTCTGTGAGAGCAAGTAATGGTTCCTTTCTCTGTCCTCTTGACCATTTGTGCCACATTCAGGGAGCGACCTCCTCTGGGTTATTGTTAAACGCCAGGGTATGTCCCATCATCAGTGTGACACTTCCTCTCTTACCTCCACCTTTCCTCTAACACCCTCACCAACCGATGGCCACCACCAAGTCAGAATCATCTCCTAACCCGTCCCTCCTCCTGTTGTGTGTACGTCTAAGAGGAGCAGGTTGGGCTGAGCAAAGTGGCCGTGGGTCCTTGGGTGACCACCCCTCTCTTGTGTGTTTTGCTTGGCACTCTTTGCACTCTGAAAAGATTCACAGACATTGGGCAGAGGGCTGCAGGCCAGGAGTTGAGTTCCCTTTGAGTTTGAAGGACTGTGTGTGTGTGTGCCATCTTTGTAGTCGAGCACCTTCCTCCTTTCTGACTTCCTCTCCTGAGTCTGATTTGGTTCCCCCTGCGTCCGCAAGGGAAATGAACACGCTCACCTCATCACCTCATTCTTGCCTCCTCGCTCAGAGTGGGAGGAGATGTCAGTCAAATTAGTAGCCATCTTCCTGCCTGGAGTACTGGTCAAGAAAGAAGCCTATTGGTCATCTCACATGTTTATTAACCATGAAAGCCCTTCATCACATACACCCGCATGGTTGGAAATGGTCCTCACTTCACTCGGGGATGAGTAGGCGTCTCCTTTTTGTGAGTGACTGCATGGATTTGCATTCACGTTATTTAAGGACAAGCTATCACGTCGGAGGACAGAAAAGCATGTATAGAGTCCTGATGACCGTCTGTGGGTGTGTGTGTGTTCTTCACTTTCATCTCCAAACCTACTCAATGCATTTAATAGATGTTGTAAGGATTGAATTGATCACTAAATGTGATGCAAAATACATTTGCATAATCACTTCCAGATCTATTTGAAATGCTCTAAAGTGTAGGCCCAAATGGAGTGAGTGGGGTCTCCTTCGGGGTAAAGTATTGCATGGGGGGAGGGACACCATCATGCCTAATCCTTGCTGCATGTTAGCACTTTCAATAATAACCGTACATAATAACAAGTGTCTTAAATCAATCGTCTTGAAAAATATCAACTCTAATGTTACTGTCACAGAGCACAAATTACACGGGCTCAAACACACACACAAGTAAGTTCCAGAGTGCGTTTTCCTTTTTATTGTGAATGACCCAGCCCATTTTCCCATTTGCAGGAGTTCCCCTTCTTCACCTTGACGTCTTTCCCACTTGGTTTTCTGGTTCATGTCGGCGGGGTGGTCAGTGCTCGCTCGGTCAAACTATTGGACCGTATACACAACCCCGGTGAGTGCAGCACACGCACAATGTCGTTCTGTAGCTCGTCCGCTGTCCTGTGATTCAATATGTTCGATCTCCGGTACCGCGTCAGCGTCCCATCTTGTTGCAACTGGCTGTTATTTAATGCTGCCCCTTATCCTCCGGTGTTCAACTGTTATCCCATGAACTTTCCAAATCGGTTTGATAGTTTGGAGACTTTACTTCGGAATCATCAGTTATGTGATTAATTGTTGATGCAGGTGAAAGCTGCTTCTTCTCACGCGTATGCTGCAGTCTTTAAAGGAAGTGGTTAGCATTGGTGATCATCAGATGAGTCAAAAGTTCACATGCAGTTTGACAAACTGCCTTTGAGTAATACATGGCCTCTGCGGATTGTGTGTGTGTGTGTGTGTGTGTGTGTGTGTGTGTGTGTTAGTGTGTAGGCTCTGGCCGCCATTTTGCTGCCCCTTAGAGGTCAGGTGCCATAATTGCATGGCTCCAATCTGCTGCCTGCTGCTTCTGTTGTCTGGCATTGTTGGCTACAGGTGGCGCTGTGTTGTTGCACCTTATTTCCCTATTGAAATCCTTTTATGTTTGTGTGTTTAGCAGATACAAAAAGAAATCTAATTTATTATGATGACAATAGGGCATTTGCTTAATAGGCAGGTGCCTGTCTATCTGTCCACTTTACAGCCTCAGTAATCTCGCCCTTTGCTCGTTGTTAAGGTCTTTGGCCGCTCAGATTCAAGCATGTCTGAGAATTTAGGTAGAAGGGAGAGCTGGTGAATGTTTGGTTAGGATGAGCAGGGTCCTTTTTAGACTTAGACAGGGGAACCTCAATTGGCTACCCAAAACGATTGTATTGATCTGCATCGCAGTTGAAGACAGCCATGCAATGATTAAACACGCAATAGTCCGGTCTAAGCAATTTTCACATAACGTTCCCTCATCCAAATTGCAGTTATGACTAGGAAACCATTCTGAAAAGAGCCTTTTTACCCTGATGCAATACCTCAGCTATGAACACCACAGAGCAACATTACAGGTGTCTTGTGGAGTTTCTGATCAACAGCAGTTTTTTGGCGATATGTTTTTGATGGGAGTTGTGGTGGAAATGCAGATAAAGAAATTCTCCCCCAACAGGAGTCAGTTATTGATATGTGTGATAAACCAGTGCTTTTAGAGAGAGAACTTGATATAAACAAAACGTTTGTATATAAGAAAACTCCAGGTCACCTTTTTAAATTAGAAAGTATACACACGTTATACTACTACTGTATGCTCCGTTTTGTAGTGTACACATAGTATAGTATATACATATAGTCCATCTTCTCCTTAACTCTTTTTAAAAGGTTGGCTCCTCTCTATTCTCCTCTTTTCCCCGTCAGTCGTCTTGCGAGATTGTGTTTGTAGGCCTGACTAAAGTCCGTGTTTGTCTGGTGATTGTGAAGTGCTGTCAGTCTGTCTTTGCCAAGTGACGGTGGAGTGCTGCTGTTGTGCTGTGCTTGTTTGTTGGACTGTCCATGTTTTTTCTTTTTCTCTCTTTTCTGTACTAACGGTGTGTTCTGGCCTAGCCTTGGGTGGCACACGCTCATACAAACTGCTAGACTGGAATAGTGTCACTGCAGGTATTTCCCCCCTTTTACTGCTCTCACCCACTGGAGCTATGGCAGCTCACTGAAGTTCAACCTGTGCTCACCCACCCACCACTGACATGCAGCCAACGTAGCCAACGCAGCCCAGCTGGTTAAGTATCCAGCAAACATCACCTGGATACTGCAGAATAGCTGAAAATGGACGAATTCAGTGAGCTGCCACCCTCTTCCCTTTAATCTGTGTGAGTGTGTGTGCTGAGCTGTTGAGCATGTGCTGTCCCCACCCCATCCAGCCTGGCCTGCGCCCCCCCCCACACACCCTACCTACCCAATTCATCCCAGTGACAGAGGAGCTTCCCTAATGTTGTCCCGCCGCTGTTTTAATGCATTGTTGTCAAACCTGTCTAGACCAGAGAAGGTTTGGGAGGTTTACTCTGACAAAGAGCCTCTGACCCGGCATGTGCATCCGTAAGTCACTGGGCCGTATTCATACTGAGAGAGAGAGGGGGATGGATGGATGGATGGATGGATGGATGGATGATTTGATTTGTGCCACTTGAGGGAAATTTTAAGATAGATCTTGCATGGAAGGAAACAAATGAGCTTGGAGTAATGTACTTCAAAACAAACTAGATCTGACGGACTCTGGTGGATGAATATGGCCCTTCTCTGCCCATGAACGTGCACACGGTCATGAGCGTGCACGTCGGTAAACCTTTGTCTGTGTGACATGCTGGCTCCGGTCTAAAGGAACCGACCTCGTGGGCCTGTTGCTTGGCATTATCAATCATTATCCTTCATCTCTTCAGTTTATCGCCCGTTCTTTTGCCCTCATTCGTTCATCTCCCCCGTCTCACCCAGAAGCTGGATTTCTCTGTCGTTTTGGGGGGCTCCGTCAGCATGTGGCCCCCTCGGGGAGTCATTGGGTGCTTCTCAATACTCTGATGTAGTTTCCTTCAGGATTTGTTTGTTCTGAGATCAAGAAATGAATGAGATTAATCTCCAAACCGATTAGGCTCTCGTGAATTATGTTATTGAAACAGAGGTGGTATTGGAGCAAAGCCTCATGAGACTATTGAAACACACCCATGGTGAAGCCTAATTATGATGAAGGCTCAATATCTTGAACTTAAACCTTTGTCACCACGGTTGAAAACACTGCAAACAACTTTAATGTTATTACTCTTTAACCAACCAACCAGAAAGATGTATTCTTAGTCTTTAGTCTGACCACCGCAGCCAAAATATAAAATATACATAACAGCTGGTAAATGCATCTCTCACCTGTGTCCTTTCTGTGAGTGTGGCTGACTGAAGGGAGACATTGAGACGAGAGAGGAAATGTGTGTTTATATAATGTTCATTTAAGGAATGCTGGTGGAAATTCTCAAACTGTCATTTCATTAATCTCATTGTCACTTTGTTTCACAAACTGATAATTGGTTTTGGCTTGCTTTAATACACCATTTGAATCGTGTATGTTCATAAAATACAAAGTAAACTGTTTGATGTCTATTCTTTTCTGCTCAATATAGATAGACGTTTCAGATTTCCTGTGGAAATGTTTAGTAATTTTCTCTTTTGATATACCTACGTTGACAAGAGTTCGGTTTAGCCGGAGCTCAAGTGTTCAGTGAAAGATAATCAGCCAATAATATTTTATTGCCGTCTGATTCAGAGTTTCGTGTTTTGCAGATGAGCCAGAGACTCGCGATGCCTGGTGGGAGGAGATCCGCCAGGAGATCAAATCTCACGCCAAAGCTCTTGGTTGCCATGCTGTTGTTGGGTACAGCGAGAGCACTAGCATCTGGTATGTTGCACGCATGGACATTTATTTCTACCTAATATCGATGTTAACGTTATGAACCAGTTTTGTATTGGTCTTAAACACATTTAGCTTAATCTCCTGTTATGCCTTCAACACAGTGAGGAGGTGTGTATCCTGTCAGCATCTGGCACAGCAGCCATCCTCAACCCTCGGTACATGCGTGAAGGCTGCCTAGACATCGGAATTACCGACCACAGGTTGTTAAGATTCAAAGCTAACTGATTGTAAATTCTTGTTACCGGTTCATGTCAGCACGGCTTGAATTGCCCTGTGGTGGCTGATACCAGATGGTGTTTACTGTCCTCCAGGTTTGAGGAGCCGTCTCCCCCGAGCTGTGGCTTCTGCCACATTCCGTATGATGAGCTCAACATGCCCTTTCCTGCCCAGCTCACCTACTGTTACCTCTGCAGGCGACAAAAGGTCTCAATTGGGGGTCCAGTGCATGAATGTTGTGTGGTGGTGAAAGAAAATAGGAATTGATTATAACAAGTGTTATGTTTTATTCAAGGTTCCCGATGTGCTCTTCACAACCATCAACCTACCAGCAGAAGCGGCTGTTACGGGGAAGGGCTGCCTCATCCAGGCCAGGTAAATCACCCCACCGGTGGACGCCTGCTGAGGGACGAGCCGTACACCAAAGTGATTTAATATGTGTCCTTAGACTGTGCCGTCTAAAGAAGAAGGCTCAGGGAGAAGTGAACGCGACAGCCATCTCCAACCTGCTGCCATTCATGGAGTACGAGCTGCACACTCAGCTGATGAACAAGCTGAAGCTGCGGAGCATGAACGCTTTGTTCGGGTTGCACATACAGATCAGCGTCGGAGAGAACATGCTTCTGGGTCTGGCTGTAGGTTGACATTCGAGGTTAACAGCTTAACCAGCAGGACAATTATTTGCTGCATTTTCTTTAAAAACGTGTGTGTGTGTGTGTGTGTGTTCAGTCTGCTACAGGCGTGTACCTGACAGCCCTGCCGCCACCGGGGGGCATCCAGATTGCAGGGAAGACTCCTGGTGACCTGAGCGCTGAGCACCACATCCTCACCATCCAGAAAAGGATCAATGACACCATAGCCAAGAACAAAGAGCTGTATGAAATAAACCCACCGGTGAGACATGCACGGACAGTAATTAATCCAAGGACGACCAGGCTGAGTGTCATGCCGACCCACGGCGCATACTGGACATTTGTAAAACGTTGGGAACCTATTCTAACCAATACATTTAAAACGGTGTTTTTAAGATGTGTTGGAAACTTATTTCCCTGATAAATCTTGGAATATTATTAATTTACCTAAATCTTACATCCATTTCATGTTTCAGCGATAATACATTTGCATATATATATAGCTGGCCATTAAATACGTGAGAGTTGTGACTATCACATACTGTGTTAAATCAAGTTGATAGTGTTGTCATTCCTTCACACAAACCAATACATTTCATGCATAACTGTTTCCCTTATTTTGGGTTTAGTTGTTTCACGTGTTCAAATCATGTCCGTGATCATACATTCTAAGTAGTGTGTTCTTTGTGAATCCTGAAAAACTTACCCCTCTTGTCTCTCTCTGGTCATTAAAGAAATTATTTGCGCTGGACCCTGAGGTATTCTGCGGCATAAACATGGTACTGAGCCTGCCACCTTTTAGCTGTGAGACACAGCAAAGCATGACAAATATTTCACTGTATTAATCCCAATACTACCCCGCTGTTACTACAACTGTATGGCCGATCTAAACTGGGGACATTTGGGAGCAGATAGATGTGTAACCCATTCCAGTGTCACCCTTTGAGGGTAAACCACTGTAGACTCATTTTTTCTGTGTTAATGTACTTTTATTATGACCATCTACTTGGCCATTCACACTGACATCCATGTATGATATTTACGGTGTGTGTGTGTGTGTTTACAACACTTTGTTCTTCAAGATCCATATTCAACATTATCTCTCTGTGCGTGTTTGTGTGTGTGTGTGTGTGTGTGTGTGTGTGTGTGTGTGTGTGAGAGAGATATGGTGAATGTCATTTGAGTACTTGAGTGATTTCAAGCATGTGGTGTGTTATTAGACCTTCTTCTCCATGTACAATCTGGACAGATGTGCTGCTGTGGTCTTCTGGTGTTTACTTTGACGTCCCGTCCGCTCTGGTTTTTCTTGTCCCTCTGCTCGCAGGAGCTGACGGAGGAAGTGCTCGGTTCTCCGGTTCCCGACTCGAGGCAGCGATCCAGACTTTTCCGCTCCCACTCGGAAAGCTCAGACGAAGTGTCAGAGTTGGACCTCTCGCACGGCAAGAAGGACGCCTTCGTCCTCGAGGTGTGTTTCTTCAAAAAAAAAATACATTCATGCGCAGCTCTTTATGTGAAGTGACTCCATTTGGTTACGTTTGCGTAGATTGATGACACTGATGCTGTGGAGGACATCCACTCCCTCCTCACTGATGCCCCTACGCCCACAGGTTTGCGCCATCTACAAACTTCAAAGTAATTGCAGTGCGTCATTTTGCACTGCGTGTGTGAAGTTAGGCTTTGACAAATGTCATTATTCTTCATTATGTGTTGTATTTCCACTTGTATATCTTCAGGTTTCTACAGCTGCAACACCGAGATCATGCCTGGGATTTACAACTGGACTTCAGGAGTTCAGGTTACTATATATACAACATTATATAGTCTCCCTTACAGCAAATTGTTTCCATACACAATATTTCATGCATGTAGATTTTGCCATTGTGCACATTTGGTATTCCATGAGTATAGTCCTCTACTGTTACAATGAGCTACAATTTGCGATCAAATTACCAGGAAAGCAGAGTACACATTAACTGTAATTTAGGAAGTTAAGCTCTTTTCTCTTTTTTTGAAGGTGAATGCCATTTGTTTATGTTACTGTCTTACAGATGTTTACATCTGTGAGGGTCTTTAGGTTGAGTAACGCCAATCTTACTAACCAAGGCTTGAACAAGATCTTCACTGACCTATGTGAGAATCTGCTGAAGGTGAGAAGCCATTATTGATCAGTTGGTGTTCACACCGTATGCACTGCGGTGTTTGTCCTCCGTAATGGGCATGTCATGAACAGTTTGCCATGAAACGTGCAGTGGTTGCCATGATGAAAGTCATTTCATTTGGTTTGTTTCAGAGTTTTTACTTCAAGTTACGCTCTATGATCCCCTGCTGTCTGTGTCAGCTCAACTTCACCGTAGCCGTGCCAGAGGAGGAACTCATACAGGTGGGAGGTTTCAGGACATCTTTGGTTTGTGAAATTGCGAGAAAAAAAAACAGCTTTGAATATAATAAATTGAAATATTTCCTACATCTCCCGGACCTCCCCCTCCAACCTAGGTCACGGTGACAGCCGTTGCCATGACGTTTGACAAAGACCAGAATCAGGAGAAGACTGCAGACAAGCCACCCGCCAAAGGTCCGTCTGGTTTAGGGAGATTAATTTCCTAGTATAGTGGAGATTTGCAGACAAGACATCTACTATATCTTTGGACAATGTTATAGCTGTATCACTGAGGGGAGCTACTTAATCCAATCCAGTTTCACAGCTAAAATACGCTCGTAACAAAATTCAATAAACCTTCCTGGTTGCAGAAACATCAAATGCCTTTCAAGAGTTTGGTGTAACCCATTTAAGAAACATCACTTCTGTTGTGTGTATCAGGAGGCAACGAGACTGAAGAGCAACTGCAGTTTCCCTTGGAGTTATGTGCAGACCCATCGTCCGCCAACTGTCAGCCAGCATCCAAAGTCTCAGGTAAGAATTGTTTCTGAATTGCCCTAACCTTCCCTGTGCTGCTTCCCTAGCAGGCATGGCCCCTCTGCTCCACTAACAACTCTATGCACAGTCTCTTTAGTCACCCCAGCTGCAAAACTCTGCCAAAATCAGCTGGTGATGGTTCGTTCACCAGGTAAACAAACAGTGATGTGACCTAGACTGGTGTGTTCTCTTTTTGGTGTGACCTTAGATGACCGTGTGTGTGTGTGCGCGCTCCTAAAACCGCATGGCTTACTTTTTGGTCACATGAATTGAACACATTGATTGTAAGCACTGATTATAGGTGACGAGTTCTGATTAAAGGTGAAAGCCAAGTAACACATGTGTTGTAAGCCCTGTGGCGAGGACAAGGGAGTGATCCTGAACCCTCCCCCCCCCCCGCCATGTGCAAAGGTAGACTGTAATATCTGTGTGTGTGTGTGACAGGTGTCCCAGAGTGTTCCAACTTCTCATCCAGAGGTGAGCTCCCTTTCCCTCAACCATCCCTCCGTGCTACCAACACTACTACACTGCCCTGTTTTGACTTTTCATCCCTTCGTCTCGGACAGAGTTATCCTGCACCACCCCCAAACCTCATCCACTTTTGTTCTTTTCTGTTCGTTTTTTGTGTCGTGTTTTTATTATTTTTTTTCTCTCTTGTTGTTGCGTTTGTGTATGTTTGGGACTGCGTGCGTGCGTACGTGTGTTTGTGTGTGTGCGTGCGTGCGTGCGTGTGTTTGTGTGTGTGTGTGTGTGTGTTTGTGTGTGTTCTCTCCAGCTGCCTCCGTTGATTACGGTTCCTTTGCAGACAGATGCAGCACCTGGCTAGAGCTGCTTAGGCTGAAAGCTCACACCATAAGACGTGGATCAGTTAAGACAAGTAGGAGGACACGGTCTCTAGCACACTCTGGTGATAATACCCACGAATACAGAACACAGTTTTCAAAAGCAATCCGAGACATACCTACACACACACACACACACTCACACACAAATGCATACAAGCGCTCGCAAACACTCACACACCCCCCATGCATGCCGCTGGGGGGCGGAGCATCGTAAATCAACCACCAGCTTTTTAGCTAGAGTGTGAACGTTGAAGCCCCGCCCCTTAGAGGGATCAACAATCCGAAGCTTGGCTTGTAAAGACCTGCAGCCACTGCAACCACAATGACAATTTGGAAGGAAATCTTTTCTTTTTGCAGCATGTTTAGATGTTGGATGGGTTTCAGAAATTTGGGTTTATCATACTAATTCCTTTGATTTTCTCTGCATTTGCATTATTGAATGTGCTTAAGCTGCCTAAACTTCTGATGATCTGTGGCCATACTTTTCACATACAATCATAAGATAGAGGTGGGGAGAGCCGGTTTGAGTGGAGGGGGGCGGGCGATCGTTTTTTCTGCAAGATCATCTGGTGTCATTTTTAGTCTGGTACACAGTATGGAAACTACAATCTGATGTGTGGCTCTGAAGGTTCCTGGTTTGGTGGATGTGAGCCGCATCAGGTGAATTTGCAGTAGGACAATGGAGCCTCTTTCACACTCTGGCTTGTGTACATGTGCCCAGCTCAGCACTTAGCTGTCTCTGTCCGTCTCCATTTCTCAAGCCTCTTTCACTAATTGAAATGGATATAAATATTCTCTCATGTACTTCACTGTACTGCAAATCCTGTATTCACACTTTTAAACACAAACAGCTGTGCCCAGGTCTGTCTGTCTGTCTGCAGACACTGTTTAACTGTATTGTCCGTTTGCTACAACTGCATGATATGCATGGCAGCGCACGCTTTCCAAGTGATTTTTTTTGGCTCCACACTGACAACTGACATATTTAAGTGCACATGTGTCACTCCTGCTGTGGACATTCTAACAGGGTAGCCTTTTTGCACGTACATTCCACATTCACATTTCTTTCTGCTTTTAGAGTTCATATCTGCTTTTCATTTTCCAAAATTTTTGAGTGTTTTTTTTTTTTTTGCTATCTCCATCCTCTTTCGACTTCCCTCTTCCCTCGTTTTATTCCCACTTCTCCTTCGGACCTCGACATGCTCTCTCTGAACCTGCAGTCTCCTCTTTGGAGCGCTCCAGTCCGCTGCCAGAGGGCCGCTCGCGCTCGCTGCGGTCCAACCGCTCGTTTGGGGGGATTTCCGTCACCGTGGTGAAGATGACGCCGCTCTCGTTCCTACCCGGGACACGCATCATTAAATACCTCGGGATCATCAACATGTTTTTCATCAGAGAGACGACATCTTTACGAGAGGTACGACTGCGGAAAGAGGCTACACGTGCCCCCTGATCTGCCCCAAAGTGTAGGCATAGCTGTACAACATGTGGTATGTGTTTTTCCTATGCAGGAAGGGGGTGTCAGTGGCTTCCTCCATACGTTCATAGCAGAGGTGTTTTCGATGGTTCGAGCCCATGTAGCTGCCTTGGGGGGCAATGCAGTGGTGTCTTATAGTATGAAAGAGTGTATGTTAATGGAAAATCCAAACAAGAACCAGGTAATCCTACACAAAGTATTTTCCTCTTTTATACATGATGATACATGATGTCTGCATCCTCAGACTTCAGTTGTTGTGGTTCATTCTCCCTCTTTATTTCCTTCTCAAGGCTCAGTGTCTCATTAATGTGAGCGGTGATGCCGTCATCTGTGTCAGGGAAACGGACCAGGAGCCCACTCCCTCAACAGCAAGTATCGGACAGACCTGCACTAGTGCCACAGACGAGGCTACATGACAGCGGACCACAGAGACTCACGTTGTCTGCAGGACACACAATCTGAGCGAACGCGCTTTCTGAGTCTAGCCGTCCAAAAATGAGTCATTTATGCCTGCCTTAAATCTTTGTAACCACAGATTTAGACCCAGGTAATAAAGAACAAATACTCATACACTCAGAAACATGCAGTCTGTATTAATATGGTACTTGCATGTTTCTTTTGATTTTAAAGCACATTTGTGCAGAAGATACTGATGTAGCTCCCTTGGGAATTGGGTACTCTGGGTATTTACAAACAGTAGCCAAAGGACCCCTGCATTTCAATTTTGTATATGTATTTTGGACACTCATCCATAATGGGGTCACCCAAAGCTACTGTATATTGGTCATTCATTTGTTTGTGGACAAAAGAGCGGCAGCTATGACTTTTTTTTGCATCTACAGCTCACAGGAGGAGTAATTACATGACCAAAGGGATATAGAATGCCAACAGATTGTTTTAAAGTGGGCACATAATGACGATGGCGAGCAGGGTTAGGGTTCCTCAAAATAGAAAATCAATTTGAATTGAAACAACCCAGAGAACACTGATACCAATTCTTTATAGTTATATCTATTTCTTAATTAGTGTCCTGTCGTCATGTCTAAATTTTATTTCATTTTGTTGATGGATAATCATCTTAATTACTATCAAAGTGTTGCTCACAGTCAGTATCCTACAGGGATCAAATGTCAAATAATGATCTCCGCTATATTAATAATAATGAAAACAAAAAATAGCAAGGGTTTCATGCACATGTATGATGAGAATTTTCCTGATTCTCCTTATTCCAGTGATTTATTTTATTCAAACCATTAGAATTTTATATTGCTTTGTTATAAAAATTGCTTATATTATATAAAGGATTTAGAGGGCAAAGTTATAGGTGTAGGGGGTCATATGTGGTCCTTTGGGGTCTAGCACCAGAATGGGTTCAATTAAACCTTCAGCATTTTTGTTCTGCACCTTTTGTCAAGTTGTTACTGTTGATTAATGCTCTGTATAACAGTCCTGCTACTAATCTCTACATCTTTGATGTTATTGTCCAATGCTGGAAAAAAGAACAGCATAATGGTGTAAAAGTGCCAGCTGAAAATAAACTGTGTAAATGTTCTCTAAAGTCAGATTTTAGTATTTTTCTAGGACAAAATGTATGAAAACTATAGCTCATTTAAACTGTGTAATGAATTCCAGATGATGCGCTGTCAGAAAAAAAAGTGGTACTCTAATCTGTTTGTCTGATCAGCCGCGTTTCATATATTGTCTAAAACTTGAATGTACATACATAGATGCTTTTTCTTTATGACTAGCCGCATGCAGACCCACTTTTTATCTGTTCACCTGTTCAGTCATGCACAATAAACGCAGTCAAACCAAAACTTTGAACATAACCTTTTTTTTTTTTATTCCTTTAACAAATAAAGTAGAAATGTAATGTGGCCCCATTTTTATTCAAAACCAAATTTAAATTTGATCAGTTTGTTTTGATCGTAAATTTGAAAACGTCAGCATCAAATGCTGACTCTGCCCGAGGTAATTACCCACAAGTCATTGCAATCTGACGTAAAAACGGGACCAGCGAAGGCGTGGAGACGTAAAAAATGTAAACAGAGGCCGAAGGAGGAGGAAATCCGACTACATTCATTAATGAAATTTTATTTTAGTCATCAAGGCGTTTGTGACAAAATATTATTTACAATGTTATAATTTTATGAGAAAGGAGGCTGACAGACGTTCGAACCACAGAGTAAAAATAATAACATCAAATAAATGCACTCGGTTGTAAATCATCTTGGAACGTTGTCATGGTGACGTAACGTGTGGCGGCAAAGTGCGGGTCCCATGTTGAGCCTTCAACGGAATTCAAACCGAGCCATTTAGCGGCGGAAGTCAGTTGGATCCCGGAGGTTTCAGGCTCGAAGACCGCAAACGAACAAACCAGCCAGTCGAGTCTGAACTTGTTTCAGCCGCTGCCACGTTAATGCCGCCTCAATCGTTGAAATAACTGCAGCGCCGTTCGGAGGCGTCGGGGTGAACTTCTTCCGCGCTCACGTTACGTGTCTCCGGGCTACACTTTTAATCACCCCCCCCCCCCCCTTCCTCCTCTTCCTCCGGCCGCTACAGGAGCAGGCAGCGGCTGTCCCGACCCCCAGCATCTCGGCCCAGACATGGGGGAAATCATCCAGCCGCGCCGCATGTTCCTCTGGAGCATGGCGGTTGTCTACCTGGCTGCTTTCGTGTCTCTCTACGCGCAGATTCCAGGTGAAAGGAGCCGGGAACCACTCGGGCTAACTGCGTGCGAGCCCACTTCGTTTACCGCTGCCGTGTGTTAGCTTGCTAGCTGGAAACTTGGCCGCTCTGTGTGTGTGTGTGTGTGTGTGTGTGTGTGTGTGTCTTTTCCTGTGGTGAAAATGACGTTTTTTTTCCCGGGGCTAACTTCATTAGCTAACCGCTAGTAATGTATTGTACTACAGTACCCACAACCCCCCGCGCTCTCTCTCCAACTGTTAAAAGTCGCTTTATTGTCACTAACCGAGCAGAAGCCCCTCGCCCAGGGGCTTTTAAAGAATTGTATTTGCCACACGTGCATTTCGGCACATACATTTTGCAAAAGACACTAATTTTAAGCCATATTTTCCACATTCTTAAAATCAGTTACTCCATGACAGACTCCCTCTGGATTCAAATGCATGTCATGTACAATGTTGGTCCCAACCTTAAAGGAATCACCAACCGCCTTCATGTGTGTCATAAATGATGCAAATGAAATACCGTTGCGTGTTCATTAACATCGTCCCCATCTCCAGGCCTCTACGGTAACGACGGGCTGCTGCCCGCCCGATGGCAGCTGCGATACAGCGGTAAGTCTGTGGGGGAACTGCTGCTGTCCTCTCCCACCCTGCTGTGGCTGGGACCTCAGCTCGGCGTGGACACGCACACCGCCATGGAGCTTCTGTGCCTCGTCGGCGCAGCGCTCAGCCTCGCCGCCGTGCTGCTGGAGGCCCTCCGGGACAGCGTGGTGTTCTTCTGCCTCTGGGCCTTGTACCTGTCCATGTTCCAGGTGGGGTTCGGTACTTTTTTTGGAGGGGGGGGTGCTGTAGTTCCTGTCTGGTGACCTTTCTCTCTGTGGTTTTGCATTTCAGGTGGGCCAGGTTTTTCTCTACTTCCAATGGTGAGTTGATGTAAAAGGTTGTTTGCCTGTTTCTCATCCCCAGTCAGGTGTTACAGTTAAATAATTGTTGTCTTTGCAACAACACCATAGACCCCAACAAACTATCATCACTACCCTGGTTCCATTTCCCTCTTTCTCTGTGCCTCACTTGGAACTTTCTACTAATACATTTTTTTTCCTGCTGCTCTTTCTGTCCAGGGACAACTTGCTTCTGGAGGTTGGCTTCCTTTGTATCCTGGTCGCCCCTCTGACGTTGATCAGAGGGTCACGAGGGGTCAGAGAGCATGATCGTGTGACGTTCTGGCTGCTCCGCTGGTTGCTCTTCAGGCTCATGTTTGCCTCTGGCGTGGTGAAACTCACCTCTCGTTGTCCCACATGGTGGGGCCTCACGGGTATGTATGACATTTTTATAGGGGTTTGTTTGTGTTGAAGTTGCAAATCCCTGAAATTAAGACCTTTTGTGTGACATTTCAGCCACAGCAACGGACATCAGTGCTGTTTGTGGTCTTGCATTTACTTTTGTGAGTGTCTATTTTCCAACATTCCTTTCTCACTGTTGTATTTAACAGCTCTGACGTACCACTATGAGACTCAGTGTATCCCCACCCAGCTGGCCTGGTATGCCCACCAGTTGCCCGTGTGGTGGCAGAAGCTGAGTGTGGTGGGGACCTTGGTGATTGAGATCGCTGCACCTCTGCTTTTCTTCAGCCCGCTGCGCAGACTCCGGCTCGGGGCGTTTTACCTGCAGGTGGGAAGGATTTTAGGCTCTGAAATCTACAATTAGCAAGTGTAATAGAAAGGGTGGCCTTTACGTAAAGGGTTGTGTTTTAGTAAAAAAATGATCACATGTCACCCTTCTCAAATACCTGCCTGGTTGTTTGCAGCTGATGAAATGTATTGATTTTGTGTTGTTTATTGTGTAGGTGTTGCTTCAAGTTCTCATCATTTTGACTGGCAACTACAATTTCTTCAACCTGCTGACGTTAGCCCTGTGTCTCTCGCTTCTGGACGACCAGCACGTCAACTTCTGGCTACGCAAGGCAGACAAGATCAGCAACACGGGTGAGATAAACGTTTTCTGGGTACATTGGATTTGGACATTTGATTATAAGGTGAATTATAATTTAGGGAGACCCAACACGTGTCTTTAGTCCATTCTATAGACCTCTATGTCATAGATTCCCATGCATGTTGAAATGTATTTGTCATCAGCGGACGTGAGGATATTAAACACCCACCTTCACATCAATAAAGGATAAATCTGAATCCTACCTACAGAAGAACGCACATAAGCTTCAATTTGGGCCGTAGTTGTATGTCCATCCTGCCAAAGTTCCCTCAGTGGAGCATCATCTCTCTCTGATCTGCTCAGACTCCAAGCTGAGGTGCTGGTTGTGTTACCTGCTGGAGGTCGCAGTCTGGTCTCTCATGATCCTCGGAACGATCGTATGCTTTGACCTTAAGCCGAATACAACAAATAACGGCATCTCGTCCAGGACAGGTAATTGTGTGTGTGTGTTGTGTGTACATCTATTTCCATAGAAACGATGGCATTTTGAAGTGCATTGTCTACATCTGTGCCCTTTCAGCATTCACATACCACCAGTTTAACCAGTTTCTCAAGACTGTCACCATCCCCTGCATCTGGATCGCGGTCCTCTCTCTTACCTGGGAGATGGTGACCGCCATGTTCAGGTAGGACTCCCTCCTGTGTGGCGGCTGGATCACGTTGCATTCTCTCCTATCGTTCAAACGTGGCCTACGTGACGTTTCTCTAGGTGCGCGTGTGTCTCCGGTTTCCTGAAGAGGTTTTGGGGAACTTTGCAGTGGGCCGTGTTCGCCACTGCCACCGCTGCCATGTTCACCATCAGCCTGGTGGGTGTCCAGTATTGATTTCAAGTTCATATCCTCCAGCTGTCACTCTGTGTGCCGACTGTCCTTTTGTTCCCAGGTGCCCTTCACCTACATCGAGTATGACTCTAATGCCAGGTTGTGGCCCGGAGTGCGTCGGGCTTATGAGCTGGTGGATCGCTACCAGCTGGTCAATTCGTATGGCCTGTTCAGAAGGATGACCGGGGTCGGGGGACGGCCGGAGGTCGTCATCGAGGGAAGCAACGACCAAGTCTCGTGGACGGTGAGGGGGAAAAAGAAAAAAAAAAGATCCTAGACGATCTAAATGTTTGTATTTATAAACACGCTGCACAACTTGTGACTGCACGCTACTGTATGTGTTTCTTTTCACTGCTTTTAGGAGATCGAGTTCATGTATAAGCCAGGCAACCTAAGTGCGTCTCCTGCCGTGGTGACACCTCACCAGCCCAGGTTGGACTGGCAAATGTGGTTTGCTGCGCTCGGGGATCAGACCCAGGCTCCGTGGTTCACCAGCCTCATGTACAGACTCCTGCAGGGAAAGACCGATGGTACGCCGCCTCGAAGTGCTAAACCTTATTGTTCTAACCGTTTTCTGCCACTTTTTGCCCTAAATGACGAGTCAACACAGAATCAAATGGGGGGGGGGGGGGAACAACACGCTCACAGGATCGCTTGTGACGTGGAAATCTGACTCAATTTAAAAATATACCTCAAGTGATGTGTTTGTTTCCAGTCAGCCAGAGCGTGGAACGTATCAACGTCCTGTGAGGAGCTGAAGGCAGCTTAAGGCGGAGCTGTTTTTTCTAAATAGAAAAAACATCACTTTACTGCTGAATCTCATTGGAAAGAGTGACAGAAGGTTCAGCCAATCACCAGGCAGACAGTGGCTGGCCCATTTCCTCTTTCCAATGACTCCAAAGACCAACTGTAGTAATAAAATAACCCCAGGTAACAGGTTAAATAACAGTTTCTCACTGTTTGCACTGAAATACTTTGATTACTAATAATTCTATTAGGGGACCTCTAGTGGTACTAGAAGGAAAGAATACAGAAACAAGCACCCACTTGCACAGTGGCGCCAACTCCACTTTGATGAAAACAAAAGTTAACATGGCTTAGTATCTGTGATGTGACGTTAGCGTGAGACTAAGACTCAATCTTGGACCAGGGCTTTGGGTACCTAAACTTTTAACTCACTCACTAAGCAGAGAAAATGTTTTCTGCCCCCAAATGATCGTGTTAAATCTCCATTGAAAACGAGGTATTGTTGTTTTTGTTTTTTTAAGTACAACCAGATCGCTGGACGCTTTGCTTTATGTTCTACAGTGATCGAGTTGATCCAGACAGACGTGTCTCAGTATCCGTTCCACCAGCAGCCACCCGCCTACCTCCGAGCCCACCGCTACAGATACTGGTTCACCGAACCAAAGGCTGACGGGTCAGTGCTCTCTGTCGGTCGGTCTGTCTGTCTGTCTGTCTGTCTGTCTGTTTCCATGCAGACATCTGACTTGTTGGCTGTGTGCACTTAAGCTCTTAATTTAACGGTTCCCAAACTGAAGAATGCTGCGGCCTAATTTGAAATCTGAAAATCTTTCGCGGCCCACCCAAACCTTTAATCACAACTCTGATCAAAACATAATGATTAAATGACCTTAAGAATTTAACCAAAATCAAACATCCGCGGGCAAAAGTTCGTCTCGGCGAGGTATTTGCTCGCTTGCGAAACGTGAACTTTGTTGCTCTTGAGGAGAATCTCTGCTCGCGCTCGAAGGAGTTTTCTACGCGCTCGCTGTTGTTCTTTCTGACAGTAAGGTGGAGGCGGTGCTTTCAGGGTCTGATCGATGCTGCGAGGTGCGTCCGCTCCCGCCGCCCCCCTCGCCATCCACGCCTTAAATCTTCGGCTGCTTTTAGAATTACTTATTTTCCCCGTTTAGATGGTTCAGCTACTGTAGATAAAAGGGCGCCGTCTCTCGCTCTTTACTCTCATGAAGTGCTCGGCGAGAACGACAGCTTCTCCGACGCGCCCTGAAACAAGCTCCATATCTCACGCGCTTGAGCGCCGCTCAGCATCTTGCCGTCGTAGCTTTGGCATGTTTGGCAGAGCGCCTTGAGCGCCGTGTATAACCAGTATGGATCAACCGATTAACCAATTGATCCATATATATAAGGCGCTCCAGATTATACGGCACTGTCGTTTTTTGAGGAAATTAAAGGCTTTTAAAAGCGCTTTGGAGTGCGGAAAATGCGGTATATTGGCTTTAATACTACAAGAGGGCGCCCCGTTTGTTGAACTACGACAGGCGGACAAGAGCAGCCATTTCGAGCGAGAGCCTTATTGTTTTATTAATCTGTCCGTTTAAATTGTTTGTGCTTCATCAACTAATGTTTCACATACCTAATGTGCCGCATCATAAATTTCACTTTGGGAATCGCTGTCTTAAGACATTACCACCTCATTCAAATGGCAAAAACTGAGACTAACATGATTTTATTTCAGCGGTTATATCCATATCCAAGTGAGTTTAGTTTAGAGAGTCTTGTTATTAATTATTAGTCAAACATCAGGATATCTGCCGTCCTGTCGACAGGTCCTATCCGGAGCGTTGGTGGAGGAGGGTTTATGATGAGGAGTTCTATCCTACAGTGCACCTGGGCAACGCCTTCCTGGAGAGCATGCTCAATCAGTATGGACTCAAGGTAAATATTAAAGCTTATAATTGATTATGAGCAAAAACAAGTGGAGGATGTTTCCCCTTTCAAATATTGATTTACTTTCGTCTTTTATTTCTCTGTAGGACAAATCTGCTCCGCGTCGTAAGTCCCACACGGCTGTTGCTAAAGCGGTGAGGTGGGTGCGCTCTCAGGCCAGAGGCGTTCCTACAGACGTACTAATCTGGACCCTCATCGCCGGCAGCGCCACCCTGTGTCTACTCCAGGCGTTACAAAACCGGAACAAACACCCAGAAAGGAGACCGCTCACTCAGGAGGCCGTGGGGGAAAATGACACCGGCGGCTCTGGTGACCATTCTGGGAAGGCCAATGATCAGCAGACTGAGGAGGAGGAGGACGAGGAAGAGGAAGAGGACGAGGACGAGGACGAGGAAGAAGAAGAAGAAGAAGAAGAAAATGGAGACTGCAGTGAAGATGAGGGGGAGGAGGGCCACGGTGGTGCGAAAAACACTGTTGCTGATGACGAAAAGGACTAGGCACAGGAGGAGGAGGTGGAGGAGAAGGTTTTGAAAAGATTCAGGTAAACCCATACAAAAAAAGAAAGCTATCACCACTGTCCTTAATGAAATATTATCAATTGTCCAAAGAATTTTCTTTGTGTATATATTTGTTATTTACCTTCTCCCACCTACACCTTGCAGCATTTCGTTTTTACAGGAATCACTTGACTGTAATCAATCAATCTACTCAGCCAATCGAATCACTTTGAAAAAGAGTGAACTGTGTTGAAGACGGCTTTTTGCAAGTTTTGCCTATTCAGAGCGTTGTGGGTTTTATGCTTTTTCATTAGTTTCTTTCCTCACCTCTTGCTGTATGTACTGAACTAAAACAAATCTGCTTTTACTTTTTTGTTTTTGTTGGTTAAAAAGTAAACCCATCGATGTAATATTTTTACTTTTTTTTTTTTATCACAATAAAGTACAATAAAATAGAAACGCATTTCTGAATTTTCTTTGAAATATGTAACAATTTAAAGTTATCTAATTCTATTAGCTTGAGTAGTTTAACGATCAATCACAAGTTATATCTGTCATGTTAAGTTATTTTGTAGATTAGTCATATGTATATACAACCATACAGACTATTATTACAATCACAAGTTCTATCTATAATTTAAATAAGTTCTTAGATGATTAGTCCTGTATATGCAACCACACAGACTATTACTATTATTACAAAGGACCAGCAGAAGGAGACTAATCCAACTTTGTTTCTATATGCTGTCGCTGTTGAATCCAGTGTTGTCCGTTTCACCACTTCAGTGTTCCAGGACAGTACTTGTCGATCAGAGACTGGTAATACAGCTTCAGCGTGTCGATCTCGGGCATCTCCGTGGTCTTGGTGTACAAGTCAAATTTGCTGTCGGAAAAAGACATGAGATGCAGCTTCACGTCGAAGCGCGGAGCAGTAATCGTTTGCACCTGAAAGCGGAAGATGCTCACTTGAACTCTTGGACCCAGGGCAGCATGCGCAGGTCGTTGGCGTTGCACAGGTGCATGTAGTCTCCGCTGGTGTGCCAGGGGTAGAACGAATGGAAGCGAATCATGTACAGCCCCTAAAGGGAGACAGGAAGTGATCCACAAATGAGCTCGCGTAGTAAGAGAAAATCCATGCGTTCTAACTTTTGATTGACCAGCGTTTTTTGAATGGCATCATCTACTGACCTGCTCTGGGATGGAGCAGTTGTTGAACTTCAAAACTCTGTAGAGATACTCTGAAGACAACAGAGCGAGAGTTCAGGTACAGTATACCAGCTAAACGGGCACCTGTTTGTGTAACGGCGCGTCGTACCGTCATGGCCCCAGGACATCAAGACTTTGTCGAGCCCACAGTTTGGTTCATAGATCCCGTATTCTGTGCTAATGAGGGTGAGAAAAGTACTTCTATTAGAGGAGAGATTACTTCAATCCGACTACACAGAGGCAAACTATTTGTTTTATTCCCACTGTGGAATGCAAAACATGACAGAAAAAGTGTTCCGAAAGTAGGAAAACTTAAACTGAAATAATTATCCACAGACTGACGTGAAAATACTAACTTGTATTTTGGATTTTTCTCATCAGGGTTATCCAGGAAGGTGTTGTTTCGGAACACGACAGAGTTTTGAATCTTGCAGCCCACTGGGAAGGTGTCGCCTGTTACAGCCCACTGCAAAGCGTACGTACTCAAAGTTTGCTCTGAGAAACACACCGTGGTTAAATAGGCTAAAATGATCGAAGAGGAGTCTTAGAAGTGAGAATTACGATAGTGGAAAGAAAGAAATATTCAGAAGTGAAAGAAAAGTACTTAGTTTAAGCCCATGTGGAAGGAAGTAAATCATATTTCTTAGTAATGTTCGTAGTTCAGGCATGCTGATGTAACCGTGTTGTCTACCTGTTGTTCTCCCCAAAGAGCCATTGCCTTCCCAACATCATGGATCAGACCCACCAACTGGAACCATTCTGTGAAAACAAATGCTTGTTCATCTGTGTGCTTTCACACAATGCGTGTTTTACTGTCTCTCCCTGTGCGGTACCGTTGTCTGGGTGTGCCTGGCGGATGCCTTCAGCGGTCTGGAAGGCGTGGAAAGAGTTTGGGAAGTCCACGTCTGGGTCGGACTCGTCCACCATCTGGTCCAGAGACATGACGGCGTCCATCATCGTCATGCTTTTGTGGTTGCAGCCGGCCCATTCGGAGTGCTTTGAGGTGAGTGAGAGGCTCAGCGTTACTCTAACATTCAAGGAGAGCTCCCGAATACCCATCAAACCAAAGCAAAGGTTTCTGTTGGATGGCTTTTGTTTGCTCAGTGTGACACAGTCACTCGCTCATCTGGAGCAACACAGAGATCCACAAAATACAAAGAAACCGCCCCCCCTCCTCCTCCACCTCCCCCAAATACCTTACATAACAGTGCTTTCAGCACTGACACACTGCACGATTCATTTTGATTTGCCGTTTTTCCTTCTGATTTACAAACCTTTTTCTTCACAAAGTCCAAAGTCTGATTGGTGTGCATAAGCTTGTATGTGTTGAACACGCGGTCGATCAGACTTCCACTCTGAAACACACACACACACACACACACACACACACACAATATGATAACACCCTCCTTCACCTTCAATCACGATTGAAAGCTGTGAAGTTTCTTTTTGCATCATATAGAACAAATGAGTGAAAAGTTCAGCAGCTACATTGTATCAAATGCTGAACTTCAATTGTGGCACTTTTGCACTTACCCACAAATACATTTAGCTCATCTGTGCAATATTCTTTTCAAAAGCAATATATCCCTCAAAGCTCCAGTGTTATATTATAAGAACGAAGGAAAATCACAGATCACATCCCAAAATGCATTGTTTTTTTGAAAAACGTTTTTCAGAGTCTACCAAATGTAATGTTAAGATCCTTTCCTTCATTCTCTCATTAGCAGAAACAAGTGGTCCTGTCAGTCTGTCAGTAACTCGTTCAGAGTTCCGGCGGTAAGTGTCAATGTCCAAAGAGGAGCTTTGAATGCTTACCTCAAAGTTTCTGTAGTCGTCTTTCTCTTTAGTTTTATTTATATCCAAATCTGGCCGATATGCCAAAGATGGGTCTGGACCCTGCAACAGCATTTTCAACGATAAATGACATGTAAATACAACATAATAAGTATTAAGCCATTTTAAAAGTAGTTTCAATAGATCTTTTTTTTGTGAAAGCCTAGCTTTTTTTAACGTATTAAAGCCAGACTTACAATGTTGATGACACGCATTGCTGGAAGATGAGGAGAATTCAGTGCTGTGGCGTTTTCGTTCCACCTCCCTCTCTCTCTCTATATATCCTGCTGGTTTAAACTGCAGTGCGTTTGACCCGCAACGTCAGCTCACATTTAGTGTACACTAACGTCGGGTCTCACTTTAACCCCAGTGCCCCTCATACGTGTGTGCGTGCGCTGTGTGCGTCTGTGTGTCTGTTTTCAAACATTCATCAACTGTTCGCTGACGTAGGATGACTCAGGACTTCTGTGTTTGTTCTCGGGGTTTAAAAATTATAGAAATGTGAGGATTCGTGACCGCAATGGTTTGGGGACAGTTCAAGTTTTGAGACGAGACTTTAATCATTAACAGGGAAGGCAGAGCAAGGCAATTTTATTTGTATAGCATATCTCAACAATAAGGTTTTTCAAAGTGCAATTAAATTGATTAAAGCTGTTAAAAACATCCAAACATAGAGTGAAGAGTGTAAAACAGCCATTATAAAAAAAAATGTTAAACTAAAATGTCATTACCCAAATATTGAAATTGTCAATTAAAGAACAGCAAATAATATAGGGAGAGACAAAAGTGCATGTGTCCCAAAGTTCTAAATGTCTAACGTTGGTGAACGCTGGTGAACCAGCTCTCCGTTGACAAGGCATGCCGTGTTCCACTTTAAAGATCAATAGTGAGTACCTGGAAATGGAACGCTTCAATAAATATTTACATAGCCTTGAGTCTTCTTCTATTTCCCCAATTTTCCAATTCTTTAATTGTGGTTGGTTGGCTTGGTTTCATGCTTAAAGCTTTAAGTGGAGTGAATACATAAATGAAGTGTTTACACGGTTACATCCACAGTCGGTCGTCAGAGGGTTGTCGGTTTGATCCCAGGCTCTGCTAACCTGCATGTCGTTGTGTCCTTGGGCAAGACACTAAACCCAACATTGCTCCTGTAGCTGCGACTACAGTGTGTGAATGTTAGTTGCTGATGTGCAGGTGTCACTGTGTCTGGTTCTCCTGTCATCAGTGTGTGAATGGATGAATGATGTCATGTAGTGTTAAAGAGCTTTGAGTGGCCAGAAGACTAGAAAAGCTGTACAAGTGCAGTCCATTTACCATTTACATGTGGAACAAGAGCCATGCAAAAACGATGCAAAAACGGGCAACGCTAACGTGTCCTGTTCAGAGAACCAACGTTTTGAACATAACGTAAGCTGGCATTCACTCGCTGCAGAGTGCATCTGTGTACACAAGGAACGGATATTTTTTGGAACTGATTAAACGTCAACAGGATTTTCATTTCCTATTTGATGTTTAAATGTGCATCATGGTTAGAATGGCAATTTTCTAAGCGGGTGAAGAGCTGAATTTCAACAAACCTGAGTTGGTCGCGGTTAATATTTTTTATAAGATATATATATATATTGAAAAAAAAAAAATGTCATCATGACTGATCATGACACAAAATGATTGTGCCCTGCATAAACAGTCTGGTTATATGAAAATACCATCTTTCCTGCAGTAGAATATTTACTATTTACGTAAAATAATTTGCTTACCAAGTTAGCGTTCTTTCCTCCATTATGTTGCAGAAAGGTGTGTATTCATTTCATAAACCAGATGCTGTTTTTTACTTTTTTAACCTTTGTTAACCTTTACTCTCACTCTCACGTGTGTGTGTATGTGTTTGTGTGTGTGTGTGTGTGTATGTACAGTAGCTGCCTAGATTAATAATTGGTTTTATTAACATGGTGTGAGGCACATAACCAAACATAACCTATGTAAAGTTTAAAATTAAAAATGGTCACACTCTTTTAGACAGAAAAAATACATGTGAAGGTTTTATTGGCGTTTTAATACACAATGCTGCAACTACGTTTTAGATGAAAGCAACACATATTTTGTACAAAAACACACTTGTACCTTGAAAGAGCGCTCACACAAGTATTTAGTAAAGTGGGACATTTACAGCTAAATGGTCTTAAGTTAAATAACATATTCCTTCTAAACATGATACATGAACTGATACACACAGAAAAACAGAAGATTATAAAGCTTTAAATAACACTTTGATAATGAACTTTCACAGTGATGAATGTTTTAGAGAGGTGAAAGGCAATACAAAGGAAATTACGTCTAAAAATGGACCCAATAGTGGCACAAATCAAAAAGATGCGTCATAGATTAACAGCTTACACTGAACATTAAAGTTGTCCTTGTTAAGATACGATCCAGACGGATCACGGATTAAGACTAGTGGTTATTCCGGCTAATTGTGTTCTCTGTGGGCTTTTGGGGGAAGGCTTAATGTGGTTTAAATGCTGGTTATTCTAGGTTTCTGTTTGAGCTGAAGTAAAGCTACTTGTTTGGAGATGGAGGTCATTTAAGGAGACGTGGTGGATCGGCGCTGTGCTCCAGTAGGTTCAGATCAGCAGGATCAACACTGATGACGGTAGTTTACATTAGTCAGGTGGGCCAGAACAAAAGAGGCTTCTCCCATTCAGTTTCCTTGTTTAGATATATAGTATAATAACAAAGCACCTATGACTATATTCACTGCACCCTACATGGAACTGTTAAACAGCTGTAAGTTAAATTTCAGTTTATTACAATTCATTTTTGTAGAGTAGATTATTGCATCCACTGTTGTACTCACCAGAATCCTAACATGCAATCTGAAAACGTGGTTTTATCACTACGTCAGAGACGGATGGCGAAAGAAACGTAATGTTTCCTGTACGTTAAATGTTTAAAACCAGCCACCAGTCGAGGGGATCTCAAAAGTGAGCACATGTCAAATGTTGGTGGCAGTTTATGCAGCAAGCTGCCGTACAAACCTTTGGCAAAATCTTGAGGCGCCGATTCAAAGTGCAAAGCAATGATCATGGGCTCTCTGTCCTGTGACTCTGGGTCCTCCTGTGAGTTCCCTGCATGCTGTGATTGATATTGGCAGTTTGACAGATATTTTACATTACAGGTCATTTAGCTGACGCTTTTATCCAAAGCGACTTACATTACACTTCAAACCCATGGCTTTTACATTTTGCCCGGGGAGCAATTAGGGGTTAGGTGTCTTGCTCAGGGACACTTTTTTTCTACTAACCCAGGATTTTTTTTATTTCCAGATCCGGGCGGTCAATTTATTAATCATGAGAGTGATTATACGGTTTCTACGGCAGCTGAGATCAGATGCTAAATCGAGGACTAACTCTGTCTCTTTGAAGAGGTCTGTACACCGTAAAGTACAAAATTGGAAAAGCAAATGTGTTTGGGGATAAAATGAAGGTTATATAAATGATATATTAACATAGTAAGACAATGGTGTTTTCTAACATAAGTAGGAAGTTGAACGTTTTTTTTAAACTGAACATTTGACAATAAAGGCATTAGTAGACTCATTATCCGTAGCTGTGAGGACTGCGTGGGTTAATGGGGGACGAGTCTTCCCTTCCACTCTGTCCAACTAGCTGGTAGAGACGGTGGCTGAGGTTGTGAACCTGACAGGTGCCTAGAACACACCCCACCCTCATTAGATGGCTGTGACCCCTCCCGCCGCCACCGTTGGCGTGGCGACGACCTCGTGAGCCACGGCGCTGGACCGTCGCTTCCCACAGCACGCTGTCTCTCCGGTCGAGCAACGCGCCGGACAGCCTTGGCGGGGGCTCTTTGTGCAGCAGGGCCCTCCAGATGATACGCGTGTCTCCCTCGGTGATGTGGTTGTCAACGGCAACAGACAGATCAGATGGAGTGGGCATCATGATGGCGGCGTTTGCAGACTTTGGGCATTTTGATGTTCTGGGCGAACTAGACCTGAGATACAATGAAATGGAGAAAGAGAGCGGAAATGTTTAGATGCAATGCAAAAGCAGTATGACAAACACACACACACACACACGCACACACACCTCCTGTTCAGACGACTGTGGACAGTCGTGTATTTGTCAGCTGCAGTTAAAGTGAATCGCTAAAACACGAAGAAATGCCTCACAGGACGTCCGGCTTGCACAGCAGAATGTCCAGTGTACTCAACCACCCTTTATTTTGAAGCAGCGATACACAGAATGAGTGATTTTATATACGATTAGGCGAGCTCACTAGCATAGCTATATGGACTAGACAGGTTAGACAAGTAGAGATTGCAATCTGGAAAAAAAAGAAAAGTAATCTTGGCCAATACAACCCTAATTGTTTTCATAAGCCATGTAGCATCAAAAGCAAAGAGCTTCTTTTCTTTATATCGTCAATAAACACCTCAAGCTTGCGTATAAACGTCTGAGCAGTTAAGATTTAAGTTTAAGTTTTATTAAATTCACAATACAGCTTTTATAAAAAAATACTTCCAAATGCGCACAACGCATGGTCACATGGTTATTGTCTGAGAAGGAGTTTCATACAAATAGAATTGGTAACATAGCAAATAAACACATGTCCGATGACTTACATAAACACAGTTAAAGAGTGACAAGCTGTTACTTTTGCATGTCTTTATTTCAACAATCATTGACATTTTAGAAGAACTGTAAAATATGACCTTAAAATAAGTTAAAGTTTCCAGTTCCTTCCAGTAGAAGGTGGTAAGAGGCTCCTTACAACACCACTCCTCTCGAGTGTGAGGGAAGTGCTGCTTTCTTCTCACCTTGCTGCTCTCCAAGCCGACCTTTTTTTCCAGTGTCGTCACAATACGTTTTTCATTCATCCCTCCTTCTTTCTCAGACGCTCAAGAGGTCAGCCACTAGAGAGGGCCGGTCTGTTTGGCCATGAAATTACACAATCTTTAGTATAGATCATGTAAAGTAGCAGGGGACAAAGATTGCTTGGTGCTTTACAGCTTGTACCAAGTGTTTAGGGACGGCTAGACAAACTCACAACAATAACAACTTAGGTTGATCGGTTCATTCATTACATTTTCACTGCTGACTGAAATTAATAGAATATATTTCAATTGGAATATATTGTGCGTATGTACAACATGCACACACACACACACACACCATTCAAAAGCGAGATAATGTTTGTGTTCGTTTGTTAGGGCCATAATACCAGATGATCTTTATCCCGTAACTAATCCTAGTTGGTATTCTAATCAGTATTCTGGCAGGACACCTTGAGCTGACACTGCCAACACACATGCACACAGGCCTGATGGTGGTCAGTAGGGCACTAGTGGATACAAACATGGAGGCGACACCTGACTGCCATCCTCACATAGATACAAACCAGCCTGCAATGTATAATCTACATGCTCAGCTGCACTTTCCCACCACTATTCTCTCTCCTACAAAAAAACCAAAAACAAAGCAAATGCCTGACGTGGGCTTGGAGACGTTGTCTCTGGAGAGAATGTATCAGGAAATGTAGGCAGCTGAACTGCTTGCTACAACACACGCGTGTGTCTGTGTCAGAGGGATTCTATATCAACGTGATTCTGTAAGGTTGTACTTTGACACAGCGGGGCTTTTAAATGCTAACATGCTAACAACGGCGCGGCTAACATGCTGATGTTTAGCAGGTGCAGCACTCACCGTGTTCTTAGTTTACATGCTAACACCTGGTAATAACCACAAAGTACTGAGGAGAATATTGATGGTTTACAGTTTTGAATATTTATTTTGCAGGTACTCGCTTGTGAGCAAAAGTATTGTAAAGAACAACGTAGATATCACAAAAAAAATCATGCAGTCATTGTTGGATTATTTAATTCACAGCAAACTGTGAACCTCATTGTGGCGCTAGATATGAAGTCAGGGGATCACCATGTCACTCACGTCTGTGCAAACTTCGTACCCGTTACTTCGATCAAGACACTTCATTATGAATCTAAGTTGCACAGGATGAATAACACTTCTCTATGAGCTGAGGGGAACCCACTTCTGTACTTTTCTGCCTCCACTCACTATTTGGACCTCATTCTTACTGTGTGCGCGTATGTATGTGTGTGCGCGTGTGTGTGTTGTATTGTTGTCCAGTCTGAGAACAAGTGGAGTGTCTGGGGGCAAAAGGAGCTTCTTCAACATTCCTTAAGTCAGAGCTCAGCATGGGGTTCTTTCTCTCTCTCTCTCTCTCTCTCACACACACACACACACACACACACACACACACACACACACACACACACACACACACACAGAGAGAGAGACACAGTCTCCTGATGTAACTCCTCAAAAATACTTCGCACAAAGAAAGCTTTTTGCCCCTAACCGATCCTCGCTGTTTTATAGTTATTGTTGATGGGTCTACTCGTTATTTCTGTATTATTATTATTTCCCTGTCTTTTCTAAATTAAAACAGGATCCTTGCATTTTTCTATCTGTGTACTTTAATTTTTAGTAGTAATAGTGCTGGCGGCAATATTATGAGGTCCTCTGGCCTCTTCATCTTTAGCCAGGGACTTTGTGTCGACTACTGAGCACCAACCCTTTAAACCTTCAGCTTTTTTTTTAGGTTAAAATAAATTCAAATAAAGCGTACCTATTCAGGTGGTCAACTTGAGAAATTGGGAAGAGATGAATAATACATAAATTGCTATTTTCCTCAAATTATATTAATGTATTAAATTATCTTGATTCTCTTTTGCTTTCCACTAAATACCCAACATAACCTGATATTTACAGGCATGCTGATGATATGGGAGTAAAATGTTATAAAAAGTACGAGGCCACAGGGAAATAAAGGACTGACGCATGAGTCCAAAGACTGCTCAAGATCTCCATTTCACATCCAGCCATACGCACAAGCAGCTTCAAACATAGCAAATGAGTAAATAAACAAATAACGAAAAGAGAAATTCAAAAAATGAAATAAATAGACTGTTTCAACCGCTGCGCGTGCAGTGTGTCGTTGTAGTCTACGTACTTCGAGTTTGGCCTGGTTGCTGCTGGGCCCCTTGGTGTCTTTGTGCATCTACCGAATCCCACTAGATCACCTTCACCTCGGCATCACCTCCTGCTGCTGAGAGCAGTTGCCTCATCCTGCTGTTAGACCTTTTTCTCACATTAATTACTGCCACAAGGCAAGACACAGACGTTTAATGCTCTCCGGTTGCGGCACCTTCACCAGAAGATGGTTTTCATAATTTCATGAAGAGTTTTATGCTTTGGTTGAGGTTTTTCATACTCAGTGCGTGTGCCAAAGTCAAATTAATTACAGGCCTCAGTCTGAACGTAATTAATTTGGCTTCATATTCTACTTAGTTCGACTAAATACTCGTAGTCGGCCAAAGGCAAAAGATTGGTATATCCTTCTATAATATCACCCATTCATTAAACAGAATATCGAATAAGCATGAAACCATTTTCCTTTCATTTGCTCTTTAATAACTGACTGAAATCACACGTTTCCACAGCGAGCAACATAGAAGCTGTTGTTTTTGCTCCTTCAACTACTCGTGCAGCGTGTGGATGTGGGCTGAGGCGGTGGTACCTCTGTCTGTGGGTGAGACTCTGCAGCGTGGAAGCCCGGGACTGGACCTCCGGAGGCAGCAGACCGAGCAGCAGCCACATCCACGCCGACAGCAGCGCGCGCATGGCGGCGCGGCGGAGACGCCTGGTCCGGCGGCCTGGCGGCGGATCGCAAAAGTCCGATATAAGTGGGGGGTTTTGTTTTGTTTTGGGGGTTTTGTTAAAACGAAGCTTTCTTGGGTCGTTGGATTGTCCGTTATTTCAATAAGTAGTTTGCAGCGCGCACGCGCGAACAGACGCCATCGTCCGCCGTGTGTCCGCCGCGTCTTTTGCGCACGAAAACACCGGGATCCACGCGGTTAAAGCGCAGGAGGTCGTTCGGGGCGCAGACCGGCAGCGACTGGAAGCTGCTCCCTCACTCACCCAGCCTGATGGAGGGAGGAGGGAGGCTTATTGTGTGCCCTTTAATCGCCACAGCCTCACCTTTAATGAGTATTCTCATGTTTCTGCGCTCTTTCCCCCCCATATTTGATTCGTTTTTTCGATGTGAGGTCGTGGTCACCGTGACTGTTTACGTGTTGATGGGTTTTCTTTTTCTTTTTCCACAGGGAGCTGCTGTTTGTGAGCTTGGCCCACATAGACATGAACTACTGAACCCCTCTTTAACCAAAAGCTTTTTATCATGTAGACAAGCTTAGGAAGGCAGTTTTTCAATTTTTAAGACATTTTTAAAGGATGCTTTGTAGTTTTATTTCTACCTTTCTCTGCTGTATTTTTATGTATGAATATTTTTCACAACCTAAATTTACTGATTATGAACAAGAGGATCAGTGAAGTATTTTTGCTGTCTGACTCAGTTTTTCTGTATTTTGGGCTTCTGTCGCTTTTGCTAAATTGACAACTTGAGAGCTCGGTTCGTTTTGAAAAGAGATCAGATGCATGTTGACAGTTTAAAACGTAAGAGCACTGAAGTCTCCTGTTGAGTCACACGTTATGTCTGATCTGCTCAGTAAGAGCTTTGCCAATCTAGTCACATATACGAGCAGGACATTTTCTTGTAACATTTGACAAATTAACCCGCAAAAACTGACATTTATCTTTACAAGCCAGCACAATAATTCAATCTTTATAAAAGCAAATATAGAGGGATCACTTCTGGGCACAAAGGTAGTGTATGAATTAATATAGTTGCCCAGCCCACCTAAAAATACATCACATAACGTTTTTGGATTATGTCTTTTTTTCTTTGCTTTATTTCTTTCGAGCTATTCAGGCGTTTATGTTCTACTTGTACTCCAGAAGGTAAGAAGTATATGAAAAGTGGCTTTGTGAGATGGCTTTGCTTCAATTATAAGGTTGGAAACCGAAGCTTTATTCAAACCACTGGATCCTGCGGTATACATGTGTAATCTTGCATTAGTTATTAAATGTTCTGTGTGCAGTGAAATTGATATATTTGAGTTAACAGGTTCATGCTTGTCACGATGTCCCTTGAATTACAAACATCCAAAGAGGTAAAGGAAATTACTCAGAAAGGCAATCTGGCTCAGCTTGCAGTGATCCTATTCTCATTTTCCCTCGTAGAAAAACTACTCTTTTTTTTTTTTTTTGTGAGGACACAGATGATAAGCTCAGAATCTGAACTTGATTAAAAGCTGCTCTGTATGTTGAGGCTGCTTCAGGCCTTAATTAAAGAGGTGTGTGTGTGTGTGTGTGTGTGTGTGTGTGTGTGTGTGTGTGTGTGTGTGTGTGTGTGTGTGTGTGTGTGTGTGTGTGTGTGTCTGCTTGTCTGCTTGTCTGTGACTCAGCAGTTTTGCAGTGATACCTCGTAAGCTCAGTTTCCAACACCGTGAGCCTCGACTCCGTCCAACATGTGCACTAATACGCCTCCTATCTATCCTAGCGTGTGATCCATCATGGCCTGTCGGAGCGTGTGAGAGTGTGCCTGCGTGTCCACGCTATCCAGACTCATCCTTTCTCCGCCCCCCCGATCTAGTAGCAGACAAAGATGCTTTGGCAGGGCTTTAGTTTTTCCGATTACAAAATATAGCAAAAAGTGTTGAAACTTTTCAATGCATTGACTCACCCCATAGGTGAAAAAGGGGAGAATATGTTATGGCAAACCCTACTATGATATACGAGAGCAAAATAAATCCAATTATTGTATACAACTCCGATATCTTTATGCAATACTGCAAACTATACAATGATTTTAAGGCACCTTTTAGTACAGTTTGACATTTAGTATGGCACTTTTCATCAAATAGTTTTCATAACGTCTCTTAGTGACATTTTGTTTTTGTTTGTGACATACCAGATTATTTGTTTTTGTAAAATAATATACTATGACAGTGTTTTCTTTTATAACAAAGCGATTAGTATTATTTGTCACATTCATTATTGTATTTTATGACTCATGACTTTTTATACTGTGCCATTTTTCTGCTGTGATTTTCAAATTCATACGACACTAACATCTACACGGCAGCTTTAAGGCATTAAACGAAGGGAACCTACATTAACAAGAGTGACACAGAAGAGTTCTACCTCCCCTTTTACATTGAGGCAGTAAAGCCTTAAAACGAGTCTCTTCCCCCCAGTTGGCCTCAGTTTGAAAACCTCAATTGAGCTGTCACTCTTCGGTAACACTTCAGAGGGAGGCCGAAGTGGCCCAGAGGCAAGGATTCAACAACGGCTACTCAAGGACACCTTCATGGGGTGTAGTTTGCAAAAATGGGAGCTGGAACTCGTGGATCTGGCAGATTAAACAGACCTGCTGCAACCCATTAGTTTGCTCTCATAACGGATGCAGTAGTAAAAGGAGGTCTTGGGCAATTAAAACGTTCTTCCATCTTCAGGAATAAAGTTAAGTATTTTGACATTTTCTCGTCGTTTGGCTCGTCCAAGATTTGAAATGAGAAGGTGACAAAGGGATGAAGTAAGTGCTAACTTCCCATCTTTAAGATTTCTGGTGAGTGTTAATATGGAACAGCAGGCGAAGTGTGCGGCAGGAGTCGAAGTGTCCAGTTTGCTGAGGAAGGTTCCTACCTGTGTAAGTGCAAGTGGCCACCATGATAAGAGCTGTTTGAATTATCTGACGCTAAGGAAAGGAGCTGCAATGCTTGGATGGATTGTCATGGTTTTATTTCAAATACAATAGGCCGAGGCCAAAAAAACAATCATTATGCCTTCAGACTGCAGCGTACCATATACACACTGTAGCTGACTAGGTTAAAAAACGATGGACGCTGCTTTCCTGTGTTGGCAGCAGGAGGTGCTGCTGCCCTCTCACTGAATTTACAACATCGGCGGTTACTGCCAGACCGAGAAAAAAAACACATGAGATAGAATATTACAGATAATTGAGAGGATATATCTTTAAAAAAGAAAAAAAGAAATATATACATAGATACAGAAAATGGTCCTTCACACATGCTTAGTACAGAGCACAGAATCTACTTTCCACATAGATGCAGTCAAGTTCAATCTAATTTGTATCGACATAAAACCTCAAAAAGGGTTTTTTCTTATTCAACATGGAATAATGCCACGTTTACATTGACTAATGCTTTTTATTTTTTTTTTAAATTGTGTGTTACCCATTGTAAGACATCAATGACCTTGAAGATCTTGTCCGTAACTAAATATAATAATACTGCACCAGTGTTAAAATGCAATATCACAGATTCACACAGTATCACAATAACCGACGACAACTACATACAACTAGAGCGAGACGCGGCTTTTCGGGTCTGATGTACTGCTTCTTTTTTAACCATAACAGATAACTTATAGTCCCAAATACTGTTCATTCACAGTATCCAGTAAAAAAAAAAAATCCATGCATTTGAATTGTGGCCCAGAGTGGCGAGAGACACTTTAACTTGGAATCAAGATAAAACAAGTATGTATAACTGCTGAAAATGCGAGTGTACAATGTACGCGTGCTCCGTTTGGTTCAGGCCTGCTGTCTCAGCGCTGCGATGAGGTCCTGCAACGGCTCAGTGTCCTCCGCCTCCAGCAGCGCGTGCTGCCGGCAGAAGAGTGTGAGGTGTGCAAAGAGTGTGTTGAGATGTGGGTGCAGGCCGAGCGCCAGCGTCTCTCTGTAATGACACCAGTAAATGTGAGCCAGAGTTCTGAAGAACAGCAAAAACACCTTCTGGACCAGAAAGATAAAGCCTGTTGGAAAGGCTGAACCTGGGAAGAAAAGAAGAGTGAAGAGATTATGGCTGTGAATGGACCAGGGACCGTGATGAAGAACAATGCAACGTTGGTGAGGAGCCTTTTACCCGCTTTAGTGGGGAATACGTCCTCATCAGTCAGTAGCTCCTGAATGTATGACATGGCATAGTCAAAGTAAAGCGGAGCAGAGCACTTTAGCTTCCTGCCGTGGTCATCAGTCCAAACATAAACCCTGAACACACACACACACACACACACACAGTAATTATGTTCAGCCTTATAAAGAAACATTGTGTTCCCATTGTCAAAAAGGAACCCAGAGATATATGTTACCCACATTTTAACCCCATTTCAGTTTTTAAATGCATCGTCTTCAGCCACAACCGAAACAGACTTAAACAACATCACTTCCTCTGGAGTCTCCAAAGTGTTTTAACAATGTTTTTTTTTTTTTCACATTTTCACTTCCCAAAACCCATCACTCGCTCTAGAATTCAAATAAAAAACCTCCCATTTACTTAAAATAATACCTGAGGGAAAGAATCTGCAATAAGACGGCGCTGGGTTTCTTACGTGTTGCCCGGTCCACAGGCCGTGGGGCAGGTGCTGGGTGTGCAGAACTCGGACAGCGCGCTGGAGAACAGGTTTATGTGCTTGAAAAAGGCCACAGCTGAAAGAGATCGACAGAAAAATGACACTTTCCACAATTTCCCCATCCGTGCTTGTGTGCTGTGTGGAGAAAAGGGGTCGTTTAACGTGGTTCACTCACTGTTGCTGGCAAGCCACTCGGCCTTGTCGACGCCAGGCGGCAGCGCAGAGAGGGCGAGCATGTCCGTGTGGGGGATCTGCTTGCACAAAAACTGCTGCTGCAAATACGGACGCTCTCCCAGATTATTGTTATTAATTCCCCTAGGGGGAAGACGGCCCAGTGTTAATGAAGCAGACAGAAAGAAAAAGACAAAGTATCGCGGTGTAAAACAATCAATAGGTCACTGGATTATTACCCTTGCTGCAGTCAGCAGATAACGTGGTTTTTACACACACACACACACAAAAACAGTGCTGCAACTGCAGAGCTGTACGGCCAATAAACCAGCAGTAAATTTAATGAAGGCAGTCAATTTAAAGCCGGAGTCATTACTGATAATGAAGCCCACTGTGGTCAGTGCTGCAAAGAAAATGACTAAAAGGACCAACTTTGTTTGTGATAAAGCTCAAAGCCGAATGCTGAGGCCTGTTGGCTCTCTGACAGCAGTTCCTATACCAGCTGATAAGCTACAGGTAGTACCTGATAAACTTGTTACAATTACAGAAGTGAGTGCAGGGCTTGAATTAGGTCCCATTGTATGGAAAGTCCAACTCGGCAGCACGATTTGACTCTCATGCAAAGGTGACCAGGCAGCACTGTGAGGATGACGATCACGAGGGCCCCGCTTCGTTTCTTCCGTCCGAAGACAGCTTTCAGTGCAAGTGAATGTTTTAAGTGTGCAGACAAATCAGGCAGCTGCCACAGTTGCCGTGTGTCGACAGTTTAAACGTCTACAGACAGAACAGCTGAGAGTTTCCCCCGGTGTGACCTTGCCCACCGCGATAAGGGAAACACTGTGCTCTTTATGAGGCTTCACCCTGGTTTGAATATGCGTATGGGCAGGAAGAATTAGTATATTGGTCTAAACAGCCGGCCATTGTGCAAACTAAAAGGCCAGATGAGGTAGAGAGGGAGGAATAGTGACAGAGAGGAATGTAAATATTAGCTACGCAAAAGTTACAGTAGGGGAAAGCCTGGTCTAGCTTCTCTAATTTCCACGGGAAGTACTTTTGTTAACATCCTGTTTTGTTCAGGTTCACGGCATTAACTCCATTACCACTTCTGGGCTGCCAGTTGTCAACGCACAAGCACAATGAACCCGGAGTTACTTGTAGCGTTGTGTTTGTGTGTAAACACACCCTTCGGACAGCAGGGAAGAGATGTTTGAGAACAGTAAGCCGAACCATACAGCTGCGTCCAAGAGCAAATGTTTGCCAAGCAGATTCAGCTGAAAACACAGTTGCTACAGGGCGTCCGGGTAGCTCGATCCCTCCCGTTCTGGCCCGGGTTCGAAATTCAACCGTCACCCCCCACTTTGTGTACCCAACACTTTCATATCCGAAAATATCTCAAACTACTTCTCAACATGTGTTGCCGGTGTTCAAGGAATCCACCTTAACTGATGCCATCAGACAAATATGTAACACACACGCACACACACGCACGCACGCACACACACACGGCCTTATCTGGAGAACATTCCTGAGTAAACCATGTGTGGCCAGCTTTCCACTCGTGTTGACTCTACCCGATCCATTACTATAACAACACGGTGCCTTTACGTTCAGAGTACAAGACTGCATGGAGGCGACTATAGAAAGACGGAACAGAAAAGGCCGTAAACGTATTTCCAGATGGAAGCTGAAACACGAGTGTAATGCTGATGAAGACATTTCGGAGAAAAAGGAAAACAACTTACAGTTTTTCACTGCGGATGCCAGAAGGCTGAAGGCTCTGACTGTCTGACTTCCTAGCCGAGGGGTAACTATGGCAACCCCCCATGGCGTGAAGCTAGGAGCAGAGGTGTTTGTTGTCCCAGCCCCAATTTTCCATCTTCACCATACTAACCCATACACTTACTACAGGCTACAGACAGCGTATGGGAACAGCTGCTACAGCACAAGCATCCTGCAACTCACACATTGATCCACACAGCTGACAAACACAAAAAAGAAGTTTTCCAAAACACACACACAAAAAAGAAAAAATGATAAAGTCTTCCAAGGAGTTGAGGATTGTCCTCCTGTGCTTGTCCTTTTGCTGTAGTGATCTAGTGTCAGTGAGTATATGTCTCCTTTGTCTCGAGTCCCACGCCCCACAGGCTCCTCCTCTCCCCGCTCTGGGCAGACAGGCAGGTTTCTCCACAACCCATTAAAAGTACCAAACTCCACCCACTGCACACACACTGTCCGTTCTCTGCAGAGATAGCAGGCAGGAAACAAACTAAATGGTGTTTTTCATTTTTCCTCTGTGGCAGTGGACGAAGGTTGAGAAGTAAAGCAGAGAAGCTGCAGCGTGTGGGAATCTGTGCTTAACTTCAGAGGAATGTGATGACATACACACTGTGTCCGAGCCAAGTGACAACACACACCCACAGGGGAAGGGCATATATATATATATATATATATATATATATATATATATATATATATATAAAATGACCTGTAAATATGATTTTATATATATATATATATATTTATTTTCAATTCATTTTATTTTGTATAGCCCAAGATCGCAAATTACAAATTTGCCTCAGAGAGCTTTACAGTCTGTACACATACAACATCCTCTGTCCCAAAACCCACCATCGGCACAGGAAAAACTCCCCAAAAAATGAAAAAACCCTTCCAAGAGGGAAAAAAGGGAAGAAACCTTAGGGAGAACGTCAGAGGAGGGATCCCACTCCCGGGATGGACAGACTACAATGGATGCCATGTGTACAGAATGAACAATGTATGTACAGAATGAAACATGTACATTTTCAGCGTCGACTCATTCACATATATATATATATATATATATATATATTTATTATATGTGAATGAGTTGACGCTGAAAAGTGCATATGTGAATTGTACGACCACTGTCACATGAACTCATTCCAGCTCACAGATCTGACAGGAGAGTTTATGTTTTCAGATGGTTGTAGCTTTGATCCTCAATGAGGAGCAAAAGGCAACATTGGCTCACCTGCCCCCCCGAGGTAAATATTTGTGTGCCTCCACGGACCAGAGTCCTGCTCCGTCTCTCTCTCTCTCTCCCTTTACAATTGTGTAACAGGCTGTAAATGTGAGACAAACACACTCATGCTTATTCTTGGTCTGACATATTTATTAGGTTCATATCTGAATGTACAAGCAAAAATGACAACAGGAAACAGACACATTACTCCCTAAATGAAGGAGAAGAAAGGAAACAAAAAAAACCCCACCAGCATCAGTCCCCACACACACACACACACACACACACACATAATCCAAGGAAGATTTAAAGTTTGAAATGGCCGCAGAACAGACAATCGGATGAAGTAACAATTTAATACCCATCGTCTCTGAATTCAAGTTTTCTGCATACACTGTACGATCCAGCACATTCCCGACGAGGTGAATGAGGCTAATGTGCAAACTTACTGGCACTTAAAGATAAACGTATTGTTCCTCATGCCATTATGCATAAGATCACATCCTACCCGTAGCTACACTGCGCACGCAGCCCTCTCAAGGAGTTTCTCCTCTAACCCTGACTCAAACCAACGCTTATTTTACACACCGCCACTTCAAAACACATCAAAGTGTAAAACATAATAAAAGCTAAAATATCTGTGGTCCAAGATGAATTTCTCAGTCTTTCTTTGACATCCTCTCTTACTGTGGATAACTCCATCTCATGACGAAAACAAAAGGAGAGGGAACAAACAAAGACTGGCTCAGCTTGACCGAGACGCCGTTGCTTCACAGATATGAAAGCCAGTTGTAACACTTGTGGGAAGACACACTTTGGCAGAACGCATTGAAGAAAAAGTATTATAAAGTATCTACATCATTTACTGGTTGAAGTCAAACGTTCAAAGTGTGGCGGTGCTTGGCATCACCAAAATACAAACCGAAAGTGCTTCTTGAAAAAGTGCTTTTTAAATAAATACAACAATGCAAATTGTTCCATCGGCATATATGCAATTACAAGAAGAAAGACGTAATAAAGCAAAAGTGTCTGGCACAGGCAAACCTGAAGAAGAACACTGGTTTACAACAACTTGGGTCTTGTTAGTGTTATGATTGGATTGTAGTTAACCAGGTATAATAAATGAAAAGGAGAACATCAGCAATCCAACCGGTTTTTAAACAAGCAAATAATTCAGGGTTATATAAACAACCTTAACGTGTTGATAGTCTGCAGTGTACGATTAGTTTACTGATCATCAGTCGGTCGATAAACTATCCTAAAACTCGCCTAGATCAATCATTTTCTAAAAATCAAAACAGTCCAAAATCAAAAGTTAGTTAGAACATTGGATGAATAGAAACTGCAAATTTGGAAACGAATAAGGTGACGTTTGCCCCAAAAGATCATTAATGCCGAATTGATGATCAAAATGTGTGCTATGCTAAATAGTTTTCTTCTGATGAACTACAACAAATCAACAACCGTGTTAAGCTCTACTGGGAGAAGTAAGTATAGGCATACAAATAATACCAACATGAGGATGAACATAGGTTGAAGCATCAGTTTTGGTATTATTTCAATGGCCATCAACTATTTCTTCCTCCAATAAAGATTTGTTAACCAAGTATTTTGTTTCAAACAGAATGAAAATAAGACCCAAGCTCTTAACCAGCATTATACTTAAAATAATGAGGACAAAAACCAGACTACTAACTCTCATTTCACGCACACCGACACAACCTCTCCTACGTAGAGGTTGTGCAACAGGAACTGATGCCGGGGTATTAACTGAAACACAGATATCATTATTGCCTCATTTCAACAGTACAACACACACAATACCTACACAAGTTGCCACCTGCAAACAACCGCCTTTCCATACATTGGATTTATTCCAAAAATAGATATAATGTTCATATATACGGTTTATATTACGTTTACATATTACCAAGGATAGCCACAACCTAATACACACCAAATCAAATTTCACAATATTACATTTCAACAGCTCAGAGGGTGATATGACTCGGTGTGCGGACATCAGGTTTCTTTGCACGCATGTAAGGAATTAGTTGTGTATACATGGGTGTACAGCGTCATCTGTATGTGTGTGTGTGTGTGTGTTACACTGGTGTGGCCTGAGAATACACTCTGTACATCAGGCAGAGGTCACACACACACACAACAGCGCACACACACTTTTCAACATTGAGGAAGAGTCACAGTATCCCCAAATCTGAGGCTCCTAATAAAAACACTTATTTTCCTAAAGAGAGGGTAAATGTTTTGCATGATCAAGTCAAATAAATCTTACTTGTATTGCGAAATAATTTTAGTTGCATGTATAAAAAAAGCCAAATTATCACTCACATTTGTACCAATAAAATATCTGGCATGAAATGCAGAAGAGAAAATGGCTGCTAGCTTTGCAAGCATCTTGGCTTTTGGAATTTTGACTAATTATTTGAATACAGTTTATACTGAAGTGTAAACAGTCAAATGCTCGAACAGAGAAAATACTCTGGGCTGCGATTAAATGCCCAGAGAGCGGCTTTGCTCAAACAATCGGAAATTTGATGGCGAGTTTGATAAAGGTCAAATTTTAGACTTCGGTTTTTGTCTTCTTTGAAGTGCCACGGCTGGCCTTCAAAGCACACATCGCTCATCAAAACAGACGGGCGATGTTGTCTAAAATATACATTCATTCCAGGGGTTCAGTTCTAATTTAGTCATGAGAAGGTAGAAGAGATCAATGTACATGTGTGTAAATATGTGTCACTCAGGGCTTTTTTGACCTCCACATGGAGTAGATATCATTCTTCAGATATGTGAGGGCTGCTAACACAAAGCTAAGCTGGTTGTGTGTTGAATGGAGAGGTATGACTGTATGTGTGTGTTTGTGTGTGTGTCTTTGATACATCGTTAGGCCGGTCCATTAGCTGATGCCTGCGTTTCCCTGCAATGAAAAAAAAACAAAAACACAAAAAACATGAACAAAATTGGTGAGGATTTTAAAAAAAAAGCTAAAGAAAAGTCAGTTAGGAAAGGAAAATTGGGCTTGTTTATGTTGTTCAATGTTTAGTATTATCCACCAAGATTTATAGAAAGCTACTACGGATAATCCTGGTTGTTATTAGATAAACATTGTCGTCAAGTTACCACATAGTGGTGTTATACCGCTCTCTCGCTCACACACACACACACACACACACACACTTACTGTGTGACAGCAGACGACTGGTCCGTTGCACTGGCGGTCGTCGGGTTAGGACAGTCTCCACAACGCTTTTCCTTTTTGCTGTCCTTTTTGTTGCTTTTCCCCTCGTCTTTCATGGAGAGTCCTTCACCTGGCACCGTAACTGCTTCACTGCAAAAGAAGAAGAAGAAGAAGAAAAAAAAAAAAAGGAAGGAATTACCAACATGGGATTGTCAACAGACTGAAGATGCTACTTTCTGCCAGTGGCAAAGTTCCCCCAAAGTTGCAGCTTTCATCTGTCCGCATTGGCCATTACCACACCGAGCGCATAGCGCTCCGTGCAGCAACGTGTACACACACTTACTGTCCGTTACTGACCAACATCAAAGTGAGTTGGGCAAACAGTGTCTACGGTATCACACCCAAAGTTCCTCTAGTAGATATTTGAATCAAGCATGCTTGTAGCTGCACGGTTGTTAGTAACTAACGTCTTGTTTGGTTAGAATGTGCAGGATTGGTAGCATCTTCTGCTCATAGCATGCTATCTGACATACTGTTAGTAGTGTTGGGGCTCTGAAAGAAAACAAAATAATATACAATTTTATTCACGTTAAGACTGAGTGCAGAATAATTTGTATCACCAAAGTTATCATACACTGATCTCATCTTTTGGTGGCAATTCCTACGATACCATTTATTATTATTATTATTTTTTAAAGCCGTGTGGTCTGTTGGTCACGCAACAGTCCACACAGAATCATCGAAAAAAATCCCAATGTTGAGACGTTGGGATGATCCTGGAATAGGGACGGAGGTCCCGTAGGTTCTCTACAAGCCACCGGTTGTGAGTTAGTATTTTTCTTGAATGAATGAATGAATTAGGCTGGTCTGGAATTAAGGCAAGTCATTGTCTCATCAATTCCTGTTAAATGCAACAAGCAAAAAAAAAAGAAAACGTGGCACATATGTGCTTATGCTGGACTTTTAAATCCTTCATACATCTTCAGGGACACTCCAGAGCAAAGGGACCTCGAGCACAACATACCGTCTGACTGCTGGTCTGAATACTCTGGAGTCAAAGGGAGACGAGGATAGAGGGAACAGACAGGACGAGGGTAATATCAGAAGAAAAAAAATACAGAAGGTGGGTGTAGAATTGTGCGGGAAAAAGATTTGGGGGGGAGAAAAGCTCTATAAAAACACATAACGTAAACTAAAAGAAGAGGGATACACTGCACCAATAAAGACAGAGCAGCTGCACGTCACTTGTGTGTGACTGTGTCTACCTGCTGAAGACTGCCCTTTCATTTTTGGCGTCCACGGTGAGCCGAATTGTCTCCTTTCCAGCCCCAGTTGTGATGGTTTCAGTGGTGACCGTGTCGCTGGTTGACGACTCGCGAAGAGTCTTTCCTACCTCCTCATCACTGTCTGAGCTGCTGGAGGAAGAGCTGTCTGACGCTACCAGTGGAGCTTTTCTCGCCACACAAACACTCCACACACATGCTGCAAAGAGCGAAGAAGAAATGATCCGACTTTAAATTGGAGGTACGCTCATTTCTCTGGAGAGGTCTACCCGTAAGAGATTGACAGACAGGCCCGGTTCAGACCTGGCATTAACGTGCATCTTGGGTGATCCGAAGTAGAGTTGTGAATGCACCAGAGACGCATTGTGATCCAATGGCTCAGAGCATATTTGGAGATGTTCTGGGCCACATATGGTCACATTCTTTTATTAGCTAGTACGCAAATGTGGCCTGGTCCACCCAGACGGACCGCCCTGCTCAAGCCTGCATGTGTGCGATTGCACACAATACGGGTTTATTTGTATACAGAGCGTGGTAGTGATATCCGATCACAAGCGGTCACTCAAGCAATGCAATGCCTGAACTGGCACATCTTGGGCTCTTCACTCGATATGGATGTGGCTCAGCTGGGAGAGCGGGTTGCCTTTTGACCACAAGATTGAAGGTTCAATGTTTGCTTGAGGACCAAGCCCAGTCCAATGCTGCTGAATGCTCAGAATTGGTTAAATGCAGGAGTCAAATTCCATGCATGTACACTTTCTCTTTGATTTGAATGAGAAAATGTGTATAAACTTTTGACTGGTACTGTGCATGAAGATTATAATAACGTTAAAGCGTTACAATTTTTGGAGATTCGATCACCCAAGATGCATGTGAATGCAAAGTCTGAACAGGGCTTATGAGCCTCTTAGTGAAAATGACTTTATCTCAGCAATATGCCAAATCAACTGTTTGAATATATTCATTCTAATAATGGAATGAAAAGTCAAGTATGGTTCAATTGAAGTTCTCAAATAAAAATGTGCCGTGCTTCAGCCACTTACGGTTCTGATTTGGTTTAGTGTTGCCTGATCCGCTGAGCTCAGAGTCCACGGGAGAACTACATCTAGGGCCGGTTTCAGAGCTGGGGATGAGTAACACAGAAGAGTAAACCTGCAGATAGTGCAGTACAGCCAATAAACTACTCAAGTTAAATGTAAGGGTGAGTTCTTTCCCGTTTAAGGTGTATCTATGTTGCTGGTGCAAAAAAAAAAAAATTATAATTCCAAAATGATTTATCAAACAAACAACTATAGGAATGTCTTTATTTTGTATCAATTTGTAATTACTGAAAGGGTTGTGCACACATTAGTCGACTTTTATCACAGTAGTTTGATCAAAAAAATCAATCTTTTAGATGCATTTCTCACATAAGCTTCTAATATTTAGATGCCCCTCAAACTTACCAACAGAAAGGCTGGAAGTCAGTGAACTTGGCCCAACCTTTGTCCTCTGCGCCGGCTGGTTTGGAGTCTGGAGTGTCCCAGGCAGAAAAACCCCCTCCTAATGAAGGAGCCTTCGAGTTCGCCTCCTCAAAGTCTGCTATCCAGCCACTACCTGGACGCCATGAGAAACATGCTCAAACCATGCTTTGGCCCTTATATTTGGGCAATACCCATATTGAATATTATGCATTACTACAGAATACAACATGTCTTACTCTTAGTTCCATCGGTTTGGCCCTGGCTTGAGAAAGGATCTAGGTCATCTTTGGGCTTCTCTCCTTCCACTGAGTCAGAGTCTGCTGCAGTGTCAGAAGCCTCAGGGGCAGAAGCTTCAGTCCTATCACAATCTTTACTGGCTGCAGGGCTCTGGGATGATCGTAACCCACCGAACCTTGAATCACACAAAACAGTTGTCGTATGATATACAGAATTAAATTTATTAAATTATTTAAAAAATAAAATAAAGCAATCCAGAGCATTGATCATCAGCATTTGTTGCTGTGCGTCTACCTGTTACGGGACTTGGTTTGTGTTGCAAATTTCATCTCCTTCTCCTCCCAGATGTCTTCTTCATCATCATCATCGTCAAAGGGCTGAATCCTCTCCTTGGAACAGGTCTCAAACACAGCTGTATTAGACTACAGAGGACAGAGCAGATGTGTTTAGTAAAATCAGTTTTAAGAAATTGACAAAATATATTTACAGCCCAAAACATTCCAGAAATACATATTTACGAAACATTTCTGTAAATTACATTGAATAACTCACGTTGTCCTGTTCTGCATCAATGTTTATATTGATCTCTGCAATTCGGTCAAACGTTGCTCTGCCATAACAGAATAAATCAATCAATTGAGACACAATAACAGCAGCGCTCTGTCATACAGAGAAGAAAGTGATTTTATTTACCCAATACTGTCATCATGATCAGTAAACTCCTCATCATTGAAGCCAAACTGATCCACAAAGTTGGCCGTCATCTGCTGGATCTGGTAGTCTGAAAAGGCCTAAAACACATTATAATTTTTGTTAAGACCATCTGTGATAACAGAGACCGTCAATAGATAGACGTACATGAGCACGCACACACTACCTGCTGTAGAGTCAGTTCTTTTGGGAAGGGGCTCTCCATGTCATCCTCGGAAGAAGAACGTGGGTTTCCCGTACCAATCTGAAAATTGAATAAAATAGATGTATCTCAAATGTCACGTTCGGAGTTTGAGTGTGTAATTATAGACAGCTACTATGTCCTGTAGATGCGCATGCCTGCATCTTTACCAGGTCTATAGTGTTCTTCCTATTAGTCTCCGACAGGGTCTGGTCCACAAAGGTTTCCCAGCGCCCTCTGTAGTCTTCTGGCAGCTCTACATCCAAAAACACAAGAACAGCAGCATTGAGGAAAGCGTTCTTCCAGTAACAATCTTCAGGCTGTTAATCTTCTAAATTCCTCCTTTCTTTCACACAGGGAAAGGGAGTGCACACGTCCGCCCTCACCTGTAATGAGACTACTAATCTGTGTGTGAACTGGGCCCTTCTCCAGGTTGTGGACTACGGTGTTGGCAATTCTGGTCAGATGTCCCATGTATCCTCTTCTCATGCCACCTTCTGACCTGAACACAAGTTACCACACCCCCCCGTTATAGGCAGCCGCTGCCTGTTCGCAAAAACAACATTATGCCAAAAAAAGATCCTTACTGCATCTTATCATTCTCTTCCCAGGCCTCCAGAATCCTCTGCACAAGGTGACAATGCTGAAACAACTTGCAAGAGAAAGAAATAGTCAATAAATTGTTTTTAATCTACGTTACAGCCGGTCAAAATATAATTTAAGCATCTAGCTTGAAACAAAAGCGGAGACACCTACATGAGTCACCATTAGATTATGTGCAGAGTTTTCAGGGGGGGCTAAAGGTTCAGAAAGGGCATCAGTCGAAGCCTGCTCCTGTGAGCCACCCTGTGGCGAATTGGATTTGTCCTGGGCTCCCGTGCCAGGCTGAAGTCTCATTTCATGGGCACATGGCCGGAGAATAGCAGCAACACAGAGCTCTACCTGGAGGTGCAGGAAGTTGTTCCACGTATACTTGAAGAACAAGTCCTGGGAAAAAAAAGGAATGTTTTACGATGGGACATTTAACATGCATTGCTTTTGCAATTATTGGGCTAAATCTGCAGCATGCTTGCTCATCTCACCAGAAGCAGGTGCATTGTATTGAGTCGGCAGAGTTCCTGTGCTACTACAGCGTGACTGGCAGAGCTGGTGTACAACAAAGAGGCCATCAGTCTGGCTACGTGAAGGCGCGTGTTCCCCAATGGTTCCTCTAGCACACCCAGAGAAGTCAGCATGGGATTCCGCTAAAAGCAGACAAAATGGTTGGCAATTCAGGGAACAAATGTTTAAAAAGGTTTAGCAGAGATGCGGTTCACCGATGCAACTAATAAACGTTGCTAATGCTAACGGTTATCAAACTCACGATCTTTGTTACGTACCTTGGGTGGCTCCAGAAGTAGCTGGTGGAAGTGTACTAGGTGTGGTTGGATAGCTAACAAAATGCTGCTGTTTACGGTGTAGCTTCTCTCAAATCCCTGAGCATCCATGACACCATCCACTCTGGTATACAAGGAGACCAAATGTATGAAAAGCAGGAAACCGATGGATAAAACATTTAAGAGAAATGTGACCCAACTTCACAGAGTATAACGTCTTTCTAAAACAGATAAAATTGCTTAAAACTCTCACACAGGCCTCCTGATTTCCAGTAATGTGAGAATCACTTGAATTGCATTGATGATACAGCTCTCAGTACTTTTGGCTGAGAACATATTCTGCAGCAACTGCTCCACACACTCCTGCCTGGGGAAACAAAATGGAGGATGTCATCGCCTCCACTAAAAGAGTGCAGGTTTACGTCTTTACGTGTGTAAATCGTTCTGACTTACGACTCCAGCACAGTCAGCAACGGGTCAGGCTGTGAAATCTCTGCAAGCTGATTGGCCTGGTCTCTGCTCAGACGAATGATGTCACACAAAGTCTGAGACGCATTGGACTGCCTCTGTAAGAGACGCGCAAAAAAAACAAAACACAAATTCACCATGAACATTGTGTCCTGTGAATTGTTTATTCAAAAAGGTCTGTGTGCTAGTTTCAGTAAAGATAGTAGTTAATCATTAACATATAAATATTGAAATGCCCTTTTACCTCTTCATCTCTCTCAGGGTGAATGAGCTCTATGAGTCTCTGTGCCAGCTTCTCTTTATTCAGCCACTGTCGAGGCAACGTCACATTATAAATGCAAAGTAAATAACCGTGTTAAAGTGTTTCTATGAATGTGGGTTGATTTGTCTCATACAATAAGTGTCTCGAGCCTAAGAGGAGGTGGCTCGACACAGCTGATGAGCCTTAGGAGGACATCCATCATGGCGGATGTGTCAATATGCTTCAGCACCAACAAAAGGAATCCCTCCTTCCGTCGCAGGAAACTAATCACCTGAACGCAACAGAGAGCAGAGGTAACGACATGACTCAAGAAGATTTATAAACTAAAAATGGGTGTCAAGATTTAAATCAGGAAATGTACATGCAACCTTTCTTTCAAAAGTTGTATTTGACCTTATTTGTAAAACAAATAAAAAATATATCTCTCGAGTAAGTGGGATATTGTTATTGCAAAAAACATGCCTTTAAGTATTTAAAATATATATGTGTACGGGATATATAAAAATAACCTATTGTAGTGGCAAATATACAGGTAACATTACATCTCTATTGAACTCTTATGCACCTGCAAGAATGTATATTTATACACGCATTGTAAATTAATGGACTGATCCAATACATTTGCACATAAACATATTACTAGTAGTGGTGAGAAGGTATAGGTTCTTTTAATTTTTGGGGTAATTGAGTACAAGTGGAAAAGACATCTACAGAACCTTTATTAAATTCGGCAATTGTTATTTGAATTCCATACCATGGACCAAAGTTGGAACGTCTGCCTTTTTAAATAAATAATTGGTTGAGAGAAATTCTCAGTGTGAGCAGTTGTATTATCTTGCCGTAAGCACGCGTCAGACAATAAACACAATAAACATGGATGCCATCTTCTTGGTGTACGCCCTTTGATTCAGCTGTTACGAGTTACGTGTGTGCGTTACCTGCTCGGTCTTCCGTGTGATGAGGTTTCCAATTGTCTTGCTAAAGAAAGATGCCAGGAGGGGGTTAAGTGGGGACGGCTGCTCCAGGAAGGCATACAGCGTTTCCAGCAGAGGCTCATCATTACCCAGCTTATCATTGATCACTCCCACATCACACGTCAAAAGCTCACAGGCTATGTTTGGATATCTGAAATAAATACAGAGAACACATCTTACAGTCAAGCCAAGCAGAAACAATACAAACCGATATTGTCTACATTAGAAGTGCTAAAGTAAAACAGAAAAAATAGTAACAAGAGTTGTCCTGATTTTCACAGGGTGTTGTTGTCCCACAGACAATTAACTAGTTTGACATTTAGTAGTAACTAGTTGCTTGTAAGCTATGGTGAAGAGCAGCACCAACAGAATGCATCTCTTACTGGATACAGTATGCCAATTCAGCATATTCTGCACAACCACCTACTTGAAGCGCTTTGTCTCCTGTACACCGGCAGGGGGCTCTGTAGTAATCATACGGACAAGGTCCTGCATGCAATGGTCCTGGCTCACAAACGAGAGAAGTCTACAAATTCATAAAGGATCAGAAAAGAAGCACCAGTTAGCAATGGAAATCCAATAATAAAATAATATCCTGCTGATATGTTGTACATTCACAATTTACTGACCTTCTGTTCTGGGCCTTGCACTCCTGCAACACATCTTCCTCATTCATTAGCTCAATGAGCGTGACATCCTCCTTGTTCAGTAGAGCCTCCAGATGAGACGACGTGTGCAAGTCAAATTTCCAAAACATGGCTAACGTCACAAGCACACACACTTAACTGTGGACCAAAAGAGGATGTGACATGGTTATCATGCATCATGAAGGTTGAGCATTTTGAACAGTGTGCTGATCAATTCACTTTGTGCCATAATATTATGCATTCTCTTACATACGGACAAGGAGCAGTTTCCTCAGTCGGATCTTGCTAAACAGCCATTTGCCTTATTGACAATGCACGGCCTGGACATCCATCAGTGTCAGCAAATTCACACACACAAACCCGGGAGATATTGACATCAACCTGGTAATGAGAAAATAAGAAAGCACAAATGTTACAGAATGGTTTGAAAGAAGAGTTACCTTCCCTTCTTTCCCATCGTGCGAGTCTGCGTACATGCTGTGACTAGGCTGCCCTCCTCTCTGAAAGGAGCAGGAAGCAATGCATCTGTAATTGAGTTAGTGCTGCTCGGAGTATTGACATCACACAGCTTGCTTTGAGAACGGCCTCACGCTCACAGTTACACAAGTAAACAACCACGGGATTCAACACAATGCAATACAAAAAAGGGGAGACATTTAACTTTGGTGCGTGAGAGAAATACTAGGAACAGCAGTCCAATGGACGGCTGACACAAGCCAGTTGATCGGGTGAGGGCTGTTGACTCCAGCATGAGCTGACATTTCTGAAACTACATGGTGCAAATTTGAGATGTGTGGTGATAATGACAGTTGAGGGAGGGATCTTCGATTACACCCCCCCATACACACCCACACACACACACCCACACACAGCAGACCACGATAACAGTGGAGAATCCATCTTAATAGCCGATGACTCAAGACCTCATCCATTGGACTACACGGTAGATTATGATAAAGGCACCTCGTGACGTTGTGCAGCGTGTTTGTCTAAATGATGGACGTGTGTTCGCATAGCGCAAAGTCAGCATGCACAGTAGAACATGTGCAATATATTTACGCACCGCATTACAATAACGACCGCTGCTTAATGTGGGTATTCCTTCGAAAATAAAAAATGTTGTCTATAAACGACACCAAATGGACACGGCTTAATAAACAGGTGTTTTTTTTTTCGTTCAAACTAATAACCTCTCGAATTACCCAATAGCTAAATCAGCCATGGATTTAAAATGCCATAGCGTTACAACAGCACAACCTTGATCACATTTATTTTTTAAAGCAGGCCTTTCCTCGCGTCCTGAGATCAGCTGGTAACGGTTAGCTAAAGCTAGCTGTCAACGGAGGGGAACAGCATATAGTGCAATGAAGTAACGGTTCACTCGGCGTCACTAGCTAATCTTACCCAGCCAGCTGTCTTAACCGAACACCATGTCAAGACGACCGATCTCTATCGGTCCCGTTACGTTTACAGTGCCCAACGACGGCGCCTTCCCCTCCCTTACCTTGCGCGCAGGACGTGAACCAGCCCGCTAGCGATATACCTTCATTCGGTTGTTAACGTTACTAAACTAACGTTATTTCGATACGTAAACGCCACCGGGTGGCCAGCGGTAGCTCAAAAATGCTAACAGTGGCTCGACCTGTCGTCCTTCCGATTCACAAGCCCCCGACGCGTTAGCATCCTTCCGGTCAAGTTACCGTGACATTTGTTTACTCCCCGAAGCGACCGTTACCGTGCTGCCACCAGGCGTCATCTAAAAGTTTGGTCTCTCGGGTGACACGCCGGAGGCCCGTGGATGGGCCGTTTTGTCAGCTCGGGAGCCGCCGTCCTTCTCCCCACCCGGATTGCAACGTCCTTTGACGGTGTCGCTGCACACGGCTCTCGGCCCCGCCGCGCTTCTGTGTCGCGCCCTCGGCGTCGACGCTGTCCGGGTGAAATATTTCGGCAGGAAGGCACCCAAAGGATATCTGTCACGTTTGCGAATCAAAATGGCGGGTACCTATAACGTAATCAAAAGTTCAAGAGGGTGAAAGCAGAAGGCTGCTGGCTATTCGCTTGAGGTCACCCTGGGGGGGGAAAGGCCCTTTTAGGAGCACGGTGATACAGCAAATAATTGGGAACAAATGTTTTTTTTAATTCTCAAGGTTTGGCTTTGAGATCAAAATAATGATAATAAAAACATTTTGCTTTTAAAATAAAAGTCTTTGGTCTCTGGCAGTGTTGGCAGGGACTGTCCCTCACTTTCTGACCTCAGATCTTTGCAGCATAGCGACCGAATGTTTAATATTTAAACATACGTGTGATGATACAAATGTGCAACTCAAGCACGCTTTAAATGAAGCTCCAGAAAAAGGATTGCAAAAATGAATACAGTAACGTGTTCATCAGTCAGTGTGTCGGCCCTCTAATCCCCCAGTGACCATGAACAGGATTATGCCCCTGTGTCATTTATTATTTTACCATATCTGAAGCTTCACTCCTCTTGGTGTATGTCTTGATGTATGGTTAATGGTGGAATAAACATTGAGATACGTTACGTAATTAAAACAAGCAATCTCACGATGTTGAAATACTCAAGTAAGCAAGAAAAGAACCAAAGTCTGGGCAGTATAATCTCTGTACACGTGACATCTATTGCACTTCTGGAGGAAGAGATCCTTCCTCCATCGCTCTCACTAAGGTTTCTTTGGGTGGGGGAGTTTTTCCTGTGATGGTGTGAGGGTCCCGGAATAGAGGATGTTGCATGTGTACAGATTGTAAAGCCCCTTGAAGCAATTTTTTAGGGATGTACAAAATAAATCAATTTGAATTGAAATTGAGCACTGCAGATAATCCTCTAGTCCTTTAAAAAGTCCCTGCAAATATTTTGCATAAAAGTCATGAAATTCTAACCATAGACATTTGAGGGGGCGCAGTGGTGTGGTGGTGAGCACTGTCGCCTCCCAGACCGAAGAAGGGTGGCTAATGCCAATGCTGGCTGGGATTTAATCAAGTAATTGTAAAAAAAAAAAAAAAAAAGTGCAGCCAGCATGTCAAAGAACATTTAAAAAAGATTCCGTGTTCTAAAAACAAATATTTGAAAAAAATCCCCAAATATTTTGCAAAAAAGTCATGAAATTCTTACTATATATCATGTTAGGGGGCACGATGGTGAGAAATGACGATGTCCTGCTCTATACCGCAACAAGGACCGTTACCACTGCTACTCACTAGACTCTGACCGACTGCCTCACTGACATTAAATCATGGATGCAATTTTCTCAAACTCAACTGTGATAAATCCGACATGATCATTATCGGTCCAAATTCTCTCACCAAAACCAGTCAAAACGTCTGACAACTCCACTCTGGCCCCCTCCTACCTCTACCGACCTGCTCCATCATCACCTTGCATCCCTTTGTCTCTCTGCTCCTTGACGCCGACCACCTATCCACCCCCCATAGGACCGAGCACTGGACATGGGCCTCTCCCCAAACTCACCCGAGACTGCACTGACCTCTCCACATTTAAAACAATCAAAACCCACCTCTTCAGAACTGTTTTTAATGTATGACTGTGTGTTCTGCGTGTGTTTGCTTGTTTTTTATTTATTTACAGCTTAGCTTTTGGGATATTTAATATATATATATATATATATATATATAATTTGGAAAAGCGCTATGTAAATGAAATGTATTATGTATGAGGTCAAGGTATAAGTGGATATATTTGAATAGCCAAATCTTCACATTTCAGATAGTGTGGTGCATCCTTCTTTTAAGATTCACCAAAAACTCATCATTTAAGAAACGTTTTTTTCTGACGTGTACACATTTTCTACTCATTTTTAAAATAGTTTTTTTTTGTTGCATTAAATCTATTCAGTCAAAAAGTAAATTCGCAGCCATTTCCCACCTATGTAGGCTTCCGGGTATAAAGCGTAATTTACCAGTATTACTATAACGTGCCGCATTGTAAACGTACCACCACCGTTTATTACGTGGGAAGATAACAGCAACAGCAACGCAATTACAGCCCGTTTCTGCAATAATATGGGTGCTGTTTGGTGACATCTTTTTTTTCCCGAGTGGGTGTTTGTCGTAGTATCTGGCAACCCCGGACACCCGCAGCCGTTGGTCCTTGCGTCGGTTCCTCTCTCCGCTGAAGCTCCGCAGAAGGTCTTTCTGTGTAGCCGGCTAGCATCATGTCGAACGTTGTGGACACGAAGCTATACGACATCCTCGGAGTTTCACCGTCTGCCTCTGAAAATGAACTGAAGAAGGTACACGGGTTGTTGTTTCGAACGAGCTGGGGATGTGTTTAGAGCGAGCGGAATTCTGAAAAAACGGTGAATTTCGGCCTAGAATACGAACAGCGTTGAGCGAGGTTAAGGGACGCTATCGCTAGCTCCGCAGCGACTTGACAGCTTGCTAAGCTAGCCAGTACGCTAAGCTAGCCGAATAAATGTGGAGTACGGAATGGCACCGCGTTTGGAGGGCAGTTAAAGATACTCGTTGGTGTCAGTAAAATATCAGCGATGATTTTGATTTTTGTCTTTTTTTTAATTTGTTTTTCTAAATCTCCCCGGAAACCAAGAAATACAGTGTTGACCACGAGCGTGATAGCCGGCCGGCTATTGACGCTAGTTACATGATACATTCCAGCAAATAGTCCCCACCAAGTCATACAGTAACGAAGCGACTGCTAACCAAACATCTCCTCTAACCTCGATACACGAGTACCATGACAAGAAACCCAGTTGTTGTGACGTTGGTGTACAATACTGTATTTCTAAACTTGAAGTGAAATGTGTCGTGAGTTGAGGTGTAAAGATAACGCTACACTTTAAGTTAGATGACTGTCTTGTAACGTTAGCTAACGCTACTGAATACTTTGCTTGTCCCTTACTTCCTGCGTATCGTAAACGTTAATTACCCCAAACTCAATTCAATTATAGGCTAATTAAACAAGTCTGCTAACTGGGACATCGGGACGACGTAACATGTTTTTGTTAATGTAATGTAACGTTAATGTCAAGCCTGTCGCCTGCCATCCCACCTCGTTACTCCTTCCAAAACCTACTGGGCGATGACAACATCTGATCGTGATCCTCGTTCAACACGTTTTTGTTCTGTGAAAATGAAGTACTTTTAGATTTGCCAGAAGATCTGAAATGTGATGTCTCTACGCTCGAGTATCTCGACATGTTAAACTCATCGGTGCACTTCTCGCCAGTGTCTGTATGTGGTTGACGGCAGAGCCGCAAGTAAAACCTTGGCTGTAAGCACAGTTAATGCATGCTGTGACTAGCTACAGGAGCTTTACAGGACATTTTGTGCCTGTCTCCACGGCGCTAACACCGCTTTGTTCATGTATTACAGGCCTACCGCAAACTGGCCAAAGAGTACCATCCTGACAAGAACCCTGATGCTGGAGACAAGGTGTGTTGCACCAAAGAAAGGTTAAACCGCACTAGTGAAGTTATTCAACAATTGTGACCAAGAAATTCTGTTAACTTAGTTTATTGTGATCACACATCCCAACTTTAGAGGTACGTTACAGATCAGAAAACAGAATATGAAACGGCTTCTTCCCCCAGTGAAATGGGCGTCAGTGTTTGATTCATACTGCTCTATGTCTCCATCTCTGATACCGCAATGTGACACATAAGGCCAGACTGCATTTTAGGTTCTTTGTGCTTTATAACAGGGGCTCTTAAGAAAACACACTTTAGTTGTCCCTTTTTGCTGTGATGTTCTGAGTTGTTTGACACGGTGTCAAACTGTCTGATTTTGTTTTTCATTTTTCAGTTTAAAGAGATCAGTTTTGCATATGAGGTGCTGACAAACCCGGAAAAGAAGGAGCTTTATGATCGTTATGGAGAACAGGGCCTACGAGAGGGAGGAGGCGGTGGGCCTGGCATGGACGATATCTTCTCTCACATTTTTGGCGGAGGACTGTTTGGCTTCATGGGGGGGCAGGGCAGAGGACGCAATGGAGGCAGGAGAAGAGGAGAAGATATGGTACATCCTCTGAAGTAAGTGTGTTGCAGAAATATGGTTTGGTGCTTCAATAGGTACTTTGAATATATTGTGTTGTTGCACACATCTTGTATCTCATTTTGTCATGCAGAGTTTCTCTTGAAGATGTCTACAATGGCAAAACCACCAAACTGCAGCTTAGTAAGAATGTGCTGTGTGCTGCCTGTAATGGGTGAGTTTGCTTTGAACGTCATATTTTTAAAACCTGAAAGAAGGTTGCATGTAATTTGAGTGATTTTGTTGGAGATGCTTGCCTGTTAACAATGATGGGTCTTTACTGTTTGCCTTTTAGTCAAGGGGGTAAGGCAGGAGCAGTCCAGAAGTGTGTGGCATGCAGAGGACGAGGTATGAGAATCATGATTAGACAGCTGGCGCCTGGGATGGTTCAACAGATGCAGTCAGTCTGCACAGATTGCAATGGAGAAGGTATTTAGTCCGTAAAAATCCACACACCAACTGTAACCAAGACTGATATTGTACAACAACAACCACAACGTCACTCTGAAATTGTCCAATCTCTGCATGTGTCCTTGTGCAGGTGAGGTGATAAATGAGAAGGACCGCTGCAGAAAATGTGAGGGTCACAAGGTGTGCAAGGAGACTAAGCTTCTTGAGGTGCATGTGGACAAAGGCATGAGACACGGACAGAAGATCACATTCTCTGGGGAAGCTGACCAAGCACCAGGGGTCGAACCAGGAGACATAGTCCTGGTGCTGCAAGAGAAAGAACATGAGGTAAACAAAACAATTGGCTTCTTATAGTGATGGTTTAGCTGTATCTATTTTTTCATCACAGCTTAGAAGATGATATTTCTACATTTGTTTGTTGTACATGTTATGACGCATAACAAGTTTGGATGTCAATCTAAATCAGGAATTCCGCCGTGATGGCAGTGACCTTCACATGGTCCAACGTATCGGTCTGGTTGAGGCTCTGTGTGGCTTCCAGATGACCGTTGCCCACCTTGATGGACGTCAGCTGCTTGTCAAATATCCACCTGGCAAGGTCATTGAGCCAGGTAAACTAGTCTTCTGACCACATTTATTGATTTTTGTCTCTGACATGATAGTCCTGCTTTCTTTTTTTATGATGTTTTAAGGTTCAAAAGATAATAGCTCCTATGGTCTGATGATATCACAATATATAATACATAGCCTGTAAAATGCAAGATACAGGATTCCTATTGCGTCTGCGTGTCTTTACACCACTTTGTTGTTGTGTGGCAGGTTCTATTCGAATGGTGAAGGGAGAAGGAATGCCTCAGTACAGAAACCCATTTGAGAAGGGAGACCTTTACATCAAGTTTGACGTCCAATTCCCTGAAAACAACTGGATTAGCCCAGAGAAACTGAATGTGAGTCCCAACTTTCAAAGCCTCGCTTTGCACAATTTTAGATTGATTGGGCTTGAATGATTGCACTCTCATTTCTTCTAAAAAAAAACCCCCAACTATTTTCTTGCAGGAACTCGAGTGCTTACTGCCTGCTCGTGCGGAGAATCCTGTTATTGCAGCAGATGCGGAGGAAGTTGATCTTACTGAATTTGACAAGAGTCAAGGGTCAGGTGGAGCCAGGAGAGAGGCCTACAATGATAGTTCTGATGAGGAAGGGGGGCATCATGGCCCGGGGGTGCAGTGTGCACACCAATAGAAAGACTCATGCATTAAAACATGCACATTACAGACGCATTTCTTGAGTCCCAATGCGAACATCTTTCAACACTTCCCACACATACATGTTGATTTCTCTCCTTTCATGATTTGCATGAAAAGAGGTATACACAAATACAGATACACTATATCAACCCTCCTCAGTTCCATTGTGCCCATAAGTCAGAGATATGCTGGACGTCTGATGACTATTTCGTGTTTATGGACAGTAGTGCTCATCAGTCTCCAGCAAGAAGGTTCACTGAATGAACTTGATTGGATCGCTCTCTTTTCATCCTCCTGCTTTTACCTTTCACTGTGCGAAACACCAGTCTATTGTATAAAATGCAAATATTGTTGACTTTCTTGTATACAGTGTAGTTTAGTCTGTCACACACATACACACACACGCGCGCATGCTGCTTTCTTGCCGAATGATCTTCCACATGTAGATCAAGGGTCCGGATAGGACACTACAGAGAAACCTGACATCACACCTGTTTGAGTTTCAGCGCGTCACTACTATCGCAGGGCCTTGGTATAAAGAGGGCTAATTTAATTACAGCCCTAAAAGTGCGTCCTTTTGAAAATGCAACTGTTTCAGACAGTTGAGTCCCCAGCTGTCACATTGCTGAAATGTAATCGCCCCAGACTAAAACACCCGTCAGCCAGGCACCATGTTTTCTTAGTTTGATCTTGTTTGTTTCAACGATCGTTTGTTTGAGAGTTGCAAATTGCTCATTTGACTTGAGGACACACTTGTATACTTTGTTTGTAATGCAGCTGCTCTCCGTGTGAGCTGCTGTGGAATGTTCTGGCTTATTAGAGTGATAGATATTCCTGCTTTGTGTTGGACTGCAGTGTTCGTGGAATCTGAATAGTGGCAATTGAAGAGGGGGGGAAAAAAAACAGAATGTTTATTTGCTGAGAATTCTTCCCATGTAGATATTTTCCCTCTACTGGGCCCGCAGCAAACCTCTGTATTATACGTATCTTCCCACCGTAGACTTGTTAGCCAAACTTAGATCCTTTGCCATGTTACAATATTCCCATAGATCTGTAAATAAATAAAGCCCCTGTCCATAGGTGCATTTAAAGTCTACAGCGGTCTCCTTGTGACGAGACCTCTTTAAACTCTTAACGTGCACTGTTGCGACTTAATGTGTATTTAATTATAGCCACTTAATTAAATACAATGTGTACACAACTAAAGGGGGTCATTGTTAAATGACGTTAATGTTGATGCTTACGTTTGTCAAGATAACTGTATAATAAACAGTCAATTAAAATTTTTGATGTTTCATTGCGAATGCTTTTACATTATTCTGTCAGTCTATAAACAACAGGGCCAGTGGAATACAAAAAATCTGCGGCATTGAACTCATCAGAATACTGTTTATTATATAAATCCCACTTCCGTCGGACGCTGTTGAAAGCAGTAATTAACTGCAAATCCCTTTCGTTAAAACGACACATTCATCAGTCTGCTCCCTCGTCTATTTCATTGCTGTTGAGAGCTACTGGACCCAGGAGCTCCTTAAATCCAGCAGTATTCCTAGACGACAAATGAGAAACACAAGGGGTGATGGTAAACCTCTCTTGGGTGTTTCCGTTTTATTTAAAGAAGTTTCCCCCACCTTTCTCTTTTGGACTGCATGACATAGGATCTCTCTCTTCTCAGCTGATCCAGTCGCTCTCTCACAACTGTCTTCTGCTGGTTCTTACCCTCCTAAAAGACAGTAGTGATGGTAATATGATCACAGATACCATTATGTAGACTGATTACCTTAATATACAGTTTTTACCTGTGGTAGATCTTTTGTCAGGTGCCTTAGCCGGTCTGTGTGTTTCAGGCCAAGTAGGTCTTCCTCTGCTATTCTGTTCTGTATGATGGACAGACGCTCCTGAACCTGCAGGACAGACCGTGTCAGGGTGACATGTCGCCTCTGCCTCCTGCAAACACTGACCTGTACACTCTTCTCCACATTTCTCTCACCCTCAGAAGTTGCCTCTCTTTATCCCTCTGCTGCCTCTGTTCCACCTTTCTTTGCATGTCCACCAGGTTGCGCATTGTGATTTCTCTCTCCATTTCCGAGACTGGTTCTCGTGCCCGCTCTCTCCCCAGCAGTGTGGAATCCCTCTCCGCAGGGCTACTGTCAAACTTTGCCAGAGCAAACATCAGATGAGGGAATGACGAGGAAATGTGCAGCACAGCTCTTTGTTTGCACGCACGCACCCGTGTATCGGCGAACTCACCGCGGCTCGACTGTTATATTTCTGGTCCTCTGCACGAGGGGTTTCGCGTACTCTCGTGTCCCACAGCTCCGGCTCTGCCGCAGTGGCACACCTTTCTACCTCAGGCACTTCTCTGTCTACATTAGCGGTCTGTTTCATCAGTTCAGAGCAGATGTCACCCCCACCCTGCTCAATCTCAGGGGGGTCAACCATGAGATGTGGATGTGCGGCCTGCAGGGCCTCTGCTGCCAAACCGCGCGTTTGCAGGTCACATTTAGATTCTCCCATCTCGGGTTGTTCAGCCGGCGCTCTCTCCACCGCGGCCGAGCAATGAGGATTTAAAAAGGGTAAACCAATCTGATGCATTACATGGTCATACAATATTTTATTTTATGCTTTTCAAATCACATAGTACCTGAGTACCTGTCCTGCTGTGCTGCACTGGGGGTCTGCAGAATGTGCGACAGGTTGACTTGGTGTGGAATCAGAGTGGAGCAGAGCAGGTTTCATCTCCTCTCTGTCCCCCACTCCAGTAGTCCTCTCCCACGTTGTGCGTTCAGCTGCACCGCTTTCGTCCTCTGGCTGTGCATCCCGGCTCCGTCCTGCAGGGCCTTCACCGTCCTCTGTGTCGTCCTCTGCTGGTTTGCTCCAAGCGAGGGTGATCAGCGAGCCCTGTTTCTCAAACCTCCTGGGGCTCTTTGCGGCACTGCCCACTTCTTCTTCTTCTTCTTCGTGGGCTTCTCTATCTGCGTCAAGACGCGTTGCATCTGATACACACAGGATCTCCAGGTAGGGCAGGTCCTCCACGACCGCTCCACAATCTTGGCAGGGGGGTTGGGGGGGGCACATGTTGTGGTTGGGGCTGCAAGTGTTTGGTCCAGGTTTGCCTCTGTCCGCGGTGGCTTTCCAGACGCCCTCTCTGTCGGTCCTTTCTGCGGCTCGAGTCACATTTAGTTCTCCCTCTGCCTCCACCGTGGGAGCTTCAGCTGGCTCACCACTGCTGTGGCGATCATCGACTGTGATCCGCTCATCGGGGCTATTTTCGGGTAAGTCTGTACGTTGAGATAGAATAGAGCCTGAAGCAAAGGGGGTGTTCGACATCAGCTGGAGCAGGTTGGTGCACCGCTGTGCTTGAAGTTCTGATTCGTATGCTTCTCGCAGAGCTTGGACGCACTGTGCACTCTGCCGGACACACATCATCATTCGAACAGTCATGGGCTTCACCGATAGAGCTGCTGTCAAGTGTCGGATCTTGGGATCGGATGTTGTGGTTTGTCCTTACTCACCTCGTCCATCAGTGCTGGCAGTAATGCGGATGCCTGGACGTCCTGGAGCTCCATCAGATGAGTCAAAAGGAGCAGGGAGCAATCCTCCAGATGGTGTTGGCACCACGCCGTCGGTTGACTGCTTGCGTTGGGCTGCAGTTGTGGTTGACGGTGCTCTGAGGTGGTCTGAGTGTTAATCTGCAAGTCAGCATAGAGTTCTCGAAGTCTTTGTATGCAGCCATTTCTTAAAGCATCTCGTTGATGGTTATCTGCATAGGAAAGAGAAAACACGGGGTACAAAGACAGGGGAATCCAAAAGAAAAGCAATGCTGACGAGCACACAGCTCGACAGAAAGAAGAAGAAGAAGAAAAAAAGATTCACATACGCTCTTTTGGAGGCATTGTGGAACCTGGTTCTTCCAAATCCTCTAATGAGATCCCATTTGCCAACCTGACCAGGTGCTTCCGCTCCTGTTCCTGAGTCAGCACCAGCAGCTGCAGCACCGCCTGCTGTAAAAGGGCCGACGTCTTTGATGTGCTGCTGATAAAACTACTGTAGTGTTTTCCTTTTAAGCCATTATGTGAGAAACATCATTACTCACTAATTATTAAGAATGAGTCTGACATGTGTTGCCTTTCTCTCTGAATCAAGGGCTGCAGATTTACATTACCTGCTGTGGTGACACCGAGATAAAGTCTTTTTTTTGCTCTTCACCGTGCAGCCACAGCGCTGCCTGCTCTGCTCTGCAGGGACTCTTTATATGAGGCCTGAACAAGGACATGAGGGACATACACAATATAGCGTAGTAGTAAGTGCATCTTCCTTTTTCAGTGTTCTAATTCGAATTGTCACCCTTTAGCTTTGGCTCACCATGTCTCCCAGGACTGCCGCGCTGCCAGTAGAGCGCTGTAAGACATTTCTTCTCTCCGAGCCCTCAGAGTTGCCAATCTGATGTAGAGACACAAGAGCCTTAGGCTCCCCCTGTCCAGTCTGGAAGGTAAAATATTGGGGTATCAACTCTTTACGTACCTGGTAAGAGCCATGTAGAAGTCCAAATGTGCACAATTCCTTGCATAAGTGATAACTTACGTTGAGCACAATGAGATCAAACATAGTAATTGTATAAATACATCTAAATTAAATATGGATGTACACAATATGTTTGATTCTTTTGATTCTTTTTTTAGAACCTGACCCAAGATATTTCCTGAATCCATCTGTCGTGCAAAGTAAGAGCAGACCCGCTCTAAGTATTTACCTCTCACCGAGGACTGTTAGCGCGTCCCTTTCTTGCTGATGAAATGTGAATAACTCACAGAGGAAAGAAACAGCAGACCAACACTGCTCCCTGCACTGGGGACGGCTCCCCACAGAGGCCCTGCAGGAGAGTGATCTCCGTTACGGTGCTTTTTGACGCTCTTTTTGATTAAGGGGCACGGGAAGTGGTTAGCAGTGTCTCCACGAGTTTCGATAAAGCACCTGTGTTTTTTCACATCACTGAAAGGGAGTGTCCTGTTTCATTCAGGACGTCAATAACTGCACAGTATTTTTACTTTACTTTTTTAGTTTTGAGACCAGGAAATATTGCTTTAAAGCCGTTTGGCCATTATTTTCCTTTCAATATGTTTGGTTTTCAAGTCATCCTAAATGTGATATAATAACCGTGCTATTGTGTGTTACCTGTATATCCTTAAGGCTCCTGGTAGCTCAGCCAAACGAAGCATATCACCTGATTCCAAAGCCTCATCTGCCAGATCCCCCAGCCCCTCCTCTTCCTGATGTTGTTGCCATGGCGGCAGGGTCCCCCAAATACTCAGAGCTTTGGTATAACCGAAAATAAATAGGGAATATGAAGCACCTGAGCCAGGCTATGCGGTACTGAGTAAGTCATACTTTGAATTCAGAGATAGTTTTTTGTGTTTTATTAATTAACAGTCCAGTGAGACTTTCCCTTACTGTAGTGCTCCTGAAGCATTTCAGTAAAAAGCAAGTGGGTCACCGCATCATACTTCACATCCAGCAAGAGGAGGACGTCTGATAGGGAGACACAGCCCCAGGCATGACCTTTGACCCCGAGGCTTTGCCCCTGCCAGGGAGAGGGCAATAGACTTTGCACACTCTCTGATGCCAATCTAGGAGGATAAATAAAAGCACCTTTCAATATAATAAGCATAGTAAACATCTGATGCAATGTTAACCTGCCTTGTGAAATGTATTAAAGATATAATTTATTCTAGTAAAAAAATCAAATAAAGGATCAACACTGCAATGTGTTAATACTTAGTTAAAGTTATAATATCTGGTGTTTTAATAAATAACATCAAATACCTTTAAAATAAATGATATGCAGTCAAATGTATTGTTGCTCAAAGCTTTACACACACAGACTTTGATGCTTCAGTCTTTCTTTGTCTGGTATTACCAGTATCGTCTGATGCCTCATGTTAGCTGACTCTAGGCTGATCAACGCATGACAGATATTACTGACTGGGTTTTCCTTTGTGCTCTTATAAAGATAAAGTATCATGTTATGAACCATAAGATCTCTGATATCGCCACAGTGGAAATGTATGTAAGTAACATTTTGACTGTTGACAGTCAAGATGCTGACCTTGCCCAGCACTGCCTGGCTGCCTTCTTCAGTCTCTTCACACCTCCCACACTCCCGCGCAGCTCCCCCCGACCAACCACACCTGGGAACGTTTTGGGGTCTGTGCTTTGGAGACGATTCAGCACACGAGGATCGACTCTAACTTTGTTGTCCGTCACACAGAGAGTGTTGAGATTTCCAACATTTAGCAGCTGGAGGTCCCAGTAGAGCTGCAAATAAATGCATTTTAGATTAGATTAGATTCAACTTTATTGTCATTGCGCAGGGTACAAGTACTGAGGCAAATAAATGCATTGACCCTTAGCAATAATTTGTATTACAGTTTTTTCCGATTGCTAAACGACAGTGGGCACAACTGGAGTCACATGTGCAAAACTCTAACTACAGTCTGCACTACCAACAGTCACCTGAGCTAAACCGTTCACATCACCTGCAAAACTCACTCCAAGCAACACAACTCTTAACACGTGGCTCAAAACAGGCTCAGTGCAGCAAACACTGTGCACAAGCCTCACTGATAGAACACACAGTGTCACTCAGAACACACTGAGAGTAAAAACACCAGCATCAAACACCAATACACAAAATACTAACTGTTCATCTTTACATTTTGAACCATTTCAGTGACGTCATACAAAGTAATATTTTCTTCAAAGAAAAGAGTGACATTCTTTCACATGATTTATTCAAATTTTTAGAACATAATTCTTTAAGTTAAATGAAAATTAGCAGTTTGCTTCAATAGTCTGTAGTAATTTACAGAATTACAGTAATGAGAAAAAGAAACTAAAAGTACATACTGTAATTCAAACAAATAATTGAGGGGCTGATCCTGCCTCTCTAGCATCAGGCCACAGGTTTTCATCATTTCATCTAATGTTCTCTCTTGCCATGAACCTGGGGAAGAACCTTCTGGAAGCCTCATCCATCCCTGGCAGTCCTCTGGACTCGTGTCCTCACATCCGGCATTCCAAAAGAGACATTTGGTCATGTGGGTGGTGACCAAACACTTTCCCCCTCCAGGCAGAGAAAAACTCCTCCCACCTGTTTGAATGATGGAAAACTTGCATTACAGATGCCACTGTGGATCTTTGCAGATTGGGTTTCACCCTCAACTCTCTCAATGAGAGGACCTTGGGTCACCACATGGTCTATAAGTGAAGCCCTTATTTCATCTGAAATAACAGCTCTTTGTCTTCTTTGTCTCCCTCCACCAAGCCGTCTTCCTGTGTTCAAGCAATGAAAAACGAACTAGAGTTTGGTCCTCATGAACTGCTGCTGTGCAGACTGTAGTTAGAGTTTTGCACATGTGACTCCAGTTGTGCCCGCTGTCGTTTAGCAAAAAACTGTAAGAAGGGATCCTGCATTGACTACCTTTTCCTTATTTTCCTTCTCCCTTTCCATTTCAAGGAGAACATCCAACACATTTTCACCAACACATGACCAACTATCGTCTCCTCCTGCAATCTGAAACGGAGGCAGAGGAATAAAGAAGATTGGATCAAACACTTGCCACTTTGTTGTTTAAAATGTCAAAATGAGTTTTTACCTTCTTCATCGCCAAATACGCTTCGCTGGTGTCGGAGGATACGTGAAACACTTTGTGGTAGAGGACACTTACATCTTCAGGGGAAAACTCCGCTCCGACGGACTTACCCAGCGATCGGTACAGATCGGTGATACAATCCTGGAGGGAGATTTAAAGACGTTGGATGTAGTTTACGCATAACAAAAACTAAAACTAGACTCACAGACTCTTACCTGCTCCATGTTTTCACCACTGTGAGCTGCTAAATTATACAGGCTGTTACTGCGGTTACAGCAGTCCTCTGCAAAACAGCTGGATCAGGTTACCGAGCAACAAAAGTGACAGTGTGTCTGTCAGAGGGAGACATTTGATACACAAGCATGTGACACGTTACACTTGAATGAAAAGGGTTCTGTGAGAGTGAACCACTAATGAAAGTTGGTGGCTCCCAATGAGTAAATTCTTTTTTATGATGGCTGTCTCATACATTATAATTATGTCATCATGCACCTGTAATTATTCACATTTTTTCATTTTCAGCTGACTTGTTGGACACTCAATAAAAGCAGTTGTGAAGAAACAATTCCAAACCTTTAATTGCAAATGAATATACAGTATTTAACCCATTTAAAAGATTAAAACATGTCAAATAAAGTGTTAACCAAGATTATAATCCAGTCTTGATGACATAAAACAAAATACCACATATATTAGTTAAGCCTTTGTTTATTTGTATGAAAAATGGTACCTGAGATTATGTAGCCTCTTGTATATACAGTCACACATTGCATAGTGCAGAAATGAATCTGTACATTAAAAAAAGCTATATTGTTAAATATTGTTATATTATATTTATAATAATATAAATATAATATAAGGCTGCAGGTAATATAACGTACATGTATAAATCAAAATAGGTAAGAACAATACCAATGAACATGTGACAAAAACGGACAAAACCCTGGTGTAGTATAAATATTCAGTGCTTCATACAAAACAATGCCAATAAAAACATTAAAATGCAATATTTCCGTGTTTTCCATTTAATACTGCATACAGTAACAGAAAGCTAGTAGTCGTACTGCTTGAGTGGATTGAAGATTATTAGAGGTGGCAGTGTGTCCACTTGAATGTGAGCACTCCAAAGAACTATGAAAGGTTTCCATGGATGATCTTGGGGCACTTTTCCGGCTGTATGCAGTAGTTGTTGTGCAGAACCAGTCCAGCCGGACACTGGCAGCCTGGGACACAGGGCTTGAAGCAGTGGGCCTCTATCACCCCGAGCGGCACGGCCACGTTGAAGCAGGTTACGGGACACGGGGGTCCGCACTCGTCAAACACAAAGCCCCTCTCCGCTGGACAGCCGACAGCTGTATTAGACAGCGACGGAGAGAAAACAAAGAGGGACTGAAAACACTGTCGACACTGCGGCTTCAAGGGCGGCCGGTGGGAATTTTCAGGTGTCAACAATAAGATCTTCTTGTTTTTTCCACGACTGATTAGTGGTGCACAGCTTGTTTCTAAAGCCATGTGAAGCATCACTGAGCAGTTTACAACATGAGCAGATGGACTCGGGATGGTTTTTGATTCAAAACAGACGATGGTTTAGTAAAATACTAACTTCTTACAAAAAGAATCCTGCAACTTTCAAATTATGGTTTTTCAATTCAAAGCCATCAAACTGCACTCCCAATAGCATATTAGGCATTTGTCACTATTTGTTGCTCTGTGACTGGTCTGCATTCCCTTTTTCTAACCGAGCAAAGCTCCAAATCAGTGACGAAAACACAGAGACAAACAGAAAGCAAAAAAGTTACTTAAGCAAATACATTAGAAGGACCTTAAAGTGTGTGTGTTTTTTACTCACCACACAGCGATGGGCTTCTCCATTGCAGGACGACTCCGGCCTCTCTGCACTGACTGGCGTAGGCCTCCAGTGTATCACACAGACACTCGTCCGTATTGGCCCCGCAGGCACACAGGTCGTACACGCAGGCCGCGTACCACGGCTCAGGAGGCACCACGCGGTGGCACGGCTTGAAGGCGGCCGACTTCAGGACCTTACAGCGAGCGTTAGCCCCCTTCTTGGCCTGGTAGCCTGCGTCTTTACAGGGATCCACATTCTCACCGGGGCGACAGGATGGGAGGGAATGGCTGCTATTCCTGACCTGAAAAGGAAAGAAAGTTCTTTGATTTGTGTGCAGTTAAATTGCTTGTGTTTATATGATGATTTCACTTTTTCTCTGTTGGTTTGGTGTTGTTCTATGTATTTATTTTACCCTCCAGCTATTTCCAAAGTCAGACTCTGACAGGCTGAGTTGTCCGCTGGGCATCCGGAGGTCATCCTGGTAGTAATTGTTGAAGTTTCCACAGAGCCCGCAGGTGTGGCCCTTATAGGAGCCTGGCACACTCAGTTCCAGATGTGAGCGACCACTCCAAAGTACCTGAAGGTGAACCGGTGTGTGTGACAGAATCTCAATCTCTGTTCCAACCATACGGTGAATCACAAAGACAAGTTGATAAAGGCCGTACCTTCAGACCGATGTGAGTGTTGAGTAAGATGGTGTTTGTTTGTCGCTCTACATAAATGTACGGTTCTCTGAGGAACGGCAAAGTCACGACCTCATCATTCACCTGAGGAGTAAAAAAGAAATGGCTGTCAGGATGCATATGAAAAACATAAATGTGCAAAAAGTCTTTCCAGTATTTGCACACACACACACACAAACCTTCACAACCCAATCCTGGAGCAGCTGCACTGTGATGTCTCCTATAAATACTGTGACCTCTTTGGTCCAGGACACTCCTTTACGCCCACGATCATCGTTAGTGGCATGAACACTGTGCACAAGTAGTCATAGGGCAGAAAGAGTATTATTTCATTCAACACCTAAAAAAAGAATCTTCGTCCATGGAAGGTCACATGAAATGTTATTTTCATTGTGGTTTTCTTTTAATGGTATTTTCTTAACGTCATGAAGGCCTTGAATTTAAAAGGTTGTCAATCCCCGATCTTAATATATATATATATATATATTATATTAATATTGTTTTTATAATATTGTTTTTTCTACAGCTGGCCTCTTGGAAACTAGATGTGTACGCAAACAAGCAACTACACTGAATATATGTTTCAGATACTTCACTTCACGAAGAAGTATGTGTAAAACTGTAGGTCCCAATCTTTTTGACCCTGAGAAATGATTTTTTTAAAATGAAAAAATACTGTATTTCACTCAAGAATTAAATATGAATATGTAAATATACAACAATCAAGGTTAAAGATAATTTGTCTATTTTTTATTTAGGAGTCACACACGAAAACGAATGATTGTTTCATCGGGACTGTGGGAGTTTGATCAGCTGTCACCAAATATTTATTTAAATATTGCTTAATTCACATTTTACCATTTCATTATGCGATGTCCACCGCCAACCTTTGAGAATACCACGCAGCTCTTGCTTGGCTCCCATGCAGTGTGATGGGGGACCCGCTCACCTGAAGTCACCACTCTCACAGTCCTGTGCCAGGATGTAAGTGCATGCTCCCTGGAAGTGCAGCATGCGGCCATCGAAAGTGCGATAATGAGGGTCGCCGAAGGCAATGCAGGTGGCTGGACGAGGAAGGCAATGAGGACAACACAAGCCTGGGACGATGGCGGGCATCTCATCCTGCAAACACACACGCGGACACGAATGCAGTTGAGAAACGTCAGATATTTAATGTCCTTCTACAGACTGACGGCTCAGGACAGTGAAGCATCATGAGAGTATTTGATGAAGACTATGATGGAACATTGAGAAAGCCTTCGGTTTACTGACTGTTGCACAGGTGAGGGGAGGGCAGCGTTCACTCTGACAGTGTACGTCTCCAAACACACACGTACAGCTGGTGCACTCGTCCACCTCCCACTGTTCATTGGAGTGATACACGGTTCCCTGGTACAAACAGGACGCTCCCGAGTCTGCAACGCACCGGCGCAGACAGAGACACACATCCACACACAGTAAGCCGGTTAGACGGGCCGCTACGGTTGTGGAAGCTCGCTGTATTGGCCGGTTTTGATACCTTGGCACTCGTGGCAGCATTTTCCCGGAATCTTCACTTGTTTCTGGCCATTTAGACAAAATGCAGGTAGACAGTCTTCGATGCTGCACTCAATGTAGCCCAGCTGAGGATGCAAAAGAAAAAAGAACGGATTAATATGGTGGTCGGAATACAAGATGGTGGTGAAGAATAAAACCTCAAATCAGTTTATAAAATATGATTCCCCGCCATATATTAATACTTTGTTCGAGGATTCTAGGGAAAAAATGTATCCAAACCAAATCCTTGGTTTTATAACAAACACAGACCAATCCAATCCAACCAAATGCATTGACCTTGAAAGTGACACTACTGTCTTCATTTCAATCACTCAAAACGTCTTTAAAGGCTTTGTACTTGTTTTGCAGTTGTCCTTTAGTTTAGTTTACTACAATCATAAGCCTGTGTTAATGCTTGCTCTGCCATATAATCTATTTTTTACAAATTGTGCCGATAAGCAACCTGCAAGTGTTACTATCATTAGTTGCAAGCTTTGCACGAGCAGTGCAGCGTCTCTGTCACTCACGTTACAGGTGCAGGTGACGCAGTCGTCGTCGCTGTCGGTCCAGCTGCTGCCGTTGGCCACACGTCTGTTCTGGCCCTCAATCACACAATCTGCATGAAACACGGGAGTGCCATCACAATAGTGGATGTTTTAATGCCAATGAGACTTCCTCAAATATTTGTAAGACAAACGAGAGGAAAGCTGCTGTTGTGTCACCTTTACACACTGGGCAGCAGGAGTCTGGGGAGTTGAACTGTTCGTCAAGAGGGCAAGTAGGTGGGAGGCAGTTTTGGTGTAAGCAGGTCCATGTCAGGTCCTAAATGACAGACACAGGATCACTGAGCCGCTCAAAATCCCACAGGTGTACCGACAATTTAGATTTAGATGCACAGGTCAAGCTAAAACTCATGCATCCTTAATTTAAAAACGTTTCATGTGATTTCCGACAGCCATTCAAAATACGTCACCAAACGCGTCGTTGCTGTGGTACCTTGCAGTGGCAGGTAAAACAAGGGTCATCCGTTGCCAAGACCTCGTTGCCGATCAGTGCAGCGGTGCAGTTACTGAGAGGCTCTAAACGTTCAAAACAAATTACAAAGCTCAGTGACAATGCAGAGGTCACAGGCGTTGTATCTTGAATGCAGTTTGGTACTGACGTGCACAGA